TCTGTAGCAGGTTCTAAAGATGATCAGATCCTCTGACTTAGAGTCCATTCAGATGTGATGGAACCTCTGCTGAATGTTCAGCTTTGTAAAGTATTTTGCTCTGTTGAGTCAGTTCATCAGCTCATCTATTAGAGGCAAGAAATACTGATCTTGTTTGATCATAGCATTCAGCTTGTGAAAGTCAACACAGAATTGTAGCTTCTTCCCACTACAAGCAATCAGAATTGAGGAGGTGTAGAGGGCTGAACTTGAAATGACAAAGCTCTTTGCTAGGTTGATTTCAAGATAGATCTTCACTGCTTCTAGTTCCTTCAGATTCATCTTATATAGAGATGCATGTTCAATGTTCTAAATGAGGTCAGTGTCAGACTGAAGCTCTATCTTAAAATCAACATTCTTCTGTAGAGGAGGTAATTCATCTGATGCTTTCTTTGAGAAACAGTTCTTCTGATCTTTCAATCATTCTGATAAGTTGCTGATCAGCTTCTCATCAGACTTCTTCTCAGCTCTCACTAAACTCTGCTTCTCCTTAAGCTGTTTATCAATTTCATACAGACTGATTATGAAGACTGTTGAGTTCTTGTTCTTCATGTAATTATGAAAAGAAGCAGTCTCAATGAAGTTCATATTCATCATCTGTGATGCTGTCTCCTCCCAGGTCAGTCTCTGCCTTGTCTTAGATGTCATGACTGAGCTGGTTCCTTTCAATCTGCAGAGCTGAGTCTGATGCTTCTGTCTGATCTTCTTGTCCAGTTTGATCTCTCTTCATTTTACATCTGTCTGATGCTCAGACTTAGGGTCTGAACACTTCAGTATTGATTGAAGCACTATCTTCAGCATCAGCTCTGCCATCTGTTCAAGGATAGACCATTCACTCAGCCAAATCAGATGTTGGTTTTTAACATCAAGTCATATATCCTGTGCTGCCAATCACTTTTGTCCCAGGATGACAGAGTACTGGTTTAGGTTCATCACCAGCAGAGAAACATTCCGGAATCTCTGGCCATCCACTCAGAGATTTAGAGTCAATGTGCAGTCTATCACCCTGCCAGAGATGTCATTGTATCCCTTCATGCAGCATTTGAATGAGAGTTTCTGAAACTTTCTATTGAAGAATCTCGCCAATTCTATAGCATATCAAATATCAATAAAATTCACATCATTTGCTTCAGTATCAGTGAGAGAATTTGTAGAAGTAGCAATTTCATTGTGAGCTAACTTAATTGAGACATTAAAGCTCTTTCCCTCAATCAAGTCCTTCATCTTAAATCTCTCAGACTATTGAATTATCTGAGATAAAGTCTTCTCTCAGACTCACTCTTTTCTCAAATCTGCTGAAGACTCAGAAGTGTCATTCTCTGTGAGCTCAGTGATCATCTGTTGAGACTTCTGCTTTGCAGAGCAGTTTCTGACAATGTGGTCTTTCTTCTTGCAGTAGTAGCACTGAATATCTGAATGAGTGTTCAAGACTTTCTTTATGATAGAGGATTTTGTGACTAAGATGCTGTGGGAAGTTTGACTGTCAAAGATCTGTGAGATGTTTTGCTTGAAGATATTAGACTCATTTCTCTGCAAGCTCTTTGACTTCTGAGTGACATTGATTGTCTGAAGAATGTGAACTGCCTGAGCACAGATCTTCTGAAACTCAGCATATGTATTGATGATTGCATTGACTACTGCCACCATTCTCTGAAGATCAAAGAACAGCTTGTCATTGAAGTCTGTCTTGTAGTTCTCTTTGACAATCTTGACCTCATCTGCCAGATGTAAGAATTTTGTGACAAATTCATGATAATTGTCTCCATTGCACATAATCAGCTTGTAATAATCACTCTTGACATTTTGCAGCTTGTTAGCATTCTCATATATTGACTTGAGATGCTCAAATATCTCTTCTGCAGTCTGATATCACTCAGAGTGGTTCTCTTTCATACAGAGTGCAATGTGATGTGCTATGTCCCCATCAGTCCAGTTTTCAATGTATGCAATTCTCATGCATTCAATAGAGTAGTGGTCAGCATTCTTCTGAAACTTGTTCTTCATTTGAAAGAGCCAGTGTTCAAATTTTGACTTCTTGCTGTCAGTGAGGTGTTTTGAGTCATCAATCTTGACAGACCTCCAGGTAGTCTCAGAGGAGATGACTTCTTGCTGTCAGTGAGGTGTTTTGAGTCATCAATCTTGACAGACCTCCAGGTAGTCTCAGAGGGGATGACTTCTTGACTTGCTGCTTGATTGCTGACTGTCATGCAGATCAGAGTGTGACTAAGTTCATCACATTCAGCAATTAGCTCATCAATCTGACTTTGCTTGACAGCAGTCTGATCAGTGATGTTGTTTCATTCCATCCTCAGACATGTGATTGTATCCCTCAACATTTTTTCATCATCAAAGATGCTGTCAAAGATTGCTGCTAACTCTTTGTGGACATGGTCCTTGTCTGAGTGAATTGTCTGTCTGAATTCTTCAAGTGAGACCCATGGTTGATCAGTTGACCTAGTTAGAACATATCATCAGTTCCTCTTGGTCTTTTCAGAGGGCTGGAAGTCTGGGGTGGCCATCCTGATCTGGGTCTCTCTGATGACTAGGGGGGATGGAATAAGTTGCTGTTATATGTTGTGCTGTCAGATTCTTGCTGAGCAGGTTCTACTCAACCCTGAGTAGAAGGGGTAGGATGAAGCTTAGTATTATGTTAGGGAGTGAATGCGAGCTGCATAAGAAGGAAACTCTCTGCGTTGCTAACTGCTATATAACAAAATACTAAGCTTGGTGGGATGAAAGAGGTGCTGGGGCCTGCCTGGGTTATAACCACCCACATGGTTGTTTGATCACGTGAGAATATTTGGCCTAACCGGGCGCCGAGCTTAATCCGACGTCGAGTCTAACCGGGCATCGGGCCCGGTCGGGCTCGGTCGGGCGCTGAGCCTAACAGAAAGCTGTTGATATTTATAACATTATGACAAGATGCTTTGATCAATTTCATACTTTTTTGCAGTTGCAAGATAATTTGAGACCTCTTGCAACCTCAGATCTTCCAGTGCTAATTGAATAGAGGCTTCATTGCTCATGGTGTTGAGGTTGGAAGTGGAAGGTTGACAAGGTGAAAGAGGTGGGCATTGAGAATTCTGCCGCGAGTACTCCATACAGCCTGCAACAACTTTTTTTTTTCTGAATTTTCATCCACAGCTTGGCACAATGTCTTGTATGCCCTCACCAAGTGTTTACTGAGATGTGTTTTGAGCAGTCGCTTTATTGAAGGAGTTGCCTTCCATGCATAAGGCATTTTGGAATTTGGGATCAAGCACGCAACATCTGCTGGGTCAACTCAGATCTTCAAGACCTTCTCTGTTGATTTTGGTTAACTGAACTCAACATTTCTCTCTCTCTTCACTCTTCAGCTGGCCTTTCAGATGTGTTCTGATAATGCCCTTCGACATTTAAGCCTCCAGTAGTAGCGGTTGCGGTTATGTGCCTCTGCCATGGTTGGCGGTTGTTGAGGTCGGTTGGACCATACGCTTGCAGCCTTTTTTAGCCAATTTCTACCTTTGCAATACAGAGGGTGGGTAAGATGCGCGATCAAATTCTGATTTCCTCTATCTGCGAGCCTTATTCATTTACTTTCTTGCTAGCTAACTAGTCAGTCCCCTTCTTGGCTAATTTTTTTTTTTTTTTTTTTTTTGGGTCAGTAGCAAATGCGGCTCGGCTCCCCTTATTTGCATAGGTGATACATATTCCTAATTTGAATAGAAGATGCTTCCATAGCAAATCTGTTCATCACTTATCTTCCTCGCATCGAACAAGATGACAATATATGGGAAATCCTTGCCGTATATGGAGGGATATTCTATTACCCTGCAACTCCATTTTCTCCCTTTGGTTGCTTTTGGTCTGAATCTTCTAAGGCTACCCCAGGGACTTTTGTTTACAGTGGTTTGCACTATGCATACATCTACAGAATGCAAGACACCAGATGATTAATCTGTTGCATTATAATTGTTTGTGACTTTATCAATATTATCATATGAGCAGGCCCTATCCATCACTATGAACGGGGGATGATGAAGAACATGTCAAGACTATAAATCACAGAATTATGAGCCAGTCAAATAAACATATGCTTCAGTTCTCATGCGATGCTCTCTCAGTTCGAAATTTCCTCCTGTTGCTCAGCCCATGTAGCAATGTCACTTAAAAAACGCCGGGCAATGCCTATCTTTATACCATTTTCAATAAAGAATTTTGGATTTTGATCGTTGTAGACCTGCTCAAGATCAAAACCATTCACCAGTGCCGCATCACATGCTTTTCAAAAGTCTGTTTTGAGCGCCTCAGTGGTAGCATTAGATTCTTGCCACTGCTGTATGCCTTCACAGCCTCATCTCGAGGGCCAAAGGATCTTGGGCCAATCAAGGTAATGAGTAGTTGCATACAAATGCCGACTGGCAGGTATTGCTGCGAAGATGGTGTAAAGGAATAATATATAACCGCTTGTTCCGAAGCCACAATTGTTCATCTGGTTACAATTGCAAAAGGGAAACGCAAAGGCAGATGAGGACAGGAGGAATTGTGAGTGATCTGTGAGGTGAGTGGGGGCTTTCAGGCACTACATGAAACCCCCACCTTGCTGATTGGCTCCTTCGCCCTCGTTGCCAGGAGGAAACCAAGACGGCTGTGAGCCCGGTGGCAGGCAGCCAGCCGGGGCACTGGGTTCACTGGTGCCGACACGTGTTGCGAATTGTGCGAGCATGCCGTACTTGGGTGAATGGGTAGTTAATGCACACTCCGCATGGAGCAGAAGATTTTTCAGGGTTTTCAGCCCCACATTGCAGATTTTGCAATCCATCAGCCGAAACTTCTTCAGATGCCACCTCTGGAAATGTTTGGTCAGGTCCCCTGGTTCCTGGAATGAATAGACTCAGTCTGCCAGCAAGAATTTGGTGTTCTGCAAACAGAGAAAGCAAATTTTGGGTCACAGTTCTGTCCGGACCGCTTAAACGGCCGACTCAAGGGGCGCGGTCGATGATGGCTGGCCAATCACTCCCCCGCCTTGACGGCCGTTTGCTACAAGGTGGCCGACCTGGGCCTAGAGCCGTGACCACGTCGACGGCAGAGCGGCCCCTCTCCAGCACCGCAGTATGCACTGACGGTGTGGAGGGCGGTAATATGTCGCTGCAGTTCTGCCTCTGGGGTCTTTTGATGGAAGCATTAGGGCCGCATCGATCATGATCAGATATCTGTTCAGGCGTCATGTACTCAGACTGCTCTAGTTCACCTCTCACATCCTTATCGATAACCTTTCCGGAGAGCTGCCGCTTGCTGTTGATCACTGGCTGTTCCTGTCAGTATTGCTCTAGAATCTCATGCCTGAGCTTGATCCTCACGCGTTGCTTCTCGCTGCGGAGCCAGCGAACGGCCTTGTGATATCTCTCATCTCTCCTCTCGTGCTTCTCAACCTGGCGCCTATATTTGTCTTCCCATTGTCGGTCTTTCTCAGTCTTTCGGCTGTACCTCTGTCCCATCCGACTGTGGAGCCAGCGTGCAGTAGCGTCACGGCGCTTCTTCATACATTTGACTGACCAGGAAGTCTTCAGAATGCGCGCCAGGTAGTTTAACAATCTCGACTGCTCCGGCATCAGCTTCCAGAATCAGCAGGAGTTGATGGACCATCTCATTAAGCACACCATCCTCTTCAGTACCTTCTGCAGTTTGCGGCCATGGTAGATGCTGAGGATATCAGTGGTGATGTTTCAGTCCAGATAGTGTTTGAGAAACGTATCAATACTGGCGTGCTGGAGCATCAGGTTCTGGAGAGAATCACTCACATCCGCCGTTTGACAATGCCAACATCAACAGGCATGTTCACTCTTGAAAAGGGAACGGGAGGGAAAAACAGATGGACAATCACGGCTCTTGTTGAAACCCTTCACCACTGCATCACAGAGAACATACAGCTTTGAAACCTGCTGGAAGCCTATGATCTCGCCACTCTTTTTCATCTGAGTCTGCACTGAAGCTTTGGTCAACCAGATCTCATGTGTAATGCAGATGCTATCTCTTTCGTGGACAGTTGAGCAGAAGATGAACTGATCTGTCAGATCATCTTGCAGTGAGAGTTTTTGCTGATTGAGTCCATTCAGAACACGCAGGCTGTAGAGATCCTCAGGGTGTTTGATGCCTTGTCACTTGAATGCCTGGATGTGAAGCAGCATCCCCGGGAGGAAGACATGTGGACTGAGCACCAGAGTTGGGTCGTAGATGATTCTCTGGAAGTCAAAAAGTGTTCCTGGACGAAAAGCCAGTCGACTCATGAAGAAACAAAACAGCCACGGAGCATGGGGGAAACCTACACATAGTTCATGCCCAGGAAGGTCTTGGTGAAGTGGGCGGTCAGCCCAACGCACAGATGAGGTACACTGATATGGGGGTCCCGGACCAGCATGAGCTCCAGATCATGATACTGAAGCTGGGTCAAGGCATCTGGCTGATTACCCGTGATACCCGTGACCTGACAGAAGAGGATCAGCTCACCACGCAGCCGACTGACCAAAAACTCCATCTCGTTCATGACCAGAAGCACGTGGAGGTACTCCGCCAAGTCACCAACGTACATGGGCTCCCCGGGCCTCTTCTCGTGGCTGAGCTTCTCCTCATCAGCGATGAGCTCGATCACCTGTCAAAAATAGTTTAGACGGAGATATCATAAGGGGAGAGGATCTGATACCAGGGTAGGAGCCACATTACATTCCGTGCTTGAGCCATGATCAGAGGATTGATGCTGTCACCCGTGGCTTGCTTATAGATCTGAGAAAACTGCTTCCAGAAGGTTCCCAGGGAGCTGACGGCTTGGATCCCCGGCCACCTTCTTCCCCCTTTGCCACGACATTGGTCGCAAGCCCCGCTGAGAAACCCTTTAAAGGATTGGATTGAGAGTGTCCAGTAGACATCAAGCACATTATTCCTTCTCATGTATTCACAGTATCTGAGAGCCTCCACAGTTAGCGGGATGTTTTGGGGCATGCTTGAGATCACACTCATAGTGCCAGTGGTCTGAAGACTCTATCCATGTTATCAACCATCGCTTTCTTCAAGCAACACTACCAAAAACATTTAACATCAAGAGTAGTCTCCTCGACCTTATAATATTCAAGAGAAGGAAGCTTATTATCTTCTGAGATCTCCTCATCACTGTCATGACTATCCTCACTATCCTGGCTGTCAGTCTCCTCAGTCCTGTCAGTATTGTCATCACTGTGGTCTGAAAACATATCATCAGCGTATTCCAACTCGCTGTTGGAGAACTCACTACCCTCAGTCTCAGGGGAAGGAGGCATGCTAGGAGTCAGGCAAAAAGGAAACCTGCTGACGACACTGGAGAGATCAGAGTGTGAATGGATGAGGATGAAAGGCAGAACAAGAGAGGAACGAGAGGAAAAGTTGATGGTGTGAAAAGGTATACAGCAAAATAGCCTATGGGGACAATGTCAAACTGGAGTCATATATTGATGTTACTCGCGGATGAATCTGGAGTGAAACCAGAAGAGCAGAAGGCCACCTATCTCCCATGGAGGGAGGATAGTGCCCGGCAAATGGGAAGGGATCCATTTTGAGTGACCTGGCACGAAAAGAAATGGTGGCCTCTGGCTCACTCGGGGTGGGGGATGGTGAGGTGAGTGAAAACAGACTGGCAGAGGGAAGTGTTTCAAGGTTGGCGCGACATGACGATCGCATTGATTGTAACTATGTGTGCATGTTGGAGGAAGGACAGCACAAAATGGCTTTGGGACCAGCTTCTTTCAGCCGCCCACTCGCCATCACATCATTTAAGCAAATAATATATTTAACTTTTATGAAATATAATAAATAAATTTCCAAGCCAAGACATCCATCAAGCTTTTTGCAGGCCTCGGATGAATGTTTTTGAACGGCTTTGGCAGTTTTGGCGTGTTGTTTGATGGTGAGCAGCTAGGAAACCCATTTAACTAGTTAACTACCAAAGCCAGTTCCACCACTTCATCCACGAGGTCTTAGCTGTAACTAACCCTTAGCTAACTTCCAGATGATTTCCAAGGATTCTGCGGTGCCCAGCAGGCGACCACATACATAGAGATAGAAGAACACAGAAGATTCAACACAGAGGACAGGTTGGGTTTGTTCCTGTAAAAGGATGCCAAACTGTTGAGATGGAGAAAGCAACAGTGATAGACTTTTAATAATTTTCTTTTGCATGTATTTATAATTAAAAATATTATTAATAAAGCTTTTATTTTTTTATATATTTTTCCATATTTAAATACAGTAAGTAACTATTCACGCAATGGCACTGTTGACTTCTTATCTTAGCGTCATCCCTTGTAAAATTCAATATATTTTATAGAAATAATAAAGACTTTTAATAATTTAAGCAACTGATAAAAATATTTATATATTATAAAAAATTAAAAGTAATGAGTTTAAATCTAATAAGATAGAATAGTATTAAAAATCAAATATTAATTGAATTTTAAATGACATTTTATTCATATCTTTAATATTATTAATTAAAGTAATTATGACTCTACTTTACATATAAAACACTGCTATTTTTAGATTAAAAACTATGTATTATAAATTCTATAATTAAATATTCATTAATACTTTTCTATAAAGTTTACATTTAACTTACTTTATTATATAAATATATATATATAAAACTTTACATTCTAAATATATTATAGTTACTGTATTTAAATATGAAAAAATATATAAAAAATAAAAGCTTTTAATAATATTTTTAATTATAAATACATGCAAAAAAATTTATAATAAGTGTGTCATTAAATACAGATCTAGTATTTTCTTATAATAAAAAAGACAAAATCATAAGAAAAAATTTAAAAATTTGAAAATTAAAAAAATAAAAATAAATCCAGAGTTTTATACAGATTGGTTGTTTGTTAAAGTGGATATATATGCAAGAATCGTAGAGTAGCCGAAGGGTATTAAAGAAATTTTTTTTTTAAAAAAATAAATAAACTAATGCTATTTCATTTGTATGTTTTTGTTGCAAATTTTGATTTAATTTATGGGTACATCTAGTCTAGACGACAAAAGGGAATAAAAGGCATGAAAAATGTAACCACGAGTCCATGAAACACATTCAAGCGCTATCTGGGGCAAAAAACATATAATAGCATAGCATGCGGGGGAAATGTAAAAGCTGGAAACAGAAATGGGGAATGAAATGGGAACGAAACCGAATAGGACAATGGAGGGGTCGTGGTACATACATTTCTGGAGAGAAATGGGGGAAACGTGGGTATGGGCATCATCTCATCTACTTGGGAAATGGTAAAGGCATAAATAGAAGACAGGGAAAGTGACAGGGTACAAAAAAGGGGGAAAACATTTAAAACACCCCTGGTGGGAACAAATACATGAACTGAAATGGATATGTATGTAGTTGGGGGGAAAGGGGGTAAATAAAACAACAATCTTCAATGAAGAAATAACATCTGTCTGTCATGGGAGAAGAATCGATAGAATCGATGAAGCCGAAGCGTGATCCCTAGACGGCAATGGCAAAGACGGAGGAGTGCCGGGGCGGACCAGCCATGCAGAAATGCAAAAGCAATTTTCGTCATGAGTTTGCTATGTAATGTGGTAGATGGTCAGATGAAAAGAAGAAATGAAAAAAATGAAAAAATGGTAGAAGACCCGATGGCATGGGATATGGCGTGAGCATGTGCATGTAAATCTACACCTGTATTCTGTAATCATAAAGATCAAGAGGTCCACATCCAATGATACAGAAATCAATCGACACTTTGGTGGCAACGGGTGTGAGGCGAGATATCGTATAACAATCACCGTATCCAAGGTGACCACTAGCATGGAATAAATGGCTATGCAGATGAACTCAAGAAAGCAAAAAAGGGCTGTTGATAGGACAGACAGATGATCGGTGGAAAATGCCACAAAAATGGAGCAGTTATGCAGCTTGAAAATGGTGATTGAAAAAAAAATTGTAAAAAAAAATATGAAAAAAAGAAATAAAAAATACCAAAAAATAGAACAAATAGAAAAGAAGAAAGAAAGAAAGAAAATAAAATGAGGTTATTTCGGAGTTTCCATCCCAGAGAGATGCTGGACGGGTGAATGGGGAATAATGATATATGTCGTATGTCGTCGGCTTGGGGATGAAGGTATCGATAGGATAACCATGACTGTTTCCCTTTCTTGACGCGGGCAGATCTCTAGAAAGGCAAAGAGGAAAACAACTTCTCTTCGTCATGGCGTACAAAAGAAGATGAAGATTTTTGCTCAGGAGACATGATATGGCTTGTTATGCCAGAATGTGGTGGATCAAAAGATAGATATGCAAAGTGATGTTACCAAGACGACTAAATCAAAATAGATCAATTTTGAAGTCTGAATCGGGGAATCTGCTGGCTTGTTCAGACGAATCTTTCTCCCCAACCCAAGACCTCTCTCTTACCACACCATCCAAAGGTGCGCTTCTTCGCGTCGTCGTGAAGTCTAGACCGTGACTGAAAATTCCTCATGACTTCGTTTCGTCGTGAAATTCTGATTGTACATTTGTGAACAAAGGGAAAACAAAATGAAGACAGGAAAATCGTGATGGGTAAACTGATGGTGATTCCAGAGCTCGCTGCTTCCGGATGAGGCGTTCTGACAAAATGGTGAGAGCGAATTATCCATAAAAGGGGAATCCCTGAGATGGGAATCTGTTACTTCCATCCACACCTTGTGGGATGGGGCTGTAAATGGTTGGTACAATCTCCTCATTGTTGTTGTTGCCACTCCGTGTCGGGGGAGTAATTGCGTTATGATTTGCAAGACCGTTCCCATTGATTCCGGGTGCTGCGGTGGAAGAGTTCTTGTTTATCATATCATTGTTGCCGTTCTCAGCAACACTAAAAGCTGATGGATACTGAGGATGAAGGGAAGTAGGGTAAGAGTGCATCTGTTGATAGACATTCGGCATGGCCATCGTCATAGTTGTAGGCATAGTCATCTCGTTCGGCGTAATCTGTCCGCTGCTAGACGAGGAATTTCCTCCATTGACACGTCCCTGGTTCTCTGCGCTCATGATTTTCCCGGTGATACGGCGGCCATGGGGGGTCTGGCGGATCGCTGGTAGGATTGGGCGGATTGCATCAATCAGCTTATTACGGCTGTCGGGATCTGCGAAGTCCATAGCAGTTTGGACGACGTAGTTTGCGAAAGAGTCGCGGAGCATCTTTTCGAGTTCGCTAGGGACTAACATCTCCTCGATGAGGGCGGCGCGACACTGGTTGTCAGCAGTTCTGATGCATTTTTCGATGACGTTGGAGCTGAACTTTTGTTTGGAAAGAGCGGGGATGTTGCCGCGGAAGCTGCGGCAGATGGGCTCGATAAAATGCCGTTCGTTAAGATCCACTGCGTCGTCATTGTTAGCAAAATTGGTCCAAATCATTTGGGGAGGTTGGTGTTCCTTACAAATATACTGAACGACATAATTTCCAAAAGGGTCCTGAACGAGGGTGAATGCGTTTTTGGTGATTTGTTCGATCAAACGAGCGCGCTGGTCACCAGAAGCATGGTCAATGCAACGCTGCAACACGCAGCAACCATGACGATGAGTCCCAACTGGCACACAACTTGCACCAACTGCATCATAGATAAACTAGCATAAAGATTAGTAGACTGAAAACGGTGATGTTGGAGATTTGTAGTACCTGAGCATCGGTTGCGGAAAGGCGATTCAAGCATTTCTGGATGACATGATTTCCATTCAAATCCTGGACAAGTTCGACAACTCGACCACGCAAGGCTTTTATTACAGTTTGAGTCTATATGACTGTCAGCCACGCCAAAGACAACCCACATCAAGGGAGGGAAACATACTTGTTCAGGAGTCGAGATGAACTCAATCATCTTCTGCAAAGCTCGAGTTCCATGTTGGTTCAAAGCAATCTTGACAAGCTGAGGAGCAGCGTTGTTAATGAGAGCAGTGCGCTGTTCGTCATTCGAGTACTCAAGGAGCTTCTGGCAAAGATAATTTCCAAATGGATCTAGCAAAAAATATCCGGGTTAGAAATCAGGATACCTTGCAATCGCATGACGCATGGCAAATACTAACCAGTCATAAGCTCCACAACGTGAATATGAGTCTCCAAAAAAATCATCTGAACGTGTGCTGGGTTCTGTTCCTCCAGCTTCTTCTGCAAATAGCGGCAGCCGTACTGATCCTTGCACATGCTATAAAGCTCGCCTTGGTATGTTTCCAGAGGCGCATTGCCAAACCGCGAAAACTGGCCTGATTCGCCATCTCCACTGCGACGACCCTGGTTGGTTCTCGCAGGGCTTTCCGGGAAGCGGGAGTAAGGGGTGTAAGCTGCTGGGTATGGACCGTAGGGCGGATTATGTTGGAAGGCTGGCACTGGGGGATTGGTTGGAATTGAGCTGGTAATGAATGGCTGCATGGTGTACCCGTACATCGAATTTGTGAAGGATCCCATCGTTGGATTAATGGAGTTGTTGCCGTTTGACATCCCTGTGGTTGGGGAAGCCAATTGCGGGCCAAAAGGTGTAGCGTTTGCTTGCAGGACAGACCGCAACGGCTGGACATTTACGGACTGGTCCTCACGGTCAGGGGAGATTGAAGGGGCCGGTGTGTCATTTCCTTGGTGTGGAGTAGCTGGAACTCGACCAACACTTGCACTGTGAGAGTGGTAAGGATCTCCATGAGACTTTGGAGGGGTTACAGCCATATATCCATTGTTATTCGAGGCTGGGATATCGCTGGTAGAGTACGACATCTGCAACGATGTTGGGCGGGACTGGACTCCATTGGTGGTCGAATAAAGGCTCTGGGTGTTAGTACAAGCCGAGAACCCGGGCTCAAGCGAATGTCTATGTGGCTGGCGAGCGTTTGATTCACTCGCGGGTGAGAATGGAGCGGAAATGTGCTCGCCTTGGCCCTCTGAACGATTGTTTCCAATATAGTCAAACTGAGACATTTTCAATGAATTGTAAGGTAGGGACGCATGATGACGGTGATTGTAAGTCTCTGGCCCTGGGGTCCGAGAATTGGCCAAATCCAATGCAGCTGGATTTGCCGAAAGCTGGATTAAAAAAAAAAAAAATTAGTTTCCTGCCATCCCAAAATGAGCGGATTACCAAAAGAAAAACATACCAAACCAGAACTATCGTCACGACGAACCAATGTTGGGAATTTATCATCGGGGTCAGTCAGTTTCAGATAACTCTTTACATCCGGAGTTGGGATACGGTCATCGTCCTTGGCGCCTCCCCTATCACCTTCGTCGTCGTCCCCCAAAGCAAACTTAGCTGGATGGAATGGGTTGAGGCCAATAGACCGGGAGAACCCATTGGTTGTAGCCGTGGTAGAATTGGTGAAAGAACCAAAACTAGATGAAGGCATAGAGTATCTATTTGAACTGATTGCTTAAGTGAGTACGAAGTGAAGGACCAAAAGCTGGAATAGAGGAATGAATAGTGAATGTACATAGTTTCACGAATCAAATGATAAGATACATCCCAAGAAAAAAACAAGGAAGAAACGGGTGATTTTGCTTCCTAGGTTGTTTAGATATCAAGGGCCACAAGCGAAAGGGTGGAACAAGATGTCGGAATTGGGCAGGACAAATGTTCGGGGGTTCATGTGAAGTAAGAAAAAGGAGCTTTGAAGGTGAAACCAAATCTAATACATACGAGCAACCTTGGCGATATGACGGGAACGATTCTGGAAAGTATTCTTCCTCAGAGTTCCGGCGGGATCCCAACATGGACTGCGGTGCGGACGCCTGGCCTAACGTAGTAGCCAAAATCGACTTAGGCTGTGCTGCAGGAGACACAACCTGGGATGGGCTGAATGGATTAAACACGCCAGGTGCGGTGGCACTCGAGATCGAAAATCGAGTTGGACGAGAGAAGACAGACGGGAATCCGTTCTCTCTATACTCAGGGTGGGTTGTGGGTTCGCTAACGGGCCCACTCAAGCTTGCGTTAGCAAGATCTCGAGCCATCTGATCGAGTTCCTGCCGTTCTTTCTCCTGTTGGAGATCTAAGAGCTTCATGTCTGCTTCAAAACGCTTCCTCTGCTCCCTCATGTACTCGATATGGGCTTTCTTCTTCTCGAACTGTAAGGATTGTTAGATAAGGACCTTAGATGGAATGGGCCAAGAAAATAAAAGAGAACAACGAGGACACCAGGTCAAGCGCCCAAAGGATAAACGAGGGACACAAGGTAGGTAAAGTGTAAAGGGTTTAGACAAAAAGAAGGCACAGGTTAGGTTGTAGAAGGCCGAATTCGAAGTGCTGTAGGGGATTGAAAAGTGCTAAGTGAAGATGCATATGAGAGAGAGGGCGAGGCACTCACCAGTTGAGACTTATGAATTTGTGTAGCCTGTTGAAAAGAGCAAAAAACGATACAGTCAGCCAGTTGCAATATAGTCCAATCAATATCAAAGAAGAACTTAGTCAAAAGTTCTCGTCCATTGTTGCAGCAATCATCTCTATAAAATCAATGTTCAAGCTCTTATTTCACTTGAAACCCTCACTTCTCTCCTGCAACACTAGGCAATCCCAGGTGAATAACACCCCGTCCTCCTGATCCCAGCCGACAGCAGTTGGACATCGCTTCATCCCGCCCACTCACTCTGCCTCCCCCCCCCCCCCCCCCCCCCCCAAATCAACAAACAAGGTATATATTAGACAACAAAACAGTAAAACTCACAGAAGAAAGCAGGTCGAAAGACTCCGGTGGGGGCAAGGGTTGGGAATTGCTAAATGCAGGCCATGACGAGAGCTTGCTGGCGTCAGTGGTGAATCGGCGTTGGAGATTTGCACGCACTTCGGAGGAAGGTGGTGGGAATGCGGATAGGTAGCTGGTTGTCTTCTGGCCCTTTGAGGGCGAGGGATAGCTAGCGAATGGGGAATCCGTGGCGGAAGGAGGAGAGCGGGGGGAGGAGAATCGGAGCTCTTCCAGGCGCTCGTTTAGGCCGTTCTTGAAGGCCATGGTGTGTTATGGGTGTTTACTATAACTGCCACCGTGTGTGTGAGAGAGTGCTGTATGTGCGGTGTAGATCTGGACAGGCTACAGAGACGGAGGGAGGGGGGTCATGTTAAAATGAAGGCGGGGGGAAGAGAGAGAGAAAGAGAGAAAGCGAGACGTGACTCGACACGACTAGCAATGGAGCAACAACGCAGAACATGGAAATGATGGAATTGGAGATTTGTCTGCAGGCGACAGGGGCCAGAACGGCTGGGAGAAAGAAGGGCAGAGAAAAGAGCCTCGAGGAATGAGGTTGAGATTAGTCTTGCCCCCAGGGCGATGAGGAGGAAGGGTGGAGAGGAGAGAGAGTCAGGGAGTATGACTAAGAGAAGGGGGGGTGGAGGTTGGGTTTACTAAAATCAAGGCTAGAAGCGTTGGGCGGTTGTGCTGCAGGCTATAATAAGTGGGCTGATATTATTAGAGCAGCAACAACTTGCAACTCTCAGGCCCCAGCCACAAGACATCACACGTACAATTCAGAATTCAAAAATATATATTCGACGGGGAGAGAAAGAAACCAACAGTATAGCAACAGACATGCCAGAATAATACTCACAGGCTGCAGGCTGCGGTGGAGTTGCTTTAATAGCGGCAGCTATCAATTAGTTATCGTATCCGACTGCGTCGAGTCTTCCAGCTAACTATACAGGAAGCCCCTAGTTAAGCGTCACAGATCTAGATGCATAAGCATTCGAGTCAACTTCAGCCATGGATGTATGAGATTATGGCATTATGGGACTTTTTGAAAGGATGAGGGATCTGTGAAGGGTGCTGCACACATACACAACTCTGTTATATTTTTCGTTTCGTGGAATGATATGATAATTATCCTACATACGTTCGTCGCATTCCTAGCAATGATAATCTTGTCCCTTTCCCTTTTCTCCTGTTTCCGTTTCCTTCTGCCTTTTTCTTCTGGTTGCTGCTCTACTCGCACTCTGGGGATTGTAGTGTTGGATTTATTGGTACAGCGGGAGAAGTTAGGATTAAAACGGAAATGGATGATCCCAGTTCAACGAGTGTCGTTTGCAACCGGATCAGTTTCAGATCGATCGTCAACAACTGCACCAATCCGGGAGTCTCAGACGTTGATTTCTTCTGGTTTCTTCGCTTCTGGACAGCTGAACAGGCCGACGGGAAGGCAGACAGACAAGGTGCTCTTTTTTATTTTATTTTATTTTTATTTTTATTTTTATTTTTATTTTTATTTTTATTTTTATTTTTATTTTTATTTTTTTTTCAATCACAACAAAATGTATAAAACGAAGGGACTGGGGGTGAATGAAGAGAACTGGGCTCGAAGAAATGGGAAGAGAAAATAAGAGTGGACAGAATAAAAGAGTGCAAAGGGAAATAAATGAGAAATGAGGGGAATGGTTGTACAGAAAATGGAGGAATTAATAAGTGGTTTTCCAATTTTTTTATTATTATTTTTTTTTATTATTTTTTTTAACCGCTTCAGAGCTACTCACTAGAGGGGAGAAACCTCCTTTCGACAGTTAATCTAATAACTGGCCAGGAGCAAGAAAATGGAGAGAAGAGGCAGATGAAAAAGAAAGAGAAATCAGCCTGCAACCGGGAAAAACAGAAACGAATGAAATGGAAAATACACTGGATGTACAGCGGATGGATCGTTCACCCCCATCTGCTGGAGGAATTGGCCAGGGTTGGTTGGTAACTACTGCATTAACTGATCATGAACATTTAACAAGGTGCCTGTTTTGACCGTTGGGGGGATGGGAATTGCAACTTTGCAAGGCCCGGGGGGGGGGGGGGAAATAATCAACTACTGCTGCTGCTGCTGCTACTGCTGCTACTACTGTTGTTGGGCGCGAATACCCCAGGAACCTCCCCCCAACTGGCAACTAACTATTTAACCCCTGCACTGCAAGGGAACAAGGCCGACGAATCAGCATATGCGAATTGGTTTATTGAAAAGCTACGGAATGTTTCTTTTTTTCTTTTGCGTCGTTCTGGGGCCTGATGTGTGATTGTTCGATGTTGGGCAGCAAAAGTACCCGATACCTTGATCCAACCGAAAGCGCACCCATCGAGTTAATTAGTGAGGGGTCAGTCACCGCCTGTTTCGGGATTCCCCTCCGCTTTTCAAGCTCGTCTTTTGCCGCTTGGAGATCGAGTATCAGTGACATCCCGCGGTCATCTTATTGCCCATGCCCCATTTATTTTCCCTTCTTATTCCTTTCTCGATTGTTTCTAACCTGGCATATCCCAACCCAAATATAAATCATCTCTAACTATGTATTATCTCTCTCGCTGACTACGTCTCCCGCTTGTATCTGCGACTTTTCCATCCCATCACTCTCCATCAGGCGGCTCCTAATCAAACACCCCTGCCCGCCGCCGCCTCCTCTCCTCTAACGTACACATAGACCTAGGTACTGGACACAGGTGCATACATATATGACAATGGCCGCCCCGCCCAACGTGTAAGCTGCTGAGTAGTTAGCTCCCATGATCCTTATCGTTCTATTCCCCATCCCGCATCCCAACGCATGCATCCTGCACCCTGCACAGTGCAAGTTCCTGGCCCTGCTTCCCCACACTAGCCAATGACCCACCCCGTCGACTAAACTCAACTCTGATTGGGTGGGTCCCTTTTCAACGCCGCAAAAGTACCCCGGGGGGTAAAGAGCCTGAGAGGCCCAGGGTTTCTGTTTTTGAAAGTTTGTCTTCCTTTTTTTTTCATTTATTTATTTATTTATTTATTTATTTATTTATATCCTGTTTCAGCGGCAGACTGGACTGTTTCTCTTATTTTTGCATGCTGACTTTAGATGGGGGGTTCGAGTAACTTCTCGATGGGTTTGAGCATTGGCGTAACATTGGGATTGGAAGTTTGGGTCTGACCGGCAATCGACCTGCTGCTGCATTGGACGTGTTGGCAGTACCGCGGTCGGCGCCTGGAACTGGGGGGGAATGGGCAGGCTGGTTGGTGGCCTTCGAGGGGCCCGGGAGGAGACAATGGCTAACTGACAGACAGCCTGAGCTTGGCTACGTTAGGGCTTCGGAGGTTGGATGGAAGATCGGAAGTTACAACGCTTGATTTTGTTGGTCTTGGAGCCGAGTAACGTGTTGATTTACCCAGCAGTTCGACGGGATAAATAAATTTCCTTCCTAGGTATTGTCCTTTTGATGCCATTCACTCACTCCCTAAATAAACCCAAGCCATCGGCTTTTTTCCACACTTCATTTCATCTGGGCTTTTCCTGCATCAACGCAACGGCCTCAAAGCACCCCCCCCCCCCCCCCCCCCCCCTTTTTTTTTTTGTAATTCAAAATGGTGTCAAAATGATCATGCTATTCCCTCGATCTCCGAGGATGATAATACTCTCCCAAAATCCCAAAGCCTTTAGCAACCCTCCAAAAAAAATTCAAAAAATAAATAAATAAATAAATAAATAAATAAATAAATAAATAAATAATAATAATAATAATAATAATAATCTTAGACACCCCCGCCCCTCAAAGTCGTCACCACGTTGGTCTAGTTCCTCATATAGCTAAGGGCAGCTCGTCCAATCCAATGGCATTATCCGCCTATCCGCCGCGATATTCGGATGTCTGCACCTCCAACTTCCACACAAACAGTACATACAGTACATGTCCATGTCCATGTCCATGTACGGCTCAGTACATACATGAATGATGTGTGGTTTTCTCGATCGTCTCCGTGGAACTCTCTCGGATTGGAAGATTGTTGAGAGATCCCCCATTTTCTTCGCGTTTACACCTCTCACCTCTCCCCACGCCCCCAACCCCTTGCTACTGGCCAGTCAGGAGTCAGACATTCCCCGCAGATACGGGGGGGACCAAAAATGAGTATCACAGGAGAGCTCGAGAGGACATTCCCCTCATTTGATGTACGGCGGAACATACATACATGAATTACTTTGTGTATGGAGTATGGAGGATGTATATGCGCATCAATGTAGAAACGTTTAACCAGGATGAGAGAGAGAGAGTTACCGCCAAATGGTCGATGCCTGGACGGAGATGTCGATAACTAGTTACCTCACATAACTATCGATCTTCTTTAACTCAACCTCACTAATCACGCCAGCAAAGCGTCCTCGAACGTGAGCTTGCCACGAAGCTGGTGTACTGTTTTGGCCCTGTTGTCTCTCCCCCCGCCTCCGTCATCCGCCACTCGTCATCCGCTCAGACATCAAGATTGTCTCTTGGTCTCGATGCGCCATGCAGACTGTTTTAACATGCAGCGGAAGGGAACAACCGCCACTGTTAGCTGGGAGCTCGAACTCGAACCATTAATAATGTTGATTCTGACAGGGTTAATTAGTTAGCTAACAGCAGTTTTCTGTTGGGTGTGGTTGATTCTTTTGGTGCTTGTTTTCACTGACAGGCCCTCTCCAGAGGCAAAAAATCAATCTATGTTAACTACTTATCGAAGTGTTACGGCCGGTCCCTATTTAGTCCAAATTCATAAAACCCATTAACAATTCTCCACTCCCTCCTACAACAAGTTAACTAATGTCTAATCGCTGAGTTAATGAACCGAAACAAAAGCCATACGCAGGCCTTTCGACCTAGCCAATTCCCGTTGTGTAACCGCAACATAGTCCTATAATATGCATGTCTGACGTTCTTCCCCTTCCCTTCCATTACGTCGCTTTCTCGCCTCGCCCTGCGGTCGAGTTAGGATTGAACAGCGAGAGAGCTAATTCAAGGGAAATGATTCGATCGGAGCTTGAGTAGATGGGGTCACCTGAGGTCACCTAGGGCCCCATGGTCGCTTTAAAGGGAGAGTTGCTTGGTATTTATTTCCATTCCGTGTGTCTCCTTGGACATTTAGGTGAAAAACTTTTAGCTTCGGTTCAGATGTTTCGGATTTTGTCGCACAAAGGAACATTGACACGGCTTGCTGAGTAGCTAAGCATCTTTCTGTGCCCCGCTGTCTTTATGGAAGATTGGAGCACATCCCACGATTATGTCTTTAAGGTCCGTACATCCAAAGTCAGAGGCAAGCAAAGTTACCCCTGGCGAAGCGTTGGTGAATGTAGCTCCGGTAGTACCCCGTACATAGAGGGACATATCTGCAACAGGCGGCCACAACATGAAAGCCTTGGTTTTTCCGGCAAACATCTGCGGCGGATTTCTGGCTGGCTGGCACGTTTCAACTAGCCAAATCGGTGCCATCGAACGTTTGTTGTTGTTGTTGTCCGATTACGTTACAGCCAATCGCACAATGCAGGGCGTTTGAATCAACTGTGTAGCGGCAGTAGTTTGCATTTGGCGACGTATCCATGTGGAGAAGTAGGGTGTATGCTTGGAAGGGCACTTCAAAGAGCTCTTAGACAATTGGTGAATCCCAATGATTTTCTTCGACTTCGTCTTTTGCTTTGGTGTGGAAGTTGAAATAGGGGAACGCCGACGGAAGTTGAGTGTTGAAAAAAATTTTAATTTTTTCCCCCTTCTAAATTTGAATTTTCCTAGATAATTGTACAGCGATGATATTTAACTATGCAACATTTCTGCTAATATTATATTTTGTACAGTCCTGTCGCTGTTATTCAATACTTGATGCAAAGTTGACATGGGTTCAGGGTTGACATTTTCTCCTCCTCAAGCATCCACAACCACCATCCTTCAACAAGTGTCAACTTACTCAGTACCAGGGCAATGCTCTTATTTCCTGACGTAGATGAGGTGCCACGGTTATGGCGACTCTACTCCCAATACCCCATGATGGCCTCTATGTTGGCCAACTAACTTCGGTTCGCCCAGCTTTTCATACATAGCTGGCCGAGGTATTCCTATCGAAGCAGAGAGAACAACACACAGGAATGTGACGACATCCAGATGTCACAGTATAATGGCCAGAAGAAGCACACCTGTCACGATCTGAATATACTCAAATAATCTAGGTGTACTGCGTGGACTGATACGATCAGGCTTCATGTTCTTGTTGTTAGCTGATGAAGAGAAAAGAAAACTCATCCCCTCAAATTGCGATCCTGTGAGAAACTGAATATAACGCCCCTTTAATTTTCAAAGGACCACTGCAACGCAAAATAAATTCATGGGTTAGTACAGTTTTGTACATTTTTATATATCTGATTTAGCGCCATTAAGCTGATGAACATTCACTTCTCATCCATGCCACAGATATCGGTAGGCATCATTGAAATTCCCAGCAGCTTCGTCGTCTTCGTCAATACAACAAAAGCTACCACAATGCAAAGGCAGCCCAATCCAACATTGGGTAGACACCTTATCTTGGCCCTTCACACCCTCTCTTGACACTGCCTTCCTGATCCCTCCATTCCCCAACGAAACCGCCAGCACAGTCCTCCACTTCTTCTCATCCATCCAGAGTCTCTCCGGCGTTTCAGTTGTATTCATCGGAAAGCATGTGCTTCCAAAAGTCCCTTGGATTATCACGGTATTCGCTTATACCGCGATGAACCACTGGCATCCCTGATGCAGAAGGTTATGCAGATCATCACCCAAGAAACCGATCCATCTTCTTCTTCTTCTTCCCCGCAGACCACGCTATGAGAACTTAGCAAAAATCCCACGATGCCTGTGGAACGCCACGGGATGTGAAATCATCGACAAGCTGGGTAATCGTCTGACTCCGGGCTGTGACGAGGATAATAACAATGGCAATCTTCCTCATTCGGCGTTAGCCTACTCAATCAAACAGCCGTGGACCCAGTCTGTGCTCGTGTCTCTTCTTCCAGATTTCCTTCCTCCCTGATCCAGCCCCGGATAAAGCCCCATGGCTTCTCGCATGATGCATTCTCGCACGCCCAACACGCTGCAATCCCCACACTTACCGAATCGGCACCTCTACCTACATCGACATATGCGTCTGCAACTACATCTGCATCCGCATCTGACAGCGGAACCTGCCTTGATTCCGATCCCAACCCCACAGTAAGCCACGCCAACCCAACCGCAAATCTCCTTTTCCCCTTCTCTGCCATCGAATTTACCTCTGCCGCTACAGACGGCGCACCCCACACAGCAACAGATGAAGCCAGCAGAGCCGCTGCCATCGCCCTTAATTGTCTTCTTTCTAGAACTCCACCGCCGAAACCGGCAGCATACAGCAGTTCGACAGTGCGCAGCCCTGATCTTTCTCGCTGACGAAGGACCAGCAAATTGCGCGGTTAAATGTGAATTGGATGACAGTTACAGGGAGGAAGGTGTTGAAGCCGAAACAGGTGTCGATGCCAGAGGCCCAAGGGCAGCTGAAATCGCAACCGTAACTGCAACTGCAATCGTTCCAGCCCAGCACTTCAACATCCATCCGCTATGACACGCTGTTTCAATACGGCGTTACTTTCCACGTACATTCTTGGCGAACCTGATGCTCTGCGCTCTCTGCACAGGGTGATATGCCACGTCCGGCTACATGCTAGGGAGGCATTGCTTCTGAAACTGCGGTTTCTATTGGAGCTTTGCCAGCAGCTGCATGAATGGCAGAGTGTATCATTGCATCAGACTGAGACGGATATGGAAAGGGGCACAAGGGAAGGGGTGGCGCTAGATGGGGTTGGTGAGGTTGATCAACGGCGGACTAGCTTCCTGGGTGGTTCTTCTGGCGAAGTGCGAGAGCAAGAGCAGGAGGGGCAGGGTTTGCAGGAGCCAGGGGATGAAGGTGTGCCAGATATTTTCCCCGGATGAGTTGTGGACTGTGTTGCACTGGTTGGGGCATTAACTCTGGCTACCGCGGGTGGGGATGGCGAGTGGATCCGTGTGTATATTTGAGCCAGAATATCGTTCTTTCAACATGGTTATTGCCCAGATAATGGAAATGATGATCAGGTCGATACGCGTTAGTTTGTTTGCTTTGGAAATAAAAATATGATATATCGTGATATGGTGTTTTGAGAGGCCGGGTATGGCATGACATGACATGCATGGGTGGGTATTGGTTAACAATTGGTCAAATGGGCTTTTGTTCGGTGGTGCGTTGTTTTGCTTTTTTCTGGTCGTTCGTGCTGCTCCGCCCAATGGACGTGGGCTGCGCTTGATGGAGGGACGATGGGTCACACTGTTTGTTTTGATTTTCCCTGGATCGTTTCAATTTATTCTGCTTCTTTGTTCGTCGATTTAATATCGGTGCTGTTGTACGGAGTACGAATATATTACTTTCTTTTATGTTCAATGCCCAGATTGTCTGTACTGTTTTTGTTCTTTTTTGTCTTATTTTGTATCTTTCATATTTCTGGGGATATTAACATGATTCGGAATATAAACCTGATGAAACTACCTCTCCACTTCAGGTTCCACGTCTCTCCCGGTCTCGGTGCCGAACCACTCGGGTCTCCCGCTCGCATGGTCTTCTCGCGCCGAGATCGAGGGGGATGCTGCAGGGCTCATACCCCGCCAGACACTGAATGCATGTATTTGCAGACACCATATTTGTCCGTCGATTGTAGACCGGTCTCGATTGGATCATCAACAGTAACAGCACATTAACTGGAACCCTGGCACTACCAGACATTCAGCATATGCAATCGTAAATCGCGCGCGGAGTGCGGAAGAGAAATTAAAAAATATTGCAAGGAGAAAATTTATGATGTCTCTCTCTTTATACATCATCTAACTGTAGATATGCAGAGCTGCATATATTACATATCCATATCGTGTATATTACTGAGCGCTGGTTCCAACCAACCAGGTTGAATTAATTGAGCAATTGAAGACGACAACCCCCTGGCTATCTACGCGTCTGTGATATCCAGCGCAGAAGTAAAATCCAGGATAGTGGGCTAGATCGGGATGGAACTAGACGTTGCTCTAAATAGATTTGAAAGGAGTTAAGGGAGGGACCCAAGTTGGTGAGTTTTGGCGTAAGCAGGATGATGTCAGTGCGGGGTTTTATTATATGTGTATTTGTTTCCCTTCTGCAGAATCTCATTACCCTCCATCCCTTGGACGAATGACATAGAAGAAATTAGACGAAGACATGGTCGTTCCTTCGGGGTTAGGCATGAAGGCATGCAGAAATCAGAAGGACTGACATTAATAATAATAATAATAATGATAATGGATCGTCCACATTGGTGTTTCAAGTGGAAGAAAATGAAGGCCCCAATGTTACAAAGAAAACTGGCTAGATGTTCGCTGTATGTGATAGATACATACATGCGTGATGCGTTGAACTATACGGATGTTCGTCGGGCACCAAAGTGACTTGAAGCTGGGGAAAGGAAGGGAGATTGTATTCGGTGACTGGGGTGACTGAATGACTGAAACTGGAAACAGACAGTGGAGAAGTGAAAGTTTGGTTGATCAGGATATATTTGTCTCTAGATAATTCAGTGCTTCTTCTACATGATTGAACGAATGAAGTAGGATACTCGTTGCGGCTGGACGTTTGGCTGAGATGAGTCAGGAGAAAATGACGTAGGCGGCTGAACCGAAGTATCACATGGTTTAAAAGATCGGCGCTCAAGGACGCTTGGACCACAATTATCAACTTCTTATATAATCATCCGGAGCCTCGGCACTGCCCGTCCCGAAAGCTAAATCTTCTTCCCTAAACGCTGCAGCTGAGGAGAGTCATCGTCGAAAAAAAAAAAAAAAAAAAAAATTATACTTTTACGAGCACGGCGAAAGGAGATGATATGTCTCTGCAGTTATAACAATATCAACAATGTCTCTTTACGATTTATGATCTTATTCCTCCCATCTGTGCATCGACTCTCTTCTTTCCGATTCCCAGACTTATTTCTACCCTCTGAGGGTATGCCACATCGGGTAGAACCAGCTCCAGTGGACCCTCCAAGGTATGTTGGGTATAGACCAAGTTCCGGAACAGCTTCGTTAATAACTTTCATCAACCCGTATATGTAACAGTTGTGTACAGGAATCGGAATCGAATTCTCTCACTCTCCCAGTTATGCCCGGAAGTCCCATAAGACGAAAACGTGCTGCGCATGCGACGCTGTCCAAGACACCTGCAACTGCCGCTACAGCTGCTCCTCCCACCGCCGTCAATGTGCAGATGACGACGGAATCGCACAAGCATGATCACTCACATGCCAACAAGGCGAAGGGAAGGGCTGATGTATGACATTCTACTACTATTACAGTTGGCTAAATGAAATAATATGTAGATTGACTAATCAAACATTGAATCCATACAGGACTTCGATACCCTGCTGAAGCCATTCTACTACACCAAATCTCTTACTGATCCGATAAACACGGCCAAGGATAAATGGAACTTATTACCTGCCTTTCTCAAGGTTAAAGGCTTAGTTAAGCAACATATTGATTCATATAATTACTTTGTCGAGGTCCAATTGAAGAAAATCGTGCAGGCCAGCGCAGAGATTCGTAGCGATGTCGATCCGAATTTCTATATCAGGTAGTTTCACACCTTTAAATATGTTATCACACCTGCGGTAGGTCATCCGCTAAAACTTCGCATTCTGTTTTTCGGGTTTTTAGATTCCACGACATCTACCTGGGCACGCCCCGACGAGCTGACGAAGAACAAGACTCCAACTTCAATGCAGCGTCCACAATCACCCCTAACGAATGCAGACTGCGCGATATGACCTATGCAAGCCCGATCCTGGTGGATTTCGAATATGTTCGTGGCAGGCAACGGGTCAAGCGGAATGGGACAGCCATTGGTCGAATGCCAGTTATGCTCCGCAGCTCCAAGTGCGTGTTGTCGAATAAGTCGGAGGCGGAGATGCAGCTTTTGCAAGAGTGCCCACTTGACCCCGGCGGGTATTTTATTGTCAATGGCACGGAGAAGGTTATTTTGGTTCAGGAGCAGTTGAGTAAGAATCGGGTTATTGTGGAGACGGACTTGAAGAAGGAAATTGTTCAGGCTTCGGTCACTAGGTGTGTGATGCCTCTCATTTCCTCCCTGTTTCTCTATTTACTCCCTCTTCCTTTTTCGTAGACTTGTTGCTCTAACAATTGACTCAAAGCTCTTCAAACGAACGAAAGTCGAAGAGTTACATCATTCTTAAGAAGGAGCGGATCTATGTGAGACATAACGTCCTCAACGAAGATGTTCCAATCGTCATTCTTCTGAAAGCGATGGGGATTCAATCTGACAAAGAGATGTTGCTTCTTGTTGCTGGCATCGACAGCACGTATCAGGAAGACTTTGCCATTAACTTCGAGGAGGCGGTGAAGCTGGGCATATATACCCAGCATCAGGCGCTGGAATATATCGGGAGCAGAATCAAGATCAACCGAAAACCAAATAATTTTGGCGTTATCCGTCGCAACTATGTCCAGGAAGCCATCGAAGCGATTTCTTCGGTTATTATCTCGCATGTTGTTGTGGAGAACCTCAACTTCCGTCCCAAGGCTCTGTACGTCGCGCACATGGCTCGACGTGTCTTGATGGCAAAGCATGATCCAAGTCTTGTAGACGATCGGGATTATGTGGGTAACAAACGGCTGGAACTGGCTGGCCAGCTTCTGTCATTGTTATTTGAGGATCTATTCAAGAAGTTCCAGTTCGACATAAAAATGAATATCGATAAAGTTCTGAAGAAACCCGTGCGGACGGAACAGTTTGACGCATATGGAGTCGTCGCCATACATGGCAATCACATCACCCAAGGGATGAACCGGGCTATCTCAACTGGTAATTGGAGTCTGAAGCGGTTCCGCATGGAACGCGCAGGTGTCACACACGTATTGAGTCGACTAAGTTACATCGCGGCGTTGGGTATGATGACCCGTATATCGAGTCAGTTTGAAAAGACTCGCAAAGTATCCGGGCCACGAGCTCTACAACCGTCGCAGTTTGGCATGCTATGTCCGTCCGATACACCTGAAGGCGAGGCTTGTGGTCTTGTCAAGAATTTAGCCCTCATGACTCATATCACTACTAACGATGAGGAGGAGCCTGTGAGGAAACTGATCTTCGCCCTCGGGGCTGAAGATGTCCAGACTGTCGGTGGGCGTGAGCTGCATGGCCAGGGAGCTTATATTGTATTCCTTAACGGATCCCCCATCGCGTTAACGCGGCGACCCAAATTTTTCCTACATTCCTTCCGACGGTTGCGTCGGACAGGACGGGTTTCGGAATTCATCAGCGTGTTCATCAATCACCACCAAAGAGCAGTGCACATCGCAACGGATGATGGACGCATATGCCGTCCGCTAATCATTGTCGAAGACGGGAAATCCAAAGTCCAAGCCCATCATCTTCGCGCACTAAGGAGTGGATCGATGGAATTCGATGACTTCTTGGCCCACGGGCTCGTAGAGTATCTGGATTGTAATGAAGAGAATGACTCAAATATTGCCGTCTATGAAGATGACATCGTTGACAGCACGACACATTTGGAAATCGAGCCTTTCACGATTCTCGGGGCTGTAGCCGGTCTCATTCCCTACCCCCATCACAACCAATCCCCACGAAATACATACCAATGCGCTATGGGTAAACAAGCCATCGGCGCAATTGCCAACAACCAATTCCTTCGCATCGACTCCCTCCTCTACACCATGGTTTACCCTCAGAAGCCGATGGTAAAAACCCGAACAATAGAGCTGATCAAATATGACAGACTCCCCGCTGGCCAGGCCGCCACTGTGGCTGTTATGAGTTATTCCGGCTATGACATTGAGGATGCCCTCGTACTGAACAAGGGCTCTATAGACCGTGGCTTTGGCCGCTGTCAAGTCTTCCGCAAATACTCCACGAACCTCAAAAGCTACTCAAACGGCACGAAGGACAAACTAAAGGGCCCCGATCGTGAAAATGGCCTTCCAGTCCGCAAACACGCACTTCTCGATAACGACGGCCTGGCCGCTGTTGGCGAAAAGGTAAACCATGGTGAAGTCTACATTAACAAAGTCACACCGGAAAACGCCTTGTCTTCCGGTATCACCGGCTCCGACGCCGGCAGGCCAATCACCTACATTCCCTCCCCGCAGACCTACAAACTCCCCGACCCAAGCTACATCGACAAAGTCATGATCTCCTCCACTGAGGCGGAGAACCAACTGATAAAAGTACAAACGCGCCAAACTCGCCGGCCGGAGGTTGGTGACAAATTCTCCTCACGTCACGGGCAAAAGGGCGTCGTCGGCATCATCGCCGAGCAAGCCGACATGCCCTTTAGCGACTTAGGCATCGTTCCAGACATCATCATGAACCCTCACGGTTTCCCTTCACGTATGACGGTGGGGAAAATGTTGGAACTCGTTGCGGGCAAAGCGGGCATTCTCTCTGGCCAGTTCAGTTATGGCACTGCCTTTGGCGGCAGCCCCGTTGAGGAAATGTCTGCTATCCTTGTCAAGCATGGCTTCTCGTATGGTGGGAAGGATTGCCTCACGTCGGGTATCACGGGTGAATCACTCCCCGCGTACGTCTTCATGGGGCCCATCTACTACCAGAAGCTGAAGCACATGGTGCAGGACAAGATGCATTCGCGCGCTAGGGGGCCGCGGGCGATCTTAACACGTCAGCCGACGGAGGGTCGTTCGCGTGACGGTGGTCTGCGGCTCGGGGAGATGGAGCGCGATTGTCTTATTGCTTATGGCACGAGTCAGTTGTTGTTGGAGCGGTTGATGATTTCGTCTGATCAGTATGAGGTGGATGTTTGTGAGAGTTGTGGGTTCATGGGGTATTCGGGGTGGTGTCAACGGTGTAAGTCTTCACGGGGGGTGGTGAAGATGATTATCCCTTACGCAGCGAAGTTGTTGGTTCAGGAGCTTTTTAGTATGAATGTCGTGGCTAGGTTGAAGCTTGCAGATGAGTTTCCCGAGGACCGGGGGAAGTAGGTGGAGGGTAGAAATGGAGGTGGAGATGGTATAATATGTTAACGAGGTGGTGGAAGGTGGTTGTGAGTTTGATATGATATGACGTGATATGACGGAGGCCCGTGGCATTCCTAGATTCTTGGATGTGGTTGGCTTTTGAGAACAGATGAATTATTCCATTGACATTTTGAGGTTATACTATTGCATAACCTGTTTTGTGAGTGGACTGGCTTCTAGATAACTCTATAGACCTGCTAGATGTTGATCTCCGTACAAGATCTATTTATGGCATTCTTTTTGTATACAGTCCAGCACACACGACCCCCCATCCATTTCATTCGTGTATATGCAACTTATCCATTGGTAATACCACAACTGATGGAACAAAGTGAGTAATGTTACGTTCTCTCCATTAGAATCAACAATCAAATGGTATCATATATTAACATGGGCGCTGAACCTCTCCGTCTCCGGCCCAGGTTGAAATGATGGAGCCACGTTAAAACAGCGACAATTGTTTTGTTATAATCAAATGACCAACCCGAAGTGGAATAATTACACCCAAACCTCTTTTAACTCCTTTTTTTCCTCGACGCAAGTCGAAGCCAAATACGCCATAAATAATTAAAAATCTCCTATTAAAGAATCAAAAACGAAAGCAAACAGAACCAAACAATAATAGTCACCACAAACCTTAAGGAAAGTCTCTATCACATGCGCCACTCCTCAACCGTAGACCCCGCACTAACCAACAAACTTGGCGTCCCTGCGCTGATCCCGCCATTGACGGTTGGAAATGCGTCAAGATTTTCAAAGCGCAAACATCTGATCCGATTCGCGTACTGGATGTGCGTCATCGGCACGTCCTTGCAGGCGGAATTGCCCGATTCTGTAACGCCCTGTGAATGATTTGGGATGGATGACGAAGTGGGTACTTGTTGAGGTGTCGGGATGGATGACAAGGAAGACGGGAAAAGGGGTGGTGGCATAACCAGTTTGCCCGTGCTGAGGGAGAAGAGTTGGATCCTGTTAGATTGGGAACCTAAGGCTGTGTAAGCGGAGCGCAGGTGTTTGGCATGGCGGGAACTTACCACCACATGCGAGAAGACCGAGTTCCGCACTTATATCTAGCTCGTCATGAGAGATAAGGTCATTTGCATAGTCAGGAAAGGAAAGATATGGCTTTGTCCAGGTGTGGGTTGGTTTATTGGGTTGAGGATATTCGGAGATGGTGTTCGGGGTAAAGCGGAGATCGTACATGTGGAGCTATTATAATAGAAAAAGATCGTTGGTGTTGAACTTGGGGTAGACATAATAAGGGAACTTGAACGATTACAACATACATTCTTCTGAGCTCCAGCAACCACGATTCTCCAGTCATCTACCTTCCGAATCTTATATACACCATGTGGATGTTGCAGTCTCGACGCCGTATCCCGGCTCCGCAGATCATAGAGCCGCACCAGGGAGTTTTTCAGCCCTGTCATGACCACTTGAGGCGCCAGCCATTCAACGGCCATGACATCAGCACACGGTGACATTTTGAAGGATCGTATGTTCCAGGATGATTCTATCCCCGTGACTAATAGCAACTCATTGGATTTACCAGCCGCGAAAATGCTCTCTGTGCTGCTAGGGCAAGCAGCAGAGCACCACACAATGGAACCGGGATAGCAAAATGTGGTTGCGGCATCTGAAGCGGAAATGTTGTTAGCATTTAATAAGAGGGTCTATGTAGAAGGTTTTATAACATCAACAGCCATCTTACCGACTACGTATTGGGTGACGGGTTGCGGATCTGAGGGATTGAAGAGCCTAGACATTGAGATATGCACGGTTTCTCCGGTTTGGCCATTTGATGACACGCTGTAGATATAATCTTAGCCCAGTTCAGCCGTGAGAGTATATCTGAAAGTAAGGTAAGTACTCACAGGAGCCAGCCTGTTGGGCCTACGGAGAGTGAAGTGACCTGTAAACCTCATTAAAATTATGATATGAACGAGTGTGGCTCATACATACCCAATCGTATCCGACCATAGCACGGTTACACCATCGCTGGTGCAATTTGTACTGCCAAGGTCGACTCTTGTTTTTGGGAAGATAAGATCTAGCATTAAACTCGTCAACAGAGAGATAACCAGTCGAAGCGGAGGAACTATCTAAACTTACAGAAGATTAAAACACGACGCTGTATTAATAGCTGCGTTCCAAAAGAATCATCAGCATCAACCATTTTAGCGTCCCTTAAAGAGATGCCCACCTACCAACCAAGAGATTCCCACTCCAAGGGTCTCTGGCAAACCTAGACACTGGGTATTTGACATCGGAGCTAGCCAAATCTACTAGGCAGTTCCTAGAAAATAGCCTGGCACACGTCGCTTCACGTTGCTCAAAAACTAGACTCCTTGAGGTGAGTAAAGTTCCAGACTCTTGCTGCAACAATGTGCCGCTGATGGTATGACGCAAAATATTTGATCTTTTAATTTTTTCTGTTGATAAACGCTGATTGTGCTCTTCCCATCGTTTTCGTTTCTATTTCAAGGTCAGCCATGCACTGTAGAGCCAACATAAACAAGGAAGTTTGAAACTCACCAAAGACGTTTCTTTCCTGTTTTTGATGTCATCCTTCGTGTACTTATATCCTAATGGAGCAGTATGATTTGCTTGAACTTTGAAATACTTTTTCTTTTCAGGATCTGGTACGTTTTCATCAGCGGAATTGGCCATTTCCACAAGGCATCAAAGAAAGCGCAGAAGATCGAAGCACGCAAGAACGAAAACGAAGTAGCCAATATCGCAGGCTTTTACTCCCCCTTTCCGGTATGGCTAGAATATGATAAAACAAATGTTTCATTGTACAGATTGCCTGTCCTGCTTGGGTTCAAAAGCTTCCTTCCCTCAGGGGCAAAGGGTGTCTGCAGGTGTATCAAGGCCGAACTCCACCTTTAGGAATACCACATCATAAACAGTGATATGGACACCACATGGACAGATATTAAAAAGTAAACATGGCATTCCATTACAGAACAATCCATTGCATTGCATTGCATTCTTGACAACCTGGAATACATAGAAGAACGTATTCAGACGCACCATAGTAGTAACCCGGGATCTCGCGCGGGAGAGATTCCATGGCGGGTTTGACTTCTTCACTTCACCAGCAAACCCCCAGCTGAACTGCATATGGGCAAGCAAGGGGATTTAGCCCCTGCTCAAAGGCCCCCTCGACGTCCCGCACCAACGCCTTTTTAGAGCTGGCTTGGATGCTTTGCGTCTCTTCTCCTGTTGATCAAAATGAATTCCGCAAATTATGCATAGAGTTGCAAATTATCCCCAAAAAATAAATAAGGGCTTCATTCAGCTTTCAGGTAAATCTCCGAAGTGGACTCAGCTCTTCTCTGCATGACTGAATGAATCTGCTGCAATCGTCATGTCGTTCCCATGAAATCGCCGCAGAATTAGAAAACGGAGTTTGATGAAGACGATTATGTCAGCGTCGCAATACACGTGATTTTATTCATGTGACCTTTAACCTTTCATTGAAATGAGAGGCCTCAATGTGTCCACAAAAATACTCATTCTAGGACAAACACCACTCTGAGCTTTGAAGCATCGCGACAATCTGTGTGGTATAGTACATATGTTTTACCCCCTTGTTACCCCCAAGAGCCCAGCGTTCCTTTGTGTACCCCAAAGTAAGGAACAATCCCCCGGACGTGGACAGCCAGAATCAATATGGTGACAATATAGAAATAATCTAGTGTGCGCATTCGATTACATGCATGGGAAATATGGCCTCAGCCGTTTATTTGATAAAGGCCAACTCCCACTGCCAATCCAATGTGGTCACTAAAATCAGGTCAATCCGTATATTATCTATCCGCGTCGGACAGGAACATACGGTCAGCCCCACACCAGGGAAACGGGTGGTTGATAGGAACATCCAAAAGCATTTGACATGAGAAATACATCAATAATATTGGGTGAGGGTGAGCGCTAGCCTGACTCTTAAAATGATTAAATGAGAAATGAAACATTTGATAGCAGTTGCGCGCTCCTGTTGAAGACCTGTTGCAATGCACCAAACTTTCAGATATTCCCCCCATGCAGGGATGCGAATATATTGTACATACATCAATCACTGCCGATGTAGAGTTTTTAGGTTCATCTGAGACAGCTTGAAGGCAACATCAGAGCCCGAGTTAATCATCTGGCCGCTCAAGTTGACGAGATCACTTCCAGCTAGAGGGCGGTACGTCCAACATCATCTCCATGTGTGTTTCCATGTATCCTCCCGTATGGGAACCCATCAAGTACTTGACCGTCACCCTTCGTAGGTCCACCTGCGGCAGCCATGCATTTTCAGAGCGAAGACCAGGCTGCAGTCCGTAACTTGCCGGATAATATTCGACTAGAACTTGAGAACAGTTGAAGAAGCAACAACATTATCTCTCTTCCGACATCGTCCAAAGCTTACGTTAATCTGGCTATGATCCGATGGTTAGAATAAGCTCAAAAGCCATAACCTGACAGGCAAGAATTCCCACTGGTCAATTCAGGCATGCCCAGACGGAACAAGCCGCATCAGTGCATTCCAAGAGAGGCAGTTTATGTCCTCTCCAGTTCTTGTTCTCGGATAAATCGCATTTTCGTCGGACCCTCTTCACATGAAAAAATATACCCACATATGTGCGGAAGATCGAACAACAGAGAGATGGATGGCAAGGTTGTCTTGGGCAGTCACAAATTCAGATACGGGTCTTTTCTCCTGCTCTGGTAACCATAAGATCATCCCTCTGCATCGGCATTTCCGCCAGTCGTTACGATGGACAACAAATTGTTAGCTTGGCAAATGATACTCTTGCACCAGAAAAAGAGAATGAAGGCTCCCATCATAGAAAAACGCTCGGTCTTGACAATCTGCTTCAGCAGCCGATATAACTTCACCACATGACAGAACTCTGAGGCAGTTCTCAGCCAACTAGACAAGCTCAACAAAAAGCTTGTGAATGAAATGCTTGGTCTCTGCAGATTTAACATTGTAGAGTCAATGCTGCTTCCTCTTTCTCAATCATCCATCATTATGGCAAGATAATAGAGAAACAAGAGCTCACAGGCTCTTCTGCTGGGTTTCGTGTAAATCCACCTATTCCAGAAATCGAAATCACAGATACGATAAATTAACTTTGGTCAAGGAGGCTAAGCATCATGCGGCTCCTTGAAACGCTGCCTATCATAATCTTATAAACCCAGACTACATTCGATAGGCTTTCCGCCTTCGCGAGCCACCGACATGAGCAACAAGGCCTTCAAGGGCTAGCTTGAGAGAAATAAAACGCTGCTTTCTTTTGGACGTCTCTACAAACCCCACTGTTCAGAAATTAGTGGCGACTTTCAAACTGGGATCTGGCTCTGCAACTTCGTATCGCCTCCAGACCCTTGGGAACTTAACTCTATCTTAGATGAATGATTTTACACCGCTTTGTTCCCCCAGAGGTCAGTTTCTTTTGACGTTGCTCTATAGGTGGTAATTAGGGATTTTCACCCTCGTATTCTCCACCAGTTGGCAGGTTCCGACTGTTCGCAAAGCCTCAGAGATAGATTTCTCCATGTGGCGCTAGTTTGGCCGTTTCTTCGTGCCAACGGAGCCTCAGAATCCCCTGTCTCTCATATCCCCAAAATAATCAGCCCTCCAACAAAAATGAGAAGGCAAGGGGTATCCCGAGTTCCCGGAGTTATATGCCCAGTCCTGGTTAAATCCTCGTGCTCGCTACCAATATTCTCTGTCGTACAAATAAAGGGGCAGGCATTTGAGGGCACTGAGCGCTCCAATCAACAAGAATCATCCCTGGGTCAACCAAAGACATTGAAGCATCGACCAGCATGCCCAGGCCTCTTAATCATAAGAAGCAAAGCTTATCATCTTGGCAGCAAGGCGCGGTTTCAACCCTTGTCCGACCGCGGCTCCGCCAGAAATTTTGTTGTCACTAGAATATTGCATCGTGAAGGAAGAGATCCCCAAATGCAGCTAAAATTAGCACAACTAACAACACGATTCTCAATCAGCAGGACAAATAAAAAATCGATTTCTTGGCTGAAATTAACCTTTTTCCTCTGTTGTTTCGCAAGCCGGCGGACACTCGCTCAAGGATTATACAGTATGGATTGTATGGAGGAGCACAACAAACCGCCATTCACCCAAACGACGCCAATGTGCTAGCGGAATCCCGTGTTGCCAGCTGTGAAAAAAGCAAATAATCAGAAAAGAAAAACAAAATCAATTTGGATACGAAAGTCCAGGAATCGGGGCTGAAGAAGACATAAAAACCCCTACTTCCTCCTGCTTTCCATATTTTTCTCCCCTATCCCAAATTAACGCTTAAACACCTTGAAGAAGTTCAAAATTCTAATCTTCCACTACCCCCCTCCTACCCTTCTCATCCAGCAATAGGGAATTATCCAAATCTCCCTTCCGTTACCACTCAAAGAAACATAACAATGTCTCCCGCCATGAAGAGCTGGTCCGTTCTCACCTCACTCCTCATCCTCCTCTTCGGCCTCATGGCCTCAGCAACCCTTCAAAACAACGAGCCTCTCCAAGCATTCACGACCCCCGAGCTGCGCGCCGAGCGTCTCGCCGTCCGTGATCCCAAGGGTGGCAAGGGTGGTGGAGGCGGCAGCAGCAGTCACAGCAGCAGTGACAACGGCCTCACAAGCTGCCCGAACGGCGGTTCCACCTGCAGCGAGTGCTTTGGCACTGGATACATTTCGTGCATCAGCCCACGCAATGTCTGCTACAACCCCTCCACCCAAACACGAAGTCAGGTGTGCGTGTCCTCGTCGACATCAGATGCGTCGCAGCTTGTCGCTGGTCCGTTGGCGCTTGGCGCTCTTGGGTTGGCTATTGCTATGCTGTGAGCCGGACTCTGTTGTTCCGTCTTCGGTCCTTTTGAGCGCGATGGACATTTGTTTGTGTAGATGCGCGTTTTCCGCGACTTGACTTCAAACAAACACAACGAAGGTGAATCAAGGGAGGGAGTTGTGAACGGCTTGCCTGGTCCATTCGACATTTGAACTGTCCGGGCAAAATGTCTCAATATGATATGCAGCAATTGAGCTATTGCAGCATGTTCGATTCACTCAATTCCTCTCACTACGTCCAGTTTTAATACAAACTTTCGTTCTCTTTCCGACAACAACATCTACTCCATTCATTTCACAAACAAGCCCTACATCGATGCCTCCCAATGGGACCCAGCTTCTTATCTTCTGTTTTCTTCGAATAGTCTCGATTTAGCCTAATGTCAGTTTTCCACTTTTGCCGGATTCCCCCTATGTACCAGTGATGATTTACTTTTTTGGTTAACAAATATCGTATTATTTGTATATGTCCTGTTCTTCCTCTTTTCCAGCTTCTTGGTTTAGTTTATCTACTCGCGCTTCACTTTTTGAAAATCTGTGTTTTCTTCTCTATGATAGAAAGAATGAAGGAAGGTGATGGAATAGCTTGATGGATAGTTAATGCGCTGCTAATTATGGAGTATATTTGCTCTGTATCTGCAAGTAATATGTTATATATTGTGCATGGCTGCATGCATACACTTGCTCCACTCCTCTGAGTCTCTGCAGGGTGAGTAGGTTACAATCTACCTTCTACCTTTTTTACAATCCATGACTTGAGCATTTTCTACATGAATCCAAAATCCACGGAGATATCCCCAAATAACAACAAAAACACAACCATGAAAACGCGGAAACGCGGAGCATATCTGATGTATTTATTTACAGTTAACTATCCCTCCATGCAAATGCCCGGAAACGTAACCTTGACCATGCATATGCACGTGCGGATGCGGATGGGAACCCCCTATGCCATGTATTTAATGCAGATATATAGGAACTAATGGATGCGTTTATCTAACAAAGAAATTCAAAAGCGCATCTATTATCAATCAATAGAAATGGTTAAGAAAAAGAAAAGAAAAGAAAAGAAAAAAAAAAAAAAAAACAGACCAGCGATGGTGACTGAACCATGTAAATTCTAGGCATCTCACATCTCGCATCCCAATCTCAACATCTCCTTTTCATATTCTCTCCTCCCATCCTGCCAACTAATCCCTTCAATCCTCTCTCCCTCCTTTTAATTTAACCCTCCCTACCCTAACGACCTCTTCAACTGATTCTCCTTCCGCCCATACGGCTCCTTCGCCTCCTCCCTCGCCATATCATTAATCCACCTACCATTGGGCTTAACAACCTTCCCCTTCGACATCTCACTCGCCAAATAAAGCCATGACAACGCATTGCCCACCGTACTAACTTCATCACTAACACTATCTGCCGCCCACCCGCTCAGCCGATAATACAACTCGTCATTCGTCCACAGCTCAAACAAATGCCGCGACACGGCATCCGTATCCCCCACCTCGACCAGGAAGCCGTTCTTGCCATCTTGAACTTGCAGCGGGATGCCGCCGGCTAGGGTTGCAATGACTGGTTTGCCTTTGTGCAGGGCTTCGGAGACTTTTACTTCGAAACCTTCGCGGGTGGAGAGTTGGAGGGCTATGCGAGCTTTGGAGAGGAGGGCGTTGAGGATCTGATCTTGAGGAGGGATGTGCATGATGCAGATGGACGATTTGAGGTGCGGGAGTTTCCCATCTATGTACTCAATGACGGCGTCGTAGATGATGCTGCCGTCCGGGTCATCGACGGAGCCGTGACCGCAGATTAGCAATTTGGGTGGCTTGTCTTCTGGTCGGGCTTCGGAAAGTAAGGCGCGGAATTTCTCGTAGGAGACGAGGACGTCGAAGATGCCCTTTGATGGGTCGAAGCGGGCGATTTGGACGATGTATTCATCTGATGTCCTAGTTTAGCTTATTGGCTGGTAATTTCTTTGCGGGGATGACATACCGTCCGGATAGTCAATGGTGGTCATGCCGATCTCGCGACATCTCGCATTGAAAAGACGTCCATAATATCCAATATCGAAATCGTCCATAGGCTTGTTCAATCCATCAAGCCTGTATTAGAAAACGATAAGCAAAGACCATTCAACCATAATAAGGGGCAGGCAAAGGGAGAGAAAGCAGGAGAAGTGAAGACTCACCAATCCGTTGTTGCTGGCAAATACCCCACAATCTCCGGGGGCACCATACTCGGCACAAAGCTCTTGACAGGATGGCTGATAAATAAATCCGCATACTTGATACTGTCCCAAAAGTAATTCCATGCCTCAGCCTGTGGGGACGTAGGGTCCTCAATCAGGTCACTGCGGATCTGTATGTGGCTACGGTAGATGACAGGCCGCATGGGCGTGAGTTCTTTGATCAACGGGATTAGGCCGGGCATCTGCGGGTCATCGATGACGATGACGTCCGCCCCGCCCTCGCTGGGAGGACTCAGAGGTCCACCCTTGACGAGCCAGTAGCGCTTTGCGTTACCGACTATCCAGTCTGTGAGGGCGGCTTTGTTTTCTTCCGTGAGGCGTTCGTCCGGCTTAGAGACGCCTTGCATGATGTTGTGGTTCGTTTTTGTGATTCGGAAGACCGCCGGTCGAGGGCGGGGAACGTACCTAAATGCACACCAGCGTGAGAAATCATATCATGATGGTTAAATGTAGAATGGAGGATGTAAGTAAACTCACCATTTGATATTCGCTCCCAATGCCTCTGCAAACCTAACGAGTGCATGCCTCATCAACGCCACACCTCCGCCCTGCGGTGTGCTGCTGAAAAATGCTACTCTAATCTTACGATCCTTCAAGTCATTCGCATATTTCATGACAGAATTCCATGTTCGACCGCCAACAGTCGTCTCGTAATCCGACAGCGTAGCCAGAACGGCATGAAAACCACAATCGACCTCGACGCATCCCCGATACCCCACTTGCAGCAGTGGTGCCTTATTAGGACCGAAGAAGCTACGGTTTCTGTTAGCTCATGGTGGGGCCCGGAAATGCTATGCTCTCGAGAGGGGGAGTAGAAAAGAGCAGAAAAGAATAGAAAAGTACCATACGTACGTAATACATTTCCTGGCCACAGACTCCGCCTGCTCATCCAACGTCTTCGAATTCCAAAACTCCCGATTAATCCAGCCAACACTATGCACGCCCTTGCCATGCAGGACCAGGGGCACGATATCCAGCTCATGCCATAGCCGCGGACACAAGTGCGGGCAACGCTCCGCCAGATCTTTCGGCAGCGCAATGCCTAGAAACTTCTCGAGGTGTTCGTGCTCATACCGGCACAGCTCGAGGATGACAAAGTCGGTGATGACGTCTGCGGTCGGATGGAAGGATTCATCGACGGGAAAGTGGTGTTCGGAGAAATCGAGGAAGTAGGTTGTGTCGCGGATTGCGAGGGAGATTACGACTTCATTTTTGTCGGTGGAAGATACGGAGATGCCGCCGTAGATTGTCTGAATTTCGGTATGGGAGGTTAGCTGGGATAAAGAATAGCGAAGAAAGCTGGGGTACCAAAAAAAAAAAAAAAAACAGCACAACACCTATGTACTGTACTGCACATGGCCATCAAACAACCTATCCACATACCTCCGACGGCGGCCCGACCCACGAGTTCCTCGCAACGCGATCCTGTAGATCCCGCTTCTGATACAGGGACCTCCTCCGCTGAAACCGCCTGTCATGGAACTCGGTCATGATCATGTCGACGTACGGTTTCAAATGCGCGCCGGTGCGAGGACGCCCTGGCCGAGCAGGACGATCTGGCAGCAACTCAGCCTCCGGGGTGTGCTTTTCCAGGGACATGGCGGGGGTGCGGTTGGCGGGAGGCCCATGTAAAATCAAGGCAGAGAGGCAAGAGGAAAGAAAGAGATGGAGAGCGGAATACGATCAGAAGAACAAGCAAGGGATGGGTTTATGGGAGGGAAGTGGCAAGAGGGGCAGAGGGGCGGGCGCTTGTGTGTATAAGGTGTAGTTATATGTATAGGGCGGGGGCAATGCTATATATGACAAGTCTATAGCTAATTAATTCTAATATGCAAGGGAGTTTAACTGTCTTCCCGGTTGCATCCCGAGTAGTTGTAGGTGCTGAGTATCCAGGTAGTATCGAGTCTTATGCGGGAGATGACCGGATGAGAATGGACCCACTAGTTATCCACTGAAATTCAACTAACTGGATTTCAACCAGAAATACAACCCACTAATTAAACTAAATTAAACTCTGATGGGATCAGGGGCAGGGTGTTCTTTACGCTGGCTCAAGAGTGTGTGGAGCTCGTGAGCATAGCATAGGGACAAGGGATTGAAAGACTCGTGTGTTTTTGCTTCTCTCGCACATTCACAGACAATATATCCCTGGTATTCCTCCTTTGTTAAAGGGATATTAATTATTCTGTATTCATAGGCCTCGATAATGTGATCAAGGCTCTGTATTAAGCCTTGAAAAGAACTTTTTAAGACTTGTCTCGTAAATTCTTAGCTTATTTATGACAGACAGACAGAGCTTGCTAGAGAATTGTAAAATTCAGAATAACTGAGGTTGCTAAAATTATTGTATCTCTAAGAGAGTAGAGATTCAAGAGTTATCTAACTACCGAATGATTTAATTAAATTTAAATAAATATTTTATAACTTTTAAATATACTAAAGTACTTGAGGAATTTATAAATTTACCATGTTCATATTTTAAATATTAACTATATCAGGTATGTTCTAGTAGTTAGAAAGAGCCTACAGTTAAATTCATCATAAGATTTAAAAGCAGTGATTGAGAAGTTACAAGTGAAAACATTATTTCTTTCTATAGGGCTTTCGGCCTGCCACATTTGTCTCAAATAGCTGTAACCATCACTTGCTCATATCTCTTGAGAATTGAATGATGCTGGCTTTCAAGTTGATGCAATTTGAAGAAATTGGCTTTTTTGAGAACACGTTATGTTGCTTTGCATTGCACAGATCTACTATCAGACAACAGCCCCTAGCATAATAATAATAATAATAATATGATGTCAACAAGAAGAAGAATATGCAGCCGGGGTGAGGCGAGATAGCCGAGAATCTTCAAGGGAAAGGCGTAACTAGTTAACTAACTGAGCCTTGACATTCCAATCATCTAACCCGGGAAATCAGAAACGAATGTCTAGCAGATGAATGGCTGCTCGGAAGACTTTTAACGGATCTTTCTTTTATAATTCAACAACACGATGTGTCTTTATCTCCCCAATAAATAAATATATATATATATATATATAAATAATAAAAAGAAAAGTTAGGAAACAGCAACAATTTTATGACCCACCAAACCTTACTGATGGGCATAATATGGTATTGTAACGGATGTTCAGCGCGGCAGAAACAACCCGGTTGTTTTTGGCTCACAAGCTGTATCTGGAATACACTAGTTAACGTCCAACTTCGGTATTTTTTTAAGGCAAAATATGCTTATTTTTCTTCTTCTTCTTCTTCTTCTTCTTCTTCTTCTTCACTTCAACCTTTCAACTTTTCTTCCCTTGCTTTCTTAAACTCGCTCCCTCCTCTATCTTCTCCTTTGCTTTCTATTTTCTTTCTACTCTCTTTCTCTTCTCTCAATCCATAGATAGTTATTCTTGTTTTGACTTTTTTCCGGTTTCTTCCCCAAATCATGGTTATCTCTCTCAGATTGGGGAGTCTTGTTCTCCGCTCCTCCTCCTTATCCACCAAACACACTGTCCGGTCCGCTGCGTTGGGCGGCCTGCGGTGCTACTCCTCTTCTAAAACTAAGGTCATTAGTTCTCCCTTGACTTAATTTACTTCTTCCAGTTTCCTCATCCGTGTTGGAATTTATGCGCTGACCTGACCTGACCTGACCTGGTTTGGTTTTGGTTTTTAGTCCCTCAAGGATACATTTGCGGAGAAAATTCCAGCTGAGGCTGAGAAGGTAAAGAAGCTTCGAAAGTATGAATGGTTCAATTATTAGCTGGGTTGGTCCTATAATTCGATCTGACTTGCTGTCGACAGGGACTATGGGAGCAAGGTCATAGGCGAAGTTACCCTCGGCCAAGTCTATGGGGGTGCTCGTGGAATCAAATCGCTTGTTTGGGAGGTATAGATCTATCCGGGGATTTAAGGGATTGTCACATCGAAAATACTGACGAAGTCCAAAGGGATCTGTCCTCGACTCTGAGGAGGGAATTCGCTTCCGGGGCATGACTGTATGTTTACCCCCGCTAAATCCTTCAATATCATTTATCAGAATCCACGAGCTGATACCTCCGCTAGATCCCTGAGTGCCAGAAACTTCTCCCCAAAGCCCCGGGGGGAGAGGAGCCTCTGCCAGAAGGTACTGCATACATGACACCAGGTGCGATGACTCTGCGCTAATGGTCCGATAGGTCTTTTCTGGCTGCTCTTGACCGGTGAGGTCCCAAGTGAGGAGCAAGTCCGCGCACTCTCCGCTGAATGGGCGGCCCGATCCGACGTGCCCAAGTTCGTTGAGGAGCTGATCGACCGCTGTCCCTCCACTCTGCACCCCATGGCGCAATTCTCCCTGGCCGTCACCGCCCTTGAACACGAGTCTGCGTTCGCCAAAGCGTACGCCAAGGGCATCAATAAGAAGGACTACTGGCAGTACACCTTCGAAGACTCCATGGACCTGATTGCCAAGCTGCCCACCATTGCCGCCAAGATCTACCGCAACGTCTTCAAGGATGGCAAGGTCGCTCCAATCCAGAAGGACAAGGATTACGGTTTCAACTTGGCCAACCAGCTCGGATATGGAGAGAACAAGGACTTTGTTGAGCTGATACGCCTGTACCTGACCATCCACTCTGACCATGAGGGTGGAAATGTCAGTGCCCACACCACCCACTTGGTTGGAAGCGCTTTGAGTTCTCCTATGCTCTCTCTCGCCGCTGGTCTTAATGGTCTCGCTGGTCCCCTTCACGGATTGTAAGTTAGATACACAGTAATAACCCGTCAATCAAGGGAACAACCTTTCCTAATACAATTTACTCCCATAGGGCCAACCAGGAAGTTCTCGTGTGGCTTCAGAAGATGAAAAAGACCATTGGCAACAATGTCAGCGACAAGGCTGTCACCGACTACCTCTGGTCCACCCTGAACGCTGGCCAGGTTATCCCAGGCTATGGCCACGCCGTTCTCCGCAAGACTGACCCCCGTTACACATGCCAGCGTGAATTTGCCCTCCGCAAATTGCCCGATGACCCGATGTTCAAGCTGGTTAGCCAAGTTTACAAGATTGCGCCTGGCGTCCTGACTGAGCACGGCAAGGTATGAAACCGCCACCCCTCCCAACTCTTTTTGACATTTTTCTTTTTTACAACTGCAAAACTAACTAAATTGCGCGATTTAAAGACGGCCAACCCACACCCTAACGTGGACAGCCACTCCGGAGTTCTCCTTCAATATTACGGTTTGACAGAATCCAGCTATTATACCGTGTTGTTCGGTGTCTCTCGGGCCCTCGGAGTTCTCTCACAGCTAATTATCGACCGTGCACTGGGAATGCCCATCGAACGACCCAAGAGCTTTAGCACTGAGGACTATGCCAAACTTGTTGGTGTTCAACTGTAAAAAAAAAATAAAAATAAAAAAAAAAAAATAGACCTGTAATAATATCTCATGAATAGCATTTGTTTGTTCTTGTTTCCGTGTGGCCCTATTTCGGAGAAAATCCTTTTTTGTTGAGGGGGGTATTTAAAATTTTTGTTTAATTATACATGTACTATACAAACAAAGTATACTATTATAAGAATATCATCAAGATACGAATCATGTGGAAATTTCCATCCAGTTTTCCAAGGAGGGTTGTAAATCTTCAAGGATTCATCCGAAATTCAGTGATTACTCATCAAAAATCTAGCATTTCACGTGGAGTTCCCAACACGGCTAGCGCTGGTCGCCAGAAACGGAATTTTTCCTTGCGGCTCCGGTTCCCCTCAAACTTCAATTTCTTAATTTTCAACCTTCATCCAACAACCCTCTACTCTTCTCATCCATCCCTCATCCATCACCACCTTTCTTGCTCTTCATCCATCTTTCGGTCATCTCTTTTTTTATATCACAGCGTCCTCGTACCGCCTATTTCGCTGTTGTACTCGTATTCACTGCTTCACGTTGATCGCCTCTGGCCCCTCTACTCACATTGCCTGTCGTAGGTTTAGGGTTTTCTGGGTCTTTGTAGTGACTTCTCGTTCGCACCCCCCGACCATAACATCAGGACTCCCTTCATACAAGTTCGATTCTCCGTATCATCTTCTCTCATCACTTAGATACTACTTTCTACGCTTTGCCTGGATCACCGCCTTTACCTTATACTCGTCACGTCGCTCTCGCGTACAGTAGATAAAAAGAGAAGTTGGCTTGGACGACTTTAAACAACCCATTTATCTCGAACATTATACACCTGTCCAAAAAAAAAGAAAAGAAAAGAAAAGGAAAGAAATCACAAACAATCACTTTCCTACCCCACTCTTTGCGACCTGGAACAAGTTTGTGGTCATTTATCCATTTTTTGGACTGGTAGCAACTGTTAAAGAAACCCAACCCCTTCCAGCCATGTCGTCTGCTGTAGCAGAGTTAGATGGCTATCTGCAGTCCATGCTAGCGCTTAAGGCCCCCGGAGCATCAGGTTCCAAGGTCCAAAGTATCAACGCTCTATGTGCGGCCAATGTACAGGTATGGCCCAAACTCTAGTCTCCAAAACATTTTTAAAAAAATAAAAAATAAAAAATCAACCCTTCCCAACGCCAAAGCTATATTCTAACATCATATGTTTTCAACTATACAGTCCGAATCTGTCCTCGTTCAAAAAATATATACCCACTTCAAAAGAGCCCCCGCAACACACAAGCTGGGTGTACTCTATGTCGTAGACTCTGTAACTCGACACTGGCTAGAATCAGCCCGGAAAGCCGGTCAAAGTGTTGGTAGCGGTGCTCCAGATGGAACATTTGCGGCTGGTGTTAACAGAATGACTGAATTGCTTCCCGTCCTGATGACTGATATCATAAACAATGCTCCTGAGGATCACAAGGTACGCGTACTCTTAGACACAATGCAAATGCAGACGAAGGATATCAGCAGCCGCAAGTTGCAATTACATTATAAAGAAGTCGTGCACAACGGCATTATACCATCAGTTTCGGATGGCCGTGCGTCGACCTTAGAGAAGAAACATTCTCCCCTCCACGTATATTCCCATTCGTTTAGCACGAAACTGCCGTTTTATATTCTACGTCTCTTTTACACTTGGTCACATAGACTGTCTCATTCTTTCACTTCCGGCCTTTGATTATCTCTGATTTTGCATCTTGCCATGCCGTGACTGAATAATTCCCACTTACGTATGAACTGTTTTCTCTTTTTAGGACAAAATCAAGAAATTGGTGGACATTTGGGAACGTGGATACACCTTCCCGGCGGATATGATCTCTTCCTTCAAGGAAAAGCTAACTGCACCAGTATCTCAAAGTAAGCTATATTTTCCCCTGGATTTTATAAACCGAACGATCTCTTCTTCTCTCGCCATTTTTCCCATTTCCCCATGTTTTAAAAGAACACCATGGGAACAAAACGGGAAAAGAAGCCGAAATCAAGCCAAATGTATAGGCAAATAACGAGCCAGAAGAGGCATCTGTAGGGTATGTGTGAACCCAGATTTTCTGATGTATGAAATTATCTTTTAGACCTACAATCAACTACCCCCGAAGGATCACCGGCCCCCAATTTTATCCCCATAGGCGGATCGCAGCAAGCCGCCCCCTCATCATCTGCCACAGTGCCAGATACCTCTAGCATTTTGAAGGCCTTGGCGGATATGGCAAAAAGCAATACAGCTGCTCCAGCATCAACCTCAGGTGTACCAGCGCAAACTAGTTCCCATAGTATATATAATACGCAGACTTCAGTTCCACAACCCGTGCCCGCGTCCGTAGACCAGGCTGCGCAACAACCTAACGGGCGGGCTGTAAATCCCTATGCTGTGGGCAACCTTGCAAATCAATTCGCGGGCTTGAGTAATATGGCTCAGAATCCAAATATGTTTCCAAATCAAACACAAACTCCAGCTAATGCTGGGAATCCTCTGGCAGCGGCAGCGGCTGCGGCTGCGGCTGCACAAAACCCGCTTGCCGCGCTGATGCCTCAAGCTGGGGCTCTGCCTCCAGATACACTGCAGCAATTAAGTCTGCTTCAACTAATGGCTGCACAGGGTATTCCGCAAGAGCAGTGGGCAACTGCTTTGCAAATTCTAAGTCTCTCCAACTCCGCAAATACTGGCATGGCCAACGTGAACCCTGCCGCAGCCCTAGCAGCCTTTTCCCAGCAGCCCGCCGCTAGTCAGAATAACGCCTGGGGCTCCCAACCCCAGGACCCGTCATCACGTGATCGTGACCGAGACCACCGGGGTAGAGACCATAGTGATCGAGACGACTATGTACGGTCCCCGCAAGGAGGATATCGGCGCCGCTCCAGATCGCCTGGATGGGATAGGCGTCGTGACGTTTCCCCCCCGCGGCGTCGCGACAGCCCCGTGTACGGGGAATATCACGGAGATTCTCCGGGGAGGAATCGGGACCCCCGCGACGCCCGTGGACGACGGGCACCTGGTGAGTATCGTCAGCGCAGCCCGCCTGGGAGACGCCGGAGAAGCCCGACTCCGCCTCGTAAGGAGACTGCTCTTCCTCCTCCCGGACCAAAATTTTTGGAATGGGACTATTCGATTGGCCAGGGGAATATTAGAGGTATATCTCACTGCCTTCTTTTTTGCTTTAACTTAGCGTCTGTGAATATCATACTGATGATTGCTTTTTATACAGTTCTCAGCAGGACCCTTTTTGTCGGTGGCGTAACGTAAGTTTGCTCTTTTTATTATTACGACCCAGAGAAACTTGATACTGACAAGGAATGAATAGGTCGTCTGAATCCCACTTAAGATCTCTTTTTGGTCGCTACGGCATCGTCCAAACATGTATAGTTAACATTGACAAGCGTCACGCTTTCGTGAAGATGATCAACAGACGTGACGCCGTTACAGCTCGCGAAGGGATGGAGCAGTACAAATCCGGCGACATGCAATTACGAGTAAGTTTTAGCCTGCCACCAGTCAACCTCTAGTACCTGTACTTCCTTTCCCATGAAGAGTAATTTATTCTAACTTTCAGCCACCAGACACGATGGGGTGTCGGATTCGGCCCACGAGACTGCAGTGACTACCAAACCGGCATCAGCGTCATCCCCATCGAACGCCTCACAGACGCAGACCGCAAATGGATGCTCAGCGCAGAGTACGGCGGGACGGGCGGAAAGCCCATTGAGAGTTTTATGGTTGTGGAAGAGCCCGATATTGAGATCGGGGCTGGCGTGTCTTCGAAGGGTACATAGATCACCCCAAGTTGAATACGAACAACAAAACCAAAACTAACACACCCAACAGCTATAAGCCGACGCATGGCCACCGACCAAGGTGGGAAACGCGGTCCCCAATCGACACGTACTAACGTGGAACCAGAACGCTTCCGCCGTCCCAACCGCGGCCCAATGGATGACGGCCACGGCCATGGTCCCGCTCACGGTGGATACGGCGGTCACGGCAGTCACGGACACAACCAGGGCCACGGCCATGCAGGGCAAGGCAGCAATGGCAGTGGCCACGGTAATGGCAGCGGCGATCGGAACGGTGATCGCAGCGAGTGCGACGGCTCCTCAAGCGCCAATAACGCAAACGCAATCGGCGTTCCTCCCCCCGTGCCTGGTTTTGGCTTTTCGTTTCCCGGTATGCCTATGTTCCCACCTGGGTTTATGCTTCCAGGTGCTACTGGCGCGGGTGCACAGGGGCAACAGGGACAGAGACAGGGACAGGCTGCTGAGTCGTCGTCGACCCCTGGACAGAGTTAGTAGGTCGGCAGGGAAAGATGCAAGTTGGGATGTAGCAGGTAGAGGTGAGGAGCGGTTGTTGTGTGCAGTGTTGATATTTGATATAATCTTTCTTATCCTTAGTGTTGTTATCCTGGGTTCTGCTTTCTCCCCCCTCTCCTTTCCTCTCTTGTTTCTTGTTTCACTTCCTCCTGGTCCAGCACCCCATACATACTGTGTGGTGTACTGCGGCTTGGTTGGTCTAAAATGTTGTTTAGCTTTGTCTCATTTCATTTCTTTCCTCCAATTTCCCAACTCCAACTCATTGGCAGGGACACGGTACTGCAGCCGTTTTCAATGATGTATTCCCCCCTCTTTTCTTCATGTTTCCTTCTACTTCGAAGGCTCTTCTCTCTCTAAATCAATTGTAATCATCTTCTTCCCATGACTTGGCTCTCTTGATTTCGCTTCATTTCTTATTTCCTCATTCACTTTGTTCATGCTCTGCTTCTCACTTTTTTGCCCATATTATTTTAATATATTTTTCTTTTTTTTAAAAAAAATTTTTGCTCCTTTCTCTCCATTCAATATTGCGTGTATGAGTGAGTTGAGCGGCGCGTTCCCCAATCTGATTACGATTTCAAGTTCAATTCCGTTCCTAGCTGAGCACAGAACACAGACAGATTACAGAATCATAAATCTGTTCCTTTTCTATGTTTGATAAACTTTCTCGGATTCTTATCATACGCTCTCCTTTGTCTAAGCCTCTGCGCTCCGTTCCGACTCCTGAATATCATTACCTCCTTCGGTTCCAGAAGGGACATGTTAATGAAACAGCATAATGATAGGAAGGCTTATGCATTTGGTATTGCTGATTGCATCAGTCTTTGTTTTATCCGATGCCACAATTCCAGCTGAATCTCTCCTCTTGACATTTTACCATAGAACTTCATCCCAACCCATCACCACCACCACTTGGACATTCATCCCTTCATAAACAGACCACAAAAATAAAACTTAGATACGCCAAACCAAGTAATAATATCTTTGCATAATTTTTTTTTTATTTTTTCTAAATTAAACAAAGAAAAAGTTCAAGACATATGTGTGCAAAGAACAACCCCCTCCCCCCTTGTGAGTTCGGTCCTGTATCATTCGTTAAATAATTAACAACATCCCCACCAACATTTGACAAAAAATAAAATAAAAAAGCCGAGAAAACCCCATATAATCCAATACCAAATCAAGAAATTTGAACTATTGGAATTAAATTTGAAAAAGAGGGGACAGTTGTGCGGCATCTTGGAAGCTGCTGCTGGCCACCGTAATAATTGCCGCTGCGCCGAACAAGGACAAAAGAAAGTCCATAGGTAACTAAACATGTAGTTCTTATCCTCACTAATATTAGTTAGTCATTTTTCATTTCCGACAAAAATTCAAGGAAAAATTAACATTTGTAGGGCTGAGGCTGTTACAAATCTCTCTTCCAATCATTCTATTGTTCGGCATTTGAAGATCTGCAGTGGCGAAAGCTGGGTGGAAAGTATGTAGGTAAAAGATTGTATTGATTTTTATGTTTCTTGGTTTTAGACAATAGACAAGCCAGTTGTTGGAAAATGTCATTGGAACCACTTGATTTTATTTGTCTGAGAAAAACAAGTCGAATGCTTCAGCCATAACTAACTGCCTCAGCTAAAGGGTGAATAAATATAGTATATGAGATCAGAGGACAAGTGTTCAAGCCGCCCAGCTAACACACTCGGGAATTCGGGGGTATTGGACCGTAAGAGATGTTGTGTATGCATGGCTTGATAATATCTACGACTTATCCATCCTCTCTCAGTTCCAGCGAAAAGGAGGGTGAAATGTAGGAATGAAAAGAGATATCAAGGCCAAAGTTTGAACAGCGTTACATCATCGACCTCTTGTGGGTCTATTGAATATCAGCTTTTACATCATTCCATAAAATGTGGCACACATAACATTTACTTGCAACTATCTAATAACCGCAGTATGAATATTGACTTTATGCAGTATCAACGGGCAAGATATATATATACACAGTAACACACAATACCACAAGACAACAACAACAACAACACCCTGCACCCAAAATGCGATTAAGAACGATTAAATTTGAAAAGAAAGGAATCGCAATTCTACATCTGTTATATACAGCCGCTTCAGAAGCCTAGGACAAACTGTACCTGACCTCTATTCCAAGAGCTGATGGAAAATACCATCCTGCACAAAAAAAGAAAAGAAAAAAAAAAAAAGAAAAAAAGAAAAAAAAAAATCAAGCTTTCCCAAGCTTTTTTTGAACGGCGCCAGCGGCGCATGCATGTGTCCTGCTGCTTCGTCACGCTCACAATCAAATTATCGTCAGTGCGCACTCTCTGCATTCATTCAAAGATAGTTAGTTAGCAAACCCAGAAGGATCCCCTCGTTCAACATCGGAGAGACAACTGCAGCCGATAGCATTGGTATGAGCGTGGATTGGAAGTGATCCGAGAGCCCAGGCGGTCAGTTGAACAGCAGAAGCGAGGACAGCACTGAGATATATAAAAACGGGAAATAACGAAAAAGCAAAAAAGAGGAAGAAAAAAGAATAGAAAGCAACAAAAACCGTCGTCATCAAATCAAGATTTTTTTTTTTTTTTTTTTTTTTTTTTTTTTTTTTTTTACCTGTGCGCTCGCATGGCGAGGTGGGGAGGGAGTGTTGATTTGGGTGGTGAACACAAAAAGAAGGGGGGGGAAGGCTCCAAGCTCTGATATTGCCTCTTGTTGATGGGATGCTGCGTGTTCTGCGTGGGGGGAGTTGGATACGATCGCAATCCAGGAAGATAGCGATCATCAAACACTCGGAGTTCAAAGAAGAGGTTAACTAACTGCCTTACACATCTGAGCGGAAACCCAACTCCAATACCCGAGGCCAAAGCCGAGCGGACTCTCTCCGTGTCCATTGCTGGTTGCTTAGGGGTCATTGCGGCTATATTCCAATGAGCAGAAATTAGTTACCGGTCAATCGATTCAAGAGCAATGGCATCTCTGTATTGATTTGAATTTTTGGAAAATGTTTGCTGCCGGATTGCTGTGAAATTGTCCTTTGGGAGGTATGAATGATAGTAGTTAACGCACGGGAGACAACCTCGTTTTCCGCAGGATGTTCGAAGTAACGGGGGGATTAATTCAATTCTGACATTTCCCCACACACTGTTGGCCTTTTTTATTTTCCTTTTTATTTTCCTTTTTTTTTTTTTTTTTTTTTTTTTGTTTTTTGCTTGCACTGCCGTCATCATCACCACCCAAGAAAAGCTCAGTGTACGGAGTAAGTCACAGCAAAACCACAACAAAATAAAAATAATAATAATAATAATAATAATAATAATAATAATAATTTTTTTTTGACAGTTTTATCCCTCAAAAATGGCCCACCTTGGCTCACAACTTCACCGCCAATTGTAATAAAAAAAAAACTTTACCCCCTCTCAGTCAATTATATCCCGCCTTATTATTTCCCTCGGGCATCCTGGGAAAAAAAAAAAAAAATTTCACCCCCTGGACAGGAACCCGGGTTGTTCGCAGCGAATTTAAGCAGCCTTGGGAAGGTTAGCAGAATGGACACCCCAATTCCTTCTTCCCAAGTCACCCTAATAATAATCGTGGATCAATTCGGCACGTTCAAGCCAATTGAATCCTGATAGAAATGTGGAAAGACTTTTTTCTTTTTACTTTTTCTTCTTTCTCTTTTCTCCATGCCATTCATGGCCTCTTTCGTTCTGCGCCCGTGAATCGTGGGGTAAAACAGAACAGCCCGAAACAACGCCCATGACGGAGGCGGCGGTTGGATCGTGATGCATGCGATCGCTGATGTTTGGTTAGTAATGTGTATGGTATTTGGCAGGTAGCGTCGTATGGGTTGGGGTTGGGGTTGGGGTTGGGGTTGGGGGGGGGGGGAGGAGAGAAGAGAGAGAGAGGGGGGTGGGGTTGGTACTGATGACGGGGCTTGGATAGAAGAGGAAAAAGAGCTCTCTCTATGAACGCTGTTTCAGGAAGAACATTGACGGGAACTCAAAAGATCTCGAACGAGCTGATGTTTGAGATGTTCTGATTATGTTCTCAGAAGAAACGTAGGTCTGAAACAAGAAAGCTGAAGCAAGCAACGAATCCTTTTTTGTTTTTCTCTCTTTCTCTTCTCTCCACTACTTCGTGCAACTCTCACACCTCTCGGCCTGATCTGTATCTACTGCAGTAATTACCCCCCCCCCCCCCCCCGGCCGAACCCTCCCAAGCCTAAAGCAAAAAAGTCGCCATGATCAGCCACCAGTTTCACGCTTCTAGCTGCATCTGGAAATCGGTTCTGAGCAGGGAACATGGGGAGGAAAACTCACCTAAAAAGCTGCAACGGGGATTTAAAAAAAAAAAAAAAAAAAAAAGCCGTTTCAAATGATGCATTGGCCATTGGGGGCACTTTTTGTCGTTCAAGCTATGCTGAACCCGCAGGAGTCAACTCCGTAGCATCCCCCCTAATTAAATTGGCGTCGCGAGACCCGGGGGGGGGGGTGGTCCGCTAGCTGGGAGCTATGGCGTGCTGTCAGATCGTTGTAGACATAGCTCCGCGGGAGGAACTGTGCATTGACGATGTGTATGGAGTATGTTCTGTTTGTCTCTCTGTCTGTCTGCCTTGAGTTGTCGGTTGAATGGAGAGGAGTAATTCCAACTCAATTGCAGCTGGTGCTGGTGCTGGTGCTGGTGCTTGGTAACATCTTTATTATTATTTATTTCACTCACCCCCCGCTATCCGTTGTCGGTATAAGAGAAGCCTTTGGTTTTGACATTTCGAGCGCCATCGCAATACCGTGCCGTAATACCCCGTACCCCGTACCCCGTACTCCGTACCAGGTACCAGATACAGTAATACAATACAAATACCATAAATACCGAGCAATAGGAAAAAAGCTTTATGGGCGTATTATCGAAAAAGCGGCAATTTAAAAAAGAGAGGGAATTCAAGAATCAAATACAACTCTGCCAAGCGGGTTGTCCCCTGGACGCCGCTGTTTTGAGGCAAATATTATCCCACGCCAACCCACCAACATGCCGCAGAGCCGACTGCCACGTCCCCTCCGTCTCAATGCGCACGCACTCGGATACCACCGTTGCGCAGGTGGTATTTATTTCTCTTTATTTTTATTTTATTTTTGCAGAAAATTCCTCCCACAACATATGTTACAAATCTTTTTTTTTAAAAAAAAAAAAAAAAAAAAAATTAATTAATTAATATAAATAAATAAATGAAATATAATATAATATAAAAAAAGGGTTCCAGCCCCCATCGATATCGAAGAGCATAGCATAGCATAGCATAGCATAGCATAGGTCACGCGAACAAGATATCCACTCGGAAGTTTATACAGTACCTGCATAACCGTGTGTACACCTCTGTTGCACAGGGCTCATCTGCGTCAAACCGGGCGATTCGATTCACTCTGAGGCTCATGGCTCATGGTTAGTGGCTCGCGGTTCATCGAGTTTCGAGGCGGGAGGCGGGCAAGGGAGTGGGCGCGGATGGGACGATTGGGCTGGCTCCAGGTCACGGCTTGCTGTGAATCAGATATTTGCGGGGTCTAGCTCCTAGATATGGAATGGGAGGGGAGGGGAGGGGAGGGGAGGGGGGTTCTGTCTTTCATGCATGTGTTGTTAATTGAAGGGTTTTTCTGGTTCATAGGATTGTGTGCGTCTGGGGTTTGGGAAACGGAACCGGACCCTTCTATTATACCGTGTGTACGTATGTTGATTCTATAGTAAATGCAGATATAGCTCATTGTCGTATGTATGTATGTATGTTATGTATATGCTGTGCTGTACAATAGTTCGAACCTCCGGGGATGAGTCGGGAAAAAGTGCATAAATCTATATTCGAGAAGACAACAAACAAACCTTTTCCTCCCTTCCTCTCTTCCCACCACCCCCATCATCATCATCATCATCATCATCATCATCATCATCATCATCATCACACCGTTCTAATCAACTTAAACGGCACCCCGTCCCACAAACCCCCTCCATCCCCACTCTCATCAACACCCCGCGCCAGATACGAATCCCACCTCTCATCCATCCCCACCTCCCTCCCGTCCCGAATCAACTCCGCCCTCTCAACCTCCTCCCAAAGAAACAAATTAGGCCTCCACATAGCCGTCATCATCACTCCATCGCGCACCAAGTCATGCCCCTGCTCCTGCCCCTGCCCTCCCCCCGTCTCATGCGGCCACTCCCACGCATCGCTCCACATCTGCCCCTCCAAACCCTCCTGCCAATCAACCCGCACCTCAAAGACATGTAGCCGCGGCAGCTGCAACTTCAGCTGGCACAGGGGGCGGAGCATGTATCTCTCCGTGGCGCGGGACATGCATTTTTCACTAAAGGCCGAGGGCCGTTTGAGGGATATCTTGAGCTCGCAGAGGGAGGTTAGGAGGGGCAAGACTTCGGAGCATGCTACTTCCCAGCCGGTGGGGGGGCGGGGGCTGTAGAGGGTGAAGTCCCCGAAGGCGGATCTGCTGTAAGACCAGGTATCGAGGGTGGGGGTGTAGAATCTGGGGATTGATTTCGGGGTGGGTGTGGGGATGTCGTTACTTCTATCGTTGATGTTGTCTGCTGCGAGTTTATGTGGGGTGGGCGGGTGCGCGCCCGGTCGGCGAATTCGGCGAAAGAAGGGGAGGTTATTTAGATAACAGTATGAGTCGAGGTAGTCGAGGTGCGGCCCGCTGATTTCGAGCTTTGTGATGCGTTTTAGGTGGTGGTCTGGGATGGAGATGGAGAAGCCCAGTAGGGTGAGCAGGTCCATTTGGAAGGTCATGTTTTTGTATAACACCGTGACTGCTTCTGTGTAGCTAGTTGGATGTTAGTTGGGACGTTAGGAGAGACAGACAGATAAGTATTCTAGGTTTAACCCCCCCCCCCCTTTTCCCTCCCCCTTTCCCCCCCCCTTTCCCCCCCCCCTTTCCCCCCACCAGAAGAGGCCTGACCTGGGTATGTATGTACGGTGTTGTATAGCACTTTTAGAGCATACTCTACATATGGAGATGCATATGGAGAGGAAAATAAAGTGATATAACAATGTATGAACCGGGAAGCAAAAGATGTAATATACGTACACTTGCCGACAAACGCATAGCAAGTCCAGCGCCCCGCTAATTCCTTTCTTTGCGCTCGGGAGGAACTTCACTGGTGCCACAGACAGCTCACGGATTACGCAGCCAGCCCTGGTCGTCGGACGATAAACATGAGCAGGCGGACACTGATAATCATGTCTATTACCATTATAGCAAACAAAGCCTTCCCGTATACCCTCCGAGCAAGCCACGCTAGCCACCTTCCCCGGAATGGTGACCACGTGTGCGCGCTGCGTCGATAGCGCATATTGATATATCATGAGCCGAATTTCCAGCGGTAACTGAGTAAGGAATCGAGATTCTTCCTGCCGCGAAGAGGAGGAAGATGAAGAAAGGACCCGGATGGCTCTTGTCCCTGGCAGGTTGGATAATAGCCTGCCAAAGCCAGTCCTCTCTTGCTTGATGTCGGGACCAGATTGGCTGGACTGGCCCTTCTCCAGCATGGAAGGGGTAATGGAAAGCCTTCTCCTCCTGGAATTTGTAGTGAGCCCCAGAACGGGGATCATGAGCTCCTTTCTCTCCCTCTCGCTTGCTGCCTTTTTCCTGGCCGATGAGATCAGGAAGCAGACATAGAACGGGGAGACGAGGCACATTATGAGAGCACAGCCGATACGGTCCAGGAACGCCAGAAGCTGCTGCTTGCAAGCCATGGCGATGAACTCTCTGCAGTTGTCAAAGGCCTTTATGGGGGATCATCCGTTGATGATCAACATATTCATATAGAGTAACTAGTACCTAGATCAAGATAGATATGTTAGAGATTACTGAGACTTCTTGAGCACTCAGAGTCGGGACTCGGGAACGGACGATGGGGTTGAGCCAGTGCCTAACATCTGACAGGGCTCTGGCGCTTGGCTCACGGCACAACCAGTCAACCAGTGCTAATGCCCTATCCAGCCAGGCGTTGAGGGCTAGTACAATTAAAAGAAGGATAACTAGTGGCGTGGTTATTGCCCAGCTCCAACCCTACAAGAAACGCGCGTGGGCTCCAGTATTTAAGAGAGCGAGCGATGGGGCCACCAAATCAAGATGCGAAGACACTGAACAGCGCTCGGAGTTGAAAAAGATTCCTCCAGAGAAATGAAAGAGAATCTTGCTTTACTTTTTGATAACTAAGGCAACTCGCGTGCTTTCAAACCTTGAACATCTATTTAACTCCAAGCCAGAGCCAGAGCCTGTAGTTTGCTACCAGAGGGATGGTTCGTTCAAAAGATGTCGAACCTAGGGTAACTAGTTAACTCACCGGCTGGCAACCTTGAGAGCGACCTCTGGAAGTGGCCGATGCATACCCTCGTACTCGGTCAGATAAGGCACCTCCTTCGTCTCGGCCATACAATTAGTTATTTATCAACCAAGCCAAGCACAGCACAGCACAAGCAGAGCAGAAAAAACCTTCCGCTGAAACCCAGGAACCAGACCCCGATAAACTCTGACGCTATCCATGGTTTAAAAGGTATTACAGTTGGGTTGCCCTGAAGGCAAAAGAGTGATAAGAAAATAAAATAAAATAAAACACCAAAGGACCAACGGACGCAAAATATCAAACTCTGCAGATGGCATTCACAAGCTCTGGCCCCAATGAAGCGGTCTGAGACTCCTGAAGAGGGGGGCGGGGTAATAGAAGACGGAGGGATTGAGACATCCCCATCCCTTCCCCCCCCCCCCCCCCCTTCTTTCTCCCGGGAGCCAACCCTGGGTGTGCGCTGGGTGAACACATCGCGGGCTGCACGGGCCCAACCAAGGACGAACACGGACGAACACCGGGGCCGGCTGGAACAATGTCACCAACACCCCTTCTAGCCACTCTTGCCCGCTTTTCTGCTCGACATCATTGGGACTGCAGGGGATGCTCAGCGCGAGGCGATTGCCCGACCGCGAGTCCCGACAGGCCAGAGAGAGGGGGGATGAGGGGGGGTTCGCCGTAGCTAATAGAAGACTGGTGCAACAAATGGGCTGCTGGTTAGTCATGGCGCTCCCCAGCCATGCCCGCTGAGTCAGCTGAGCCTGGGAAGAGGAGTCCGGGAGCAGGGTGCAGTAAGGAGCTTTCGCTTTCGCCTGCGCCCAAAGGCCCCCCGGCCCTCACGCACTCTCCGCCGATCCCCATGCCAAGCCCCGCAGCCAGCGGGGAAAAATGTTGGAGAGTTCGCTCGCCGCAAAGCACGCCACAACGCCCTCGCCAAGCCAATATTCCTCTTCTTGGCGCGGGTCCTCTCTGGCCCGGCAGTCGATGGGATCTAGCCCGCCCTGGAGGCCCCAGGGGGGATCGTCAGGCTGTGCCCGTCGTCGTCGTCGTCGTCGTCGTCGTCGTCGTTCGTGTATGTATGTATGGCTCTCTATATGGATCTATGTGTCTATGTGTATGTAGGTTCTGTCGATCAAGGACTGCGCGGCTGCGACTGTCTATGTAGGTCTGCTGGTTGATCTGCTGCGGCTGTGCTGTGTGCGACGCGGAGCGGGATTTGGTAAAGTGTTAAAAGTTTTCTCTGTGCTTGTGCTTGCACTTGTATTGTTATTTACTGATGTGTCTTGGTAAAACCATACGTGTTTTCCTATGTTTTCGTATGGTGGAATCCGTGGAGGAGAGCGCCCTGGATGTGTGTAGGGGGAAGGAAGGGCTAGAAAAGGGGCAGAGGCAGGGAGTTATGGCCATCGCATTTCAAGAATCTATGTATGGATGTATGGATGAATTCATGCCCACTTCTCGAGATCTCAATTGAGGGTATATATATATACATATACATACATACATACATACATACATACATACATATATATATATATATATAGAGTAAAACGAAAATAAAATAGAAAATAAAAAGTGAAAACCCCTCCTCGGTAATATAGTTACATAGCACGTTCCAAGCCCTCCCGCCAAGCCCCGTCGAACAAATGCGGATCATTCCGGGGTCCATATCTCTCTACCTACCCGCCAAGCATGGACACATCACTCCCCATACCACACTGCTTCGGGGCAAAGAAGGCGCGCAAGAGAGAGCTGGACTTGCGCATATGTGCAACAATAGCTGATATAGGGGATGTAAATGCAGAGGCAGCAGCGCCGATCAAGAGCAGGGAAGGAGGGGGGGGGGGGGGGGGGAAAGAGGGGTGATATCGTGCACGACGGGGGTATGTGAGTTGGAACGGGGTTTGCAATAATAATAAATAGTGCGATCTGTGTGAGGATTGCTCTGCATGGATAGGTATAGGTATATATATAGTTCATTAACAAACGGTGCTTTGAGTGGTTAACTAGTTAAGTAGCTATCGTCTACCATTGTACTCACCATTCCTACATAGCCACCCTCCACGCCAACAATTGGTAATCGATCATACAATCGCCCTTCTCCGCCCCACACCTGCCTCCCTCCCTCCACTCCTCAACGTCCATCTCCACAGCAAACCCATCTCCATCAGAACTTACCACGCGCCCACGGCCCTCCCTATGCACATGGTGTCTGTAAGTTCTTGAAGAATGCCCGAAGCAAAACTGCAGGGTAACGTCCCCATTGGTGTAAATATCTCATTCGAGACATGATAGTTAGGGGTAAGTGAGCCAGCTATCAAGAGAAGGGCCATTCGGCTTGTTGAACGACGAATGACATTGACAAACCATATCAGGTTCTGGCTGATACCTGCAGCAGGCAGAAAGAAAGGAAGAGAGAAAAAAAAAAAAAGAAAAAAAAAAGAAAAAAAAAGAAAAGAAAAAAAAAGATTTGAGCCGTTGGACATTTGACAGTATTTACCGCATTCTCACTCTCATTCTCATGCTCGTCATCCTCCCCCGTCGTTCTCATGGGAAAGCAAGATACAATTTCAAAACCTCCTCAGACAAACCAACAATGCAGAAAGATTCCAAAACAGCTCCTCCAATCCATCCTCAGACAAACCCGCCACCTCGTACTCCGCAGTCTTGTCTGTTACCAGGGTGGTAGTTAAGTTATGAAGCTGAGTGAGTGTGAAACTCGGCCCCGGCCCCTCGATGACGTCGCAACAGCCAAAACGGCCCCCGCCCCCGGCCCCGCCCCTCCCCTTCCTCGAACCCCAAAAACCACCGGCCAATCCGGTATAATCTGACCTCCCTCCCGTCCTTGCTCGACCTCAGAATAATAAAATAAGCGCCGCTGCTCATTCCATATCCATCCAGGCTTGAACAGGTATTAATTACCTCCACAATTTTTCAAGTGTTTCAAACTTCCCTGACGAAAGGCGATGACTGGAGATTGAAAAAAAGAAAGATAAAAAAGGATAAAGAAGTCAAGGCATGATGTTTGAGGACACAGATGTCTGATGTTTTGTTGTCACGTGTTTATTGTGCTGACGCAACCCTAAACCCCGTGGGCGTAATGGTTCGGGTGAATGACGTTCGGGGCATTGGAATCATTCAAGAATGGAACAATTAAAGTTAAACCACTGAAAAGGTTCAAAGGATGAAATATTTTTAGGTACAAGGAGTGGAGATATAAAAACGCAAAGTACATACATACTATTACAACAGTATGACAAGGCGCGAAAGGGTTAAATAAAAGCGGTGAAAAATAGTAGTTAAATATCAAGAGAGGAGAGATACTTTAACTACAGTTAGTTCTTCAATCTTCAACAAGGTGACTATTAGCCATGCAGGCATACGCACCCTCACCCACGCAATTACTATACACTCGTACATCGTACACACATACACACATACACACATACACACATACACACATACATACATACATACATACATACATACATACAGAGTTATATATATATCTGCGAAGACAGCGGCAGTCGTCAGCGAGGCGAAATCGAGCGATGACGAAAGCATAGAAGAGAGCTGCCTCATCATCCCCCCAAGGATCCCGCAAACCACGCATCGTGGCTCGTGGCGATAGATGATTTGATGTCCTAAGGCTGCTACATATCATGCATGACAAGACCGAGCCAACCTGTCATTGCCCCATGGCCACGGGCATCTATCTCAAGAAACCCCCGGGCGGGTAGTTTGATGTTGTGGAAGTATGTCAATTTTTATTTTAACAACCCCCCCCCCCCCCCGGGGCGAGGTAGGGTCCAATCATGTCGATGGGCTTAGTTCACATGGTGCTGAGTGGGTACGATGATATCACAAAAATATTTCGTCGATGAGGGGATTGTGGGGTGGCTGTTAAGCGGGCTGTTCAAGGCGGCCCGGCCATTGGATTTATCTCCACAGCCTCCGCTCTAGTTGCTTTGTTGACTCAATCGACTTTGAGGGCACTGGGACTCTGAAGGGCAGTTTGTATATATATATAACTATATAATTAAATGTGTATAAATATGTATCGAAGTAGCTGTAGACGAAAGACGAATGATAAACTGATATTAAATTACTAGGGATACAAGATATGCATGCATGCGTACTAACTGCATTTGCCCGATCCCGCCCAGATCCGAGTGCCGCTTGAACCCACATGTAAATGCAATTTACCAGGGAAATGGAGTTATTTTTGCTTTTTTGGCCATCGGTCATCAACATTGAACATCATTAAAAGATTGATGATCTATATGCATGCATGCATGTATGTATGTATGTAAAGTATGTAACTATGTAGTTAGTGTTTTATATGGACCAGACATGAGAACATCCCTCATGACATCCTACCTAGTTCCACACTCGATAAAACCTCAAGAAGAAATAACTGCTTCCAAATCCGCGGGTAAGCAAAGGGGCAGCTGGATAAAAGCGCAAAGACTGTGCACCGCCTTGGAAGTTGAAGAAGGGCCCGGACAGGGAATGAGGAGAGAGCCGCGGTATTTAAACCAAAAGGGCAGTAAATTCCTGTTCCTGATACTCCTGTCTGGTTATGAGACCCAGATCTCTTATCGATTGTCAAGAAGATAAAGTAATTAAATATAAAAATGAAATATCGAAACATTTAAAATATTACAGAGAAGTCATAGCTGATAAGCTAATGTGTAAAAAAAAAGAGAGAACATCATTCTTTTAATGGATGTTAGTAAAGTTTTCTGACAGAAATTGCAATGTCTGATCTGCAAATCTGTTGACCTTTGAATCATCACATCAATATAACTTGAATCTGTAGCAACCCCCCAGTGTAAGCGTATTTAGAAATCAATTGTCTGTCTAATGGATTAATTGCCAACTGTATAAATCTCTTTGTTGAGGGCCCTGGTGAGTAGTTGAAGTTGGAGAGTTGGGGATTGGTTATGGAGTTATTGAGTGGATTGATTTTGGAATCACGTTACATTCTATGACTTCTCATCATCATCATCATCATCATCATCATCACCATTATCATCATCATCATTCTACGGTGCTGCGCCGCTCACGCTACAAAGTTCAACATGGAGGCGGTTTAACAAGGGAAGAAAGAAGCTCCTGAGCCTGTTGCGCGGTTCTGTCATCCAGTCTACAGTGTTTCAACCAACGGGCTTCCAGTCATGCTCGGGAGTCCCATAAATGATGCAGTAACTGCAATATGCCTGGTTATAGTTAAGAGAACCAGATGTTCTCATCCCAGGTAAATTTTAACAAATTTAATGTAATGTAATAAGTGGTTGCTGAGCATAGATGATTTGAAGAAGTCTACTTAACTACGTAGTTGAGAGATATAATTTTGGATTGGGTTTAGGTGCTGATACATTCATTATTAGTTGCTATAACAATACATCGCCCCAGAAAGAAACAAACTCAGGGTAGTTAATAAAATCCCCATCTGTCATGTCAACGGCAAAAGGCAACCAGAAAAAGTCGCTTGAGATTAAGCTTGAACCACAGTGTGCCAACACTTCCCGCCGTCTATCTTCCAATGAAAGGATAGAAGAAGGAAAAAAGAAAAGAAAAGAACTGGAAAAGAATAATAGTGAAAATGAGATTAAAAATGAAACTAAAAAAAAAAAAAAAAAATTAAAAAATAAAACAAAACAAAATAGGGATGGCGGTCTCTCCGTGCGGGTGGCATGGATTGCATTATCTCATGAAACCTGCTAACAAAAGCATAAAGTTAGTAACTATATGTTTCTGATAACCCTCATACACTCTCTATTATATGCCCGACTACCCACCCTTCAACCTGTAAGAAAATCAGACAGAGGAACAGAAAACAGAGAGGGTGGTACGTGGTTCAAGCGATAAGAGAAGGAAATCGTTGGTACAACCACAGCGGGAGACACGGGTGGAGTGTGGGTAGTTTACCTGTTACCTAGGTTCTCTTGTTTGTATCTGGGAAAAAGGCTGTCCACGGGTACCCGGGGCCAAGGCTTGCACGCTACGCATATTGGCTGGGCTTGTCTGAGTTTGCGAGTTTGCCGGGCAGAACCAAAGTTACGGGCGGTATGCTATTACAGTATGGTCATGTTAGGTTTTTTTTCTTTTTTAACCTTTTTTTTTTGTGCGCGTGGGATGGGGTGCTGTCTTTCCCTTGGTAATGTTTCCATTGTCGCCTCCTTTCTCTCTCTCCTTTCCCAGTCTTTCTCTGTTCTTTTTTGCAGTGTGATATATTTTTTGGTGGTATGGTACGTACGGTACAATAAGAACAGAACAGAACAGAACAGAACAGAACAAGAACAGTACAAGTACACTATTGACACATACCAACCACCCACTCTCTTCCACTCTTCCACTCTCCAACTCTCTCCACTCTGCCTTCCCCTTCCCGGAATCCACTCCACATCCACTGCTCATCTTCTTTTTTTCTTCTTCTGCATCTTCTCTTCCTATTCCTCATCATATATCAACCGCCTCCCTCCACTTCCGCTTCCTTCTTCTCTTCTTCTCGAACATCATCCTTCTCACGTCTTGCGTTGCCCTGTAGTTGCTGGTGCTCTTGTGTAGCCCTCACTCTCCTCCCCCTCCCTCCTCCTCTCTTCCTCCCCTCTTCTCTCTCTTCTCCCTCTTCTCCCTCCAACCCTCCCTTCAATCTGCTTTCCCCTCAATCCCCTTGTTCCCGCGCCATTGCGCTGGCTTTTAAACGGCCATTCCAGTGCGATCATCCTCTAGAAGAAGAGGATACCCAGCTTCCCCAACAACCCCCGGCTGGAAACTGCTACTACTGCTACTGATACAACAACAACAACAGAGGAATTGACCTAGCTCGTGAAGTTCCCACATTGTGCTCGTCTTCTTGGGTTATTGCCTTCCACCATCATCACCCTTGTCATACCATAATACTTCGTCAACCATGTCAGATTCCATCACATCTGGCCCGCGCGGCCAACACATACCACCAAACCATCTGGGAACCAGCGTCCCTTCGGGCGCTTTCCCCGGAAAACCCACGGAAAGTGTCCCCGAGGAGAAAAAGCAGGTGTTCCACGAAGATGAGGATGAGGATGAGGACATGGATGCCCTCATTGAAGAGCTCGAATCCGAGGATGGCCATCTGGACATCGAGGATGATGAGATCGGTGAGACCGGCAGTGCCCGCCCGGTCCCAGAGGAGCTGCTCCAAACCGATACGCGCCGGGGTCTGATGGATCAGGAGGTCCTGTCACGCCGCAAGAAGTACGGTCTCAATCAGATGAAGGAGGAGAAGGAAAATCTGATATTGAAGTTTTTGAGTTATTTCGTTGGACCGATTCAATTTGTTATGGAGGTGAGTTTTGCACTTTTGGGATTTCCTATATGATGGATGGATCCATAATTGGCAATGTCAAATGCTAATTAATGTTTACAATGCAGGCTGCTGCTATTCTCGCTGCTGGTCTTGAGGACTGGGTCGATTTCGGTGTTATTTGCGGTCTGCTATTGCTCAATGCCGCTGTCGGTTTCATCCAGGAATTCCAGGCCGGTTCTATCGTTGACGAATTGAAGAAAACTCTAGCCCTCAAAGCTGTTGTTCTTCGCAATGGCCGTCTCACAGAAGTCGAAGCTCCCGAAGTCGTGCCTGGTGATATCCTTCAGGTCGAGGAGGGTACTATCATCCCAGCGGATGGCCGCATTGTTACCGAAGACGCTTTCCTCCAGGTCGATCAGTCTGCTATTACCGGTGAATCTCTTGCTGTTGACAAGCACAAGGGCGATACCTGCTACGCTTCTTCCGCTGTCAAGCGTGGTGAGGCCTTCATGGTCATCACTTCCACCGGTGACAACACTTTCGTCGGTCGTGCTGCTGCTCTCGTCAACGCTGCCTCTGCCGGAACTGGTCATTTCACTGAAGTGCTCAATGGTATCGGAACCGTTCTCCTCATCTTGGTCATTCTCACTCTGTTGGTTGTCTGGGTTTCCTCTTTCTATCGCTCCAACGGCATTGTCACCATTCTCGAGTTCACTCTGGCTATCACGATCATCGGTGTCCCCGTCGGTCTCCCAGCTGTCGTCACCACCACAATGGCTGTCGGTGCCGCCTACCTTGCCAAGAAGAAGGCTATTGTCCAGAAGCTGTCCGCCATTGAGTCTCTTGCTGGTGTCGAAATCCTCTGCTCTGACAAGACCGGTACCTTGACCAAGAACAAGCTCTCTCTCGCTGAACCCTACTGCGTTGCCGGTGTTGACCCCGATGACCTTATGTTGACTGCTTGCTTGGCCGCTTCCCGCAAGAAGAAGGGTATTGATGCCATTGACAAGGCTTTCCTCAAGTCCCTCAAATACTACCCCCGCGCCAAGTCCGTTCTCACCCAGTACAAGGTCCTCGAATTCCACCCTTTCGACCCAGTCTCCAAGAAAGTCAGCGCAGTCGTCATCTCTCCTCAAGGTGAACGCATTACTTGCGTTAAAGGGGCTCCTCTTTTCGTGCTCAAGACCGTCGAGGAAGACCACGCCATCCCTGAAGACGTTGACAATGCCTACAAGAACAAAGTCGCTGAATTCGCTACCCGTGGTTTCCGTTCCCTTGGTGTTGCCCGCAAGCGCGGTGAAGGCTCCTGGGAAATTCTCGGAATCATGCCCTGCTCGGATCCTCCCCGTCACGATACCGCAAAGACTATCAATGAAGCCAAAACTCTCGGTCTCTCCATCAAGATGTTGACTGGGGACGCTGTCGGTATCGCCCGTGAAACTTCCCGTCAACTCGGCCTAGGTACCAACGTGTACAACGCAGAGCGTCTCGGTCTCGGTGGCGGAGGAACCATGCCTGGGTCTGAAGTGTACGATTTTGTCGAAGCCGCCGATGGATTCGCTGAAGTCTTCCCCCAGCACAAATACAACGTCGTCGAAATTCTGCAACAGCGTGGATACCTCGTCGCTATGACTGGTGACGGTGTTAACGACGCTCCGTCCCTCAAGAAGGCTGATACCGGAATTGCTGTCGAAGGTGCATCTGACGCCGCCAGGTCCGCCGCCGATATTGTCTTCCTTGCTCCCGGCTTATCTGCCATCATCGACGCGCTGAAAACCTCCCGCCAGATTTTCCATCGTATGTACGCCTACGTTGTGTACCGTATCGCTCTCTCCCTCCATCTCGAAATCTTCCTGGGTCTCTGGATTGCCATTCTGAACACCTCTCTCAATCTCCAGCTGGTGGTCTTCATCGCTATTTTCGCTGACATCGCCACCCTCGCCATCGCCTACGACAACGCTCCCTTCTCCAAGACACCCGTCAAGTGGAACCTGCCAAAGCTGTGGGGTATGTCCGTTCTGCTCGGTATCATCCTCGCCGTCGGAACCTGGATTACCCTCTCGACCATGTTGGTCGGAACTCAGAACGGAGGTATCGTGCAGAACTTCGGTGTCCGCGACGAAGTGCTCTTCCTCCAGATCTCCCTGACAGAGAACTGGCTCATCTTCATCACCCGCGCCAACGGGCCATTCTGGTCCTCCATCCCATCCTGGCAATTATCCGGTGCCATCTTACTCGTCGATGTCGTGGCTACCTTCTTCACCTTGTTCGGTTGGTTCGTGGGCGGACAGACCTCCATCGTCGCCGTGGTGAGAGTATGGATCTTCTCTTTCGGATGTTTCTGTGTGCTGGGAGGCATTTACTATTTGCTTCAGGGAAGTGCTGGGTTTGATAACATGATGCATGGCAAGAGTCCGAAGAAGAACCAGAAGCAGAGAAGCTTGGAGGATTTTGGTATGTTTCTTCTCCATTCCCTCGTTCCCCTTGTACGTCTTTTGCAATCAAGGCCCTTTTAATAACCATCCCTTTCTCATCTTACAGTCGTTTCCCTCCAACGTGTCTCCACCCAACACGAGAAGAGCACATAAAAGCCTTCTCTTTACTACTACCGCCTCAAGACGAGAGGAACATTTGGATTTTCCCTTTTTTTTTTTTTTTTTCTTTTCATACATTACATATAGGTGGGCGAGAATTAAAGCTTAATGCAACAATAACAACAACTACTACTACAATGCTGCTACCACAGAGACCGTGGAGTTGGATACAGATAAAAATAAAGATACACTACTAATCCAGTTTGAGTTGCAGGCAGGGGAAATGGAAGAAGCAAGAAAAAGAAAAGAAACTATCTTTTTGTTTCATGTATATTCTGTTTAAGTTGGAGAGATAGGGTTTGTTTGTGTATAAAGATGGACTTACCCAACCACCTCTACCCCCCCCCTTTACAACTCCCCCGTTTTAAAACCCCAACCCCTGTGATTAAAAAAAGCTATATGCCAACTACACATCTCTCTCTCGCCACTGCTTCTCCCCCACTCTCTCACATTACCGTTCTTTTGCTTTACTTCCTCTCTTACCCCTTAAAACAAGCCATCGCCTCCAACAAAAGAAAAAAAATACGGGCTGTTATTTTGCCAACATAACTAATTATCTTTTGTTGGAGGGGCCAATAGGAATTGGAAGTGAAAGTGAATGGAAATTGAAATGGAAATTGAATAAGGGATGAATATGAGAAGTGAAGGGCGTACGTGTATATATGAATTGAGAGTGATGAGATGAAGGCTCTGGGGTTAGAGGCGCCACGGTTTTTTCCTTAATTGTTCTATTAAATCTTGTTTTTTCTTATTAATGTTTATACTTTTTTAATTTTTATTTCTTTTTCTTTGCTTCAGTATGTTGCTTTTTCCATAGGTAATTCAGAGATAGTTGAAGCTGAAGATAGATCAAAGTAAGAAAGAAAAATAAAGAAAAATAAAATAAAATAAAACAGAGTAGAGACAGACAGAGAAAATTAGATATTATATTTGAAAGTATTGTAAAAAAAGAGGTTCACAGGTTTTCTTCCTAGATTCTTCGCGGGATAATATAAGAAAAGTTTTAGAAGCATTTATCTCAGAAAATCATAAATATATATTTGAATAATCAAATTGAGCAATTTCATTCTAATGATATGTTCATAATAATAGATTTATCAGAATCAATTTCTATCGTTAAGATTATTGCTAGACTTAGAAAATCAAATCCTCTTATTAGAGCAAAGACTGTCACTCATCTCATCAAGATTGAAAACTCATTTCTGAGATTAAAGATTAAGTCTATTGTTGAAGCAACTGGTCAGAATTGAGAGCTTGTATATAATCTTGTTATTTTCATCAGAGCTTGCAGCTCTGTGAAAATAAAAGTATGCATTTCTTCAATTAATTATGAGATAGATAATTGAGATTTGTCCTTACAGACTTACTGAGCTATAGTCATCAGTTTAAGTCATCTTTGCTCAACAGTCTCCGTCATAGTTATGCTCTATAAAAAGCGAAGTCCAGGAAAAAGTGTGTAAGACTACATGGCAAAAAGACCTAATCGCCAGTAGTCTATACTGGACAAAAGAATGAGCACATGTTGGGCATGACCGCCTGGGTAGCCGCCCACCTCACGTGATGTACGCGTATATTAGTTAGAGCGAGTCCTCCCAACCAATGGAAGACCAACCATCCCACAGTACAATCCTGCTGAGGTCACCTGATCCCTAACACAAAGTAGGTCAATTGAGTCACATGTCACTTGTTGAATATTTTCTGCTTCTTTCTTAAGGCACTCATTGGCCGCTTGTCATTTTAGGCAGCAATTATTGACGCCATGTTTTAGCACTGAACAACCAATGACGCCTGATGATATGACGGCGCTTCTCGAAACCTTTCACTAAAGCCGGGCAATGATGGTCAAGAAAAGCGCTATACACTGATATTTCAACATTACTCGTGATCTCTCAAGTCAATCATATTTATACATGTTTTTATCTGTTTCTTTTCAGGTTTGTTCATATAGAAATGTGGATCACAAGTATATCAGAATGTTAATATTAATAGTTTGTTTACTATAAATCTCAAGTAAAAAAAAATTGATTATATTTTATATTAAAACTTGTATGTGATATTTAATAATTAAAATATAAAATATACTTTTTATTTTAACATAATCATATAAAATCAATTATATTATATGATATGAGCTAATTTTCAATATCTTGCCATCTTAGCTTAAAAATTTAAATTTTATATTTATTAACTATAACAATTTATTATCAACTACTAATTAGATAATGTAATATTTTTAAATTAATAATAAATTAAGTTCATTATCAAACTATTGATTTGATAATTTTAAAGTATCATAAAAGTGAAAATTAAGCATAAAATTTTATTGATAATAGAAATTTATAGAGAGTATTTATAAGTTTTATTTTAATTAAAATTATTATATAGAACTGTATTTCATATAATATAGTTTTGTTTTATTAAATAGTAAGTTGATAATAATTAAAATTTTTAATAAAAATAGCAATTTACTGATTGTATATTTTATATTATGAAAATTAAAAAGTTTTAAAATTTAACTATATTATAAGAATTTTAATCTTTTGAAATATCAGATAATAAATAATAATTGATAGTTTTATTAATAAAATTTTTTCATATATATATATATATATTAGAATATACAATTATAGTATTAAAGTTAACTTAGATAACTTTTTTGTAGTTAGTTTTTAACTACTTATCAAAAACAATGAAAATATTTTTATATAAGAATTATTATACTTTATTAAAAATCAATAATAACTTTCTGCATATATTCTTTTATGTAAGTAATTACTCAGGCTACGCCTTCGCGTTATCGAGACGCTATCGAAATGGCGCCATCGAAGCAGCACCCCTGCCCCTAACCGTATAACCCCTATCCGTGTATCCGCACATCCTCCTATCCGTATAGCCCCTATTACAAAGGCGCTAATCCTCATACTAAATCTTCGCTCCCTATAAAAAGGAGCTTAATCCCCTACGTAATCTATCTTCCTCCTTCCTCCTTTAACGATTCCTTTTCTGTTTCTATACGCGCTAGTTGTTAGCTGTTTTCAGTGGCTAGCCCGTCACAGTATTGTAGTTTATTATTAAAGATTTTGACAGGTGCTTAATCAGATGAAAGACTTGCATCATGTAGATGCGAACTATAATTGACTGGGTCAATAGCTAGTATAAAGCCATAGAAATTGAGTACAGCATCATAATCACATATTTTGAACCATTTCAGACTGCAATAGGCTCTGATCTCACAGTGGGAGTGGTCCAAATCTCAAACGCAATTGTGGTGTACCCGACATCCCCATTATTGTGATCGGTAAAAAATGACACAGGTTAGGGGATGCGCACACGCTAAATGCAGGCTCAGGTTTGTAGTTTGTGTGGGATGGTTTGGTCTTCATTGTGGGAGAACTGGTCAGCTAACTGATATACACGAACATCACGTGAGGTGGTGCGGCTACCGGGCGGTCATGCCCAACAGTTTTGTTAGGCATGGACAGCCGCCCGTGATATAGGCGTGTATTAGTTAGCTTCCCTAATAGGAATCAACCATATGGAATCCACATGGCTCAGACTTGTAGTTACTGTTGGGCACGTGATTCTGGTAACTTGGAAGCTAGCGAGCAAGTCTATAGTTTATTTATACACACGGGACGCGGGAATCAACGTCAGGGGCGGGCGGATCGGGGCTACGGCTAGATGTGTCAGGACCCACACACTGAATTTGAATTTGAATTACGGAAAGCTTGTTCGATTAGTGTTCAATTAGTTACCTCAATGCTGTAACTAAAGTAACTAAAGCTTGACTATATGAAACGTATGATATAGCCGATATAGGAGGATGTCCTATACGGATTAGATGGGAGATGATGTACGGAATAGGAAGGTAGTGAAGCTAAAATAGTAACTAATCCTCTGGGAGGCAGAATAGTGATCATTATTCTGTTGAGCTTCTCTATCAGTGAATGGAGGATTTCACCCCTCTTTTGTAGAGGTTTGAGAGGACTGATATCCTTATGCTGATACCACTCATTCTATATACAAATCTAGCCCAAAAGAGCAACAACAGGCATAATAGGAAAGCTATTCCTCAAAAAAAGAACTAATGAAAAAAGGCAGCTTTTTAAGATTACAAGCAAATTTTAAAGGTTGAACCAATGATACAGTCCGCCATATGGCGCTAGATATCAGCCGCGTGCTGATGTCTCGCCCTCTCACCCGTCTTACACTATATAAGTTTCCCTCCGCAGTATCTTCTTCAAACTCCCAGGGCAAACACTCACTCCAAAAGTCATCTTGGAACTCTGCCATTTTCAAAACGAGCGGTAAGGTCCAGTAGCATGTGCGCTACTTTTTGTATTATCAAACCCCAGTTTGGATTCTCCTAATTTGAAGAATGGTTTTGAGCAATAAAGGACAACGTTGTCCCATCGTCTTGCGGTAGTTTGGAGCCGGGCGTCTGGTATCTTCCTTTCAAGACAACGCTATTGCATCTGCAGCAGACTGTAACTAAAACAGAGCCCTGTCCTTTGCATTTTTCCGGCATGAGCTGCACAGGAGTGAGTATGTCCACTTATCTGGATCATCTGTCCTGGGCTGGTAGATTCTTTTCTGGGCGCCACAGTGGAGGCAGAATCGACGATCACTCCCAGCATGCTATTTCCAACGCTGCCCTTTTTTTGTTTATCAGCGAATGTATCTCGGGGACGGAGTTTAAGACAACGTGCTGTGTTGGACAATGCATGTAAATATCATGAGGTGAAACTGGAACTTCGATAATTATCATACTTTATAGTACGGACTGCTCTATGTGCATATAACATGGTTAACGGGATGTTTAGTTCATTCTCCCAGCTCAACCTCGCTCAAGTTCAAAATCCTGCCAAGCTCTGCTAATAATATCCTAAATAGTTAAAGAACACAGAACAATCGCTCTTAGGGTCCATTCCGTCGCGGTAGAATGTTACCGTCGTCGTTGCATACACAGTTGCATCTCTATACATTATCCAAGCGTTAACATCTAATTACTCTCCTAAGGCGGTATTTTGTAGTTACCACGGCGGCTCTATCCGTTCTCTCACTTTACGGCAACAAGCCAGATCAAACCTTGATTATAATCCATCATCCCTTTGACCATGGTCCCAGCAAGGCTACCTTCGCTTACGGATACCATACAACTTAACTTAGTACCAAATTCTGCACTTTGTTCCCATATCACACATAGCTGAGCTATCGGACCACGATTGCAATATCATCGCAGAACATCCTTTTAACATATACACAGTTGCCCTAATAAATAGCTACATATTCAACTATTACATAGTCTTAATTTATTAATATTTTAAATACTTACGTGTGTTGGTGAAGTACGTTAATTATTAGTCAGTAAATATTAGTTCCTTAACTAATAATAAATTATTAGTAAGTTAATTAATAGAACTATTAGTAATAGTTTTTATTTTTATATTTTTATAAAAGAAATATCTTTTACTTGAAAATCTAAAAAATTAACTAATTTTAAATTATATTAAAATTAATATATATTTAATAATAATATTTATTTGAATATTTATTAATTTATAACTTTTATTATTAAATATTATAATAATTATTTATTATATTTTTATAATTAATATAAATAAATAAATAAATAAATAAATAAATAATAATAATTTAAATAAAATATTTTATTTTTACTATTTTAAATATTTTATTATTTTATAATATATTTTTATAATTATATATTTTAATTATTATTATTCATAAAATTTATAAAATAATTAATTTTTAATTTAATAAAATATATATTATATATATTTTAAATAAATAATAATAAGATTAATAATTTTTACTTATATAATAATTTATTTTTATATTAAATTATTAATATTATTTTATTTTAAAAATAATTATTAAAAATAAAATTTAGTATTTATAAAATTAAACTCTTTTTATAAAATTTATTAATAATTATATAATTAGAAAAATTAAAATATAATTTAAAATAATATTTAAAATAAATAAAGTAATAGAAAAATTTTAATTAATAAGAAGAAAATTAATTATTTTTTTTATATATTATTTATTGAAAAAATTATGTTTATTAATTTATAAATAGTATATATTATATAATTTTTTTAAAAAAAATATTTTTTATTATTTACTTTAAGAATATTATATATTATTTAATATTATAATTAATTATATAAAATAAATAAAAATATATAAAAATAAAGTTCTTTAAATATATATATTAATAAAATATTATTTAACTGAATAATATATTTAGATATTTATTAAATTATAATATATTTATTATATATATATTTTTGTATTAATTATAAATATATATAATAAATAATTATAATTTTTATTTTAATATAAATAAGTAAAATTTATTATTTATATATATATAATTTATAATATATAATTTTTAACTTAAATAAAATTATTTTTAATAATAATAATATAAATTAGATTTATTGTTAATTTATAATAATTTAAATAAAAAAATAATAAAAAATAAAAATAAAAAATAAAAATTATTAAAGTTAAAATTATTAATAATAAAATTAATATTTTATAAAATAATCAAAATAATAAAGAAAGTTTAAAACAATATAATAATAATATTATATTTTATAATATATTATTTTTTAAATATAAAAATTTTAAATTAAAGTATTTTTTTAATTTAATAATTAATTTTTAATAGTTAGTTCAATTTTATAAAATTAATTAAAAAATAATAATATAATAAATAAAAATTTAAATTTTTATAAATTTAATATAAAATATTATTTAAAATCTTATTTAAAAATTAAATATATTATTTAATTTAAATAATATTTAATTTAAATAATATTTAATTTTTTTTATTTACTATCATTTAAACTAGTTGTGAGATTATATTACATATAAATTATTACTATTTTTATATTGAAAATTATATTAATACTAGTTTAAAAATTTAATACTTTATTATATATCTTTTTATAGAAATTTTTATATTGTTTTCTTTATTATTTAAATTAAAATTATTAAATTAAAATTTTTTTATTCTTTAAATTTTATTTTTAAATTAAATTTCTTTATATTTTTAAATTTAAAAATGTATTTAATTTCATATTTATAAACTTATCACAATCGCTGACCACTTATAGATAAGATATAAAAATATTCAAATTGTAAGTGAAGTTATTGGACAGCATTTAAATATAGATAACATGAAAAAACATCATTATTTAAAAAGTTAATAATCTTTAAATATCCATTTCAAAACGGTTAACAGTAAATACGTAATATGTTTGGTTTCAGATTCAGACAAAGATTTTACTTCAAGCTTCATTGTCATTTAGGTTTATTGTTCTTGTACTTTTGGTAACCTTTTGACTATATAAAGTCCTCTGGAACCCCAGATGTTCAGAAATGGGATCATGCATTCCAAGGATAAAAATATATCACAGTATATTCTCTGACACATATAGAAAAGCTTCAGAAGCAACAGCGCAACCATGCAGCTCTCTTTTCTCTATTCAATTGGTGCCTTTCTCAGCGTCGCTGGCGCGGCATGCACGCCCAAACAATCGGTGAGTCTGGATATTTGGGCTTATTCCGCTGATGCTTTTATCCCTTCTTCCTCATGTTCTTCCTGCCTAGCTTTCCCTGCTTCTTTCCAATTTTACCCTTATCCACTAGCGACAAAAATGATGACATGGATATTGATTGATCTTGTGGTGAATTCACCGTGGGCTTCAGAATCAAACAGAACGGTCTCAGCATCCGTAACTTTACCAGCGACATGAAAAGCGACGAGGAGGGCTTCCATCATGTCGGCCACGATGGCATTCTGCGCTCTTTTAATAGAAATGGGAAGGTCATTGACTACTACCGCCTGGACGAGAAACAGCTATTAGCCATTGGAAATGAAATACCCCAACAAATCGACTATCTGGAACATTTGTCCGCAAATGCGAATAGCTCAAAGGTTTATGAGGACGCGATCTGGTCCCCGACGCCAACCATTCCTACACCATCGCTGAAGCACAAGACGAAACGTGGGTTGATTATGAAGAGAGAACCCCCCCCACCAACTCCTAGACCAGACCGGTGCCAAAACTATGGATGTGTAAGTAATCTAGAATGCACGGTGGTAAATTGTCGTTTGTGCATTCATTTTCCCGCAGGCAGCGAACTTGGTATTTGTGCTCCCTAGACGGCCGATCTGGGCATCCTATACCCACAAGTCCAGACATTTTGGGGTTTGGTGGGGGGAGGGGGGAGGGGGGAGGGGGAGAAAGGGGAAAGGGTTGTGTTGGAAGATTGATATTTGTTTGTTGTCATGGACATTGTTGCTGCTTCAAAATAGCGTTTCCTCTGCACCTACGTTCAGCGATACTCTGCTTTGGCTATTCAACCTCTGCATGTTTCCTCTTTAGTGATGGAAGCTCCGTGAGGCTTTTTTACCTTGAGCTTGAAGGATCAGTCTCTTATATTGCAGAAGTCGCTTTGTGGACTCTCAACTCTTCGACTCCCGACTCGCGACTCTGTTCCATAGATATCTATCAATGTAGTTAAAGGTCCCACAAATTTCAGTTTATCGATCTATATAATTCATGTGACTAAACTAGTCCATATCAGGAAGGGATCTTGGTGTTAAACCACGGAATCTTCGGTTGGGGGCGTAACGTGACAGAGCGATGCAAGATTAACTAATTACGTAAACTAGTTTAACTAGTTACCAGTGTATGATGAATGAATATCGCGTACGTATCTTATTTAGGCATCCGGGGGGCCGGGGGGCGGGGCGGTGGCTAGCCTATCTTGGTCCCCAAGAGCAAACCCTCACCCTATTGAAACCATCCAGAACTCCGGGTTTCTTAACAAGACGGACAGCAAATCTGGATTTAACCACAGCCAACCGGCCAAGACCGTAGTCGCCCCAAAAGATGCAAAGACAAGGGAGATTAAACTCTCATCCCACGCCTCCACCAAGAAACCCTAATATCACGTGATGTAGCTATTCTCATCCTTGATAGTTGTTGGTCGAGGCTAGCTAACTATATAGGGTTCATCACGGGCAAAACCAGTGCCAACAATAGTTTCAGGTCTATTTCTGTTAGGGATCAAGGTTGACCCATATGATTGCACTCGTCCTGTTGTTCCGTATCATAGACTCCGGAGTACCGGCGACCCTTTTTTACCAGCGCAGTTTGTAGTTCTTACAATTTCATCCTTGAAATAGCCCTAATTAGGCTTAGCGCTTTAAGTTCCGGGTTGTTTAGGTCCCAACAAGCCGTGGCTTACATAACACTGGCCGATTCTGTGATCGGGTTGAAGGCTTCAACTTCACTCAACTCCATTCAGCCCATTATTTCCAGAAACCAGAAGAAATGAAGAGGTAGAAGGACATAGAGACTCCATTATCCCTTATTTGCTTGGTGAGTGCATGCAATGTCTTGTTGCCGCATGCAAATTATAGCTAGGTAGCTCGGCTGGATGGGGCTACGGCTAACCTTCGGACCTCGAACCCAGGTTCAACCCTCAGTTTCTGTACCGGAAAATCACTTGAACACAACATCTGATCTTGCTTTGCTCTGTTCTGCGCCCTCTTGCTTCCCAGGCCCGCTAATATCATCAACCTGGTACTACATTCCCCTTAATCTACTCCTGATACAGACCTTCGGATCCTCGGTATGCATTGTTACCCAATCTTCCACTCTCCTCTCCATATTTACCCCAGAGCTCCACCCCATTGGCCATATCCTCCCGATATCAGCTAATCCACAAACCGTAAAATAGTAAGATGGAAAAGGCAATAATAATAACTGACTAATTGTTTTTGATATCGTCAGCTCCTTCCTCTCTTTCTCCCGACGAAGACGTCCCCTATTCCCTTGGTCAGGGCCCCTTTCAGCGACCCCAGCGTCTCATTGAGCGTTCTCTGCAACCATGGCCACTACCCAAGTCCCCCCCGCGGTGGGCTCATCGAAACCACTCGAGAAAAAACCGGTCAAGTTTAGCAATCTGCTGCGTGAGTGACTTCCCTTGACATAATAGGAAAATTGAAAGATAGTCGCAATGCGAGTGGAGGAAATGTGGTTTTTCTAACTTTTTCATGCATCTATATAGTTGGCGCGGGTTTGAATATGTTTGAGTAAGTTCTCCTCAGATTGCACCGTGGCAGTTTTTCTTGTTGCTAATGAACTTTTAGGGTCACGACGCTGGGACAGGTAATTTCCTCCGATGTATCTTAATGCTCTACGAAGCAGAAACCCAGTTCTAACTTATTCCAGCCGCTGGAAGTGATCAAGACGACCATGGCCGCTAACAGAAACGATTCGTTCGCTGGCGCCATGCGTCGGATTTGGGGTCGTGGCGGAGTACTTGGGTGTTAGTAGTCTCTCGACTGTGCTTCTTCTATTATTAAACCCCTTTCCACAATTCACGAGCTCGACTAACTCCATATAAACAGACTACCAAGGTCTCATTCCCTGGGCCTGGATTGAGGCGTCTACTAAAGGTGCTGTGCTCCTCTTCGTCGCGTCGGAAGCGGAATACTACGCCAAAACCTTCGGTTCCAACGACTTCGTCGCTGGCATTAGTGGAGGTATGGCTGGTGGCATCGCCCAGGCCTATGCAACCATGGGTTTCTGCACGTGCATGAAAACCGTCGAAATCACCAAGCATAAGCTGGCTGCCTCGGGCATGAAACCGCCCGGCACCTTCGCGACGTTTATGGACATTTATCGCAAAGAGGGAATTCGAGGGATTAATAAGGGTGTTAATGCCGTTGCGATTCGGCAGACGACGAATTGGGGGTCTCGGTTTGGACTGTCTCGATTGGCGGAGACGGCCATTCGTCGTGTTACGGGTAAGGAGGAGAGTGAGAAGCTTAGTGGGGCGGAGAAGGTGCTTGCTTCGGGTCTTGGTGGTGGGTTGTCGGCGTGGAATCAGCCGATCGAGGTTATCCGGGTTGAGATGCAGAGTAAGACTGTTGATCCGAACAGGCCTAAGAATTTGACGGTGGGCAAGACGTTGAAGTATATCTATGAAACCAATGGGCTGAAGGGTTTGTATCGTGGCGTTACTCCCCGTATTGGCCTGGGGATCTGGCAGACCATTTGCATGGTTGCGTTGGGTGATATGTATGTTTTAACCCCCTTTGTCACTTCTACCTTCCTCTTGTTTGTCCACTTCTCTGGGGATATATGTGCTAACCGTCATTTCTTCCACCCAGGGCTAAGGAAACTGTCGAGAAATTGACGGGCGACAAGATCACCGCCAAACACTAGGCACTTCATGGAAATCATGACTGCCATTAAGAGTTGAGAGAAGGGGTTAGAAAGACAAAAGTAGTTTTTAGGCGACTCCATCTTGCATTCTTATCTTAAGATTTGTCAGACATTTCGTATTGGAACGTTTGGACATAGACTAATCTGCTCGCTTCTACGGTTACCCGTACGCATAGTCTTTTCCATTTGCCCGTCCTTTGGGCGCTGCGGCGAATACCCCTAGGACTTATCTTGTTCTGTAATACGCAATTTGGTGCGTGCCTGCATGACGCTTGAGTTATATATAGTTCCTTTTTCATCCTAAAGATAGAAACGGATTATTATTTTAATAGTTGAATCCGACATTCATTGACAATTGTAACCATGGAAGCCTCCCTTTAGTATGCCCTTTCAAAATGCTCTTCTGCTGAATGCTTGTTTTCAACATACGAGCATAGGGTGGGTGTGGAGTTTTCAAGTCACGCGCCGACCTTTTAGTAGTTGAGTGTGGCCACCAACGAATCCGGGCTTCCGTAAGTCGTTTCTTTGGTTAGTCTGCTTTTACAATTCTGCTGTATACTCCTGTCATTCGTACTTGGACCCATTCAACTGGTTGGTTGCCATGTTGAAGTTCAATCAGAACTCTTTGACGGTGTATTGTCAAATTTGTTCCCCTAGTCCTTGGAATCTTTGCTGTTTCAGACCTCCGTGATAGTTAGTTACATTCTGCGGGGTGGCCCCACCCTCTGTTGATATTTTACTGGAAAGAAGAAAACTCATACACATCATCATTTCACTGTCACAAAACATCAATATTCCAGCAAGATCCGCTCTATGATTTAATCATTTTCTGAAAAAAAGTGCTTGTCGATTATATCCCCTTTTCCGCCAACTGTATTTTAATGTCATCAAATGACCCCATTTTCTCATTCTCTCCTCTTTTATTTTGATCCCCGACCCTCCCTTTTTTAGACCCAGTTAATGCCCGGTGGATGTGCTGCTTCTCAACACCTTTGATATAGTCATTTCTCCCAATCCGGTTGTGTAATGGGCGTATTAGATTGCTTTCCTTTTGAAATGACAGGCTTCTGGGGGTGGAGCTTTTCAAGTTCATCACAGCGTGTGAATGCCATGGTGGTGGCGTGAGGTAGGTTTATCACGATGTATTCGATCATGCATCATTGATATCTTATTTGCGACGCCATGCGAGCCTGGTATTTTAGGCGTTCCATTTGTTAGGGTCCATCACCATCGTTTTCAGGTTAGGGTTCATGGTCCCAGAGCGCCTTGGGATGGAACCTCCCTGTTCCCGCTGACATCGCCAAAACGAACCTGTAGCCTTAAGGGTGAAAGGGACGCCTGCGAACCAAACTATTGTAAATTGAAGGATGGCTCGATTTTTTTTTTTTTTTTTTTTTTTTTGATTTTAAGTGGAAAAAATGGTATGGATATCAGGTAAAATGAAATAAAGATTGTGAGGAATCGAGTCTCATAAAAATCGACGCGCTTTGAATAAAACTTCTTCCGAGGTTGAAGGATGCTGAAAAAGATCTTTACTTCCAAATGAAGAAAAATTTCATGGAGTAAGTTATATAGGGTTAACTCCTCTTTCGCCATTTCATCGTGCCAAGAGTCTCGCGAAGCAGCGGATGGAGATTTTCCACCGACTTCGCAGCCGCCCCTAAGTAGGAGACATTGCAAGGATTGCATTTGCGAGGAAATGGCCTTTGTTGTGCTGGTATAAAAAAAAAAAACCGACGCATGGTCAATGAACCACAGATCGCAGCGTATTTGATCGAACGAGAAACAAGCAAATGACATGTTTCATCAAACTGCATGTACTATAACCTGCTTGTCTGATACAATACACGTTTTTTTATTTCTCTCCACGACATGGCATCCTTATGTTGAATTTAAAGTATGTACAGTGTAACTTACTCTTGCGTTCTCCGAACCCTGAAATACAACGTTGGTTAATGACTTAAGAAAGGCAAAAGAGTCCATGTCTATCTTTTTAGCATGTGTTTATTTTCTCCCTCATATTCCCACACTTTTCCCACAAGCTACCATAGATGACGTATGTACCTTTAATCTAACAGGGGGTTTGGTTGTCTGCAATACAATTACAAAAGAATTCTGGGAGGGAGATGTGAAGTTGGAATTTTACAAACAAGGAAAAGGAATGCAGATAACAAAAGAAAAGAAAAATGTAATTGAGGCTAGGAGGCTCATCCAAAATTTTGCCTCATGCCTTCTAATTTTATATTTTCCTATATTAGCAATGAGACCATTGGAGTTTCAAGAATTGTTGAAGAGGGAAGAAAGGGGGTGTGGTTAGATTTGCGGTTCTCTAATATAACAGGGAGGAATAGTGTCAACGGTAACGCCAATGGCACCGTATTTAAACGGTCAAGCCGATTTCTGCGGCGAAGGGGAGGGCGTGCAGATCGCCAACAGCGGAGACGGACGCCTTGCCGGAAAGGAGGGATTTGGCGGCCTGTTTGGCGTGTATCAGCACGATATCTAAAATAGAACAGAAACTGGAAATATGGCATTTGGGTTGGGGGTTATTACGTACCGCCTTAACCTGTTGTTCAGTGACTTTCTCGATACCCTGGCCAATATCAGAAATCTGGAGTGGCTTGCCACCATGGACTAGTCTGGATCCGGTGAACTCAAGGAAGGATGTGGCATGATCTGCAGCCTCCAATGAGCGAAATTTGGCGAGGGCAGAAGCCTTCTTGATATCCTCACTGCTGACATTGCCTGCCGCAACCTTCTCAATCGTCTCGACAATGCTCTTGCTGGCAGCCGCAACACTCTGCGCCTTGCCCGAGACGGTGATATGGAGAAGGCCGGCATCAGAGTAAGTGGCATTGTTGGTTGACACTGTTACGTCAGAGAATGCCTCAGTGGCCTTGGCAAGGAGAGAGGTTCCACGAGACCATTTGATGGTGGACTGGCCTCCGAGGAGGGCAGCAAGGATCGCAAATTCTGGTTTGTAGTTGGCGCTGCCGATGGTACTGGAACCGGAGAAGGCGATTGCGATGGCATTGCCAACCTGGCTTGCAATTCTTTCCTCGCCTCCAAAGTACTTGGATGGCTCACTAGCCTTCGGGCTGAATGGTCCGGAGCTTGAGGTAGTAGGAATATCACGGCAGAGTTGGCCAACCCACTTGGACAAAGCTGTAGTACTGGGGCCGCTTGAGACGATTGCAATGGATGGTTTCGAGTATGCTCCCTGAGCGAACGCTGCGATTCCTTCTGTTTCAACATACTTTCTGAAAGGTGATGAGGCACAAGGGATCAAATTCTCTCCAAGACCGCGGTGGAAAGCAACGTTGTGTGTGGAATCCAGCGCCTGGGCAGTTGGGTTTGCTACAAGGCCCTTCTGGGAGTACTTAACGAGATCCAAGACAAGCTCATCAAGTTCATGTTCTGATAAGAAGAAAATTTATAGTCAGAATATATAGTTTGGCAAACGGACTTTCGGGTCCTGTTTTGCTGAGGAGCATTACTGACGGGAGTATTTGGTTCCTGATATTACCTCCACAAGGAGCTCTGCATAATAAGGGAGGTCACTGTTGAGGAATTTGGCGGTAAGGACGAGGTTTTCTCTCGAGTGAGATGCGGACAACTCCCCACCAAGCAACTCTGACTCGCGGGTGATCCGCAGCGCTGAGCGCTTGATAGTAGACTACCCAATTGCAGAATATCATCAGTCTCCAATCACGTGCATGTGGATGGCCAATTGAGCCCATAAACAAAGCAAATCGTCCACAATTGACTCACTTTAAAAGCAAACTTCTCCAAAAGATCAGAGTAACCCGGGAAGGGCTGGTACCGCGAACCAGCCTTTGCAACGAGGGATAGAGTGGTGGTACGTCCAGCAACCTCTCTATTAGCAAATTTCACACCAGCAGCCTCGCCAACCTCATATTCGAAGCCCTTATTAGCGGCCGCTGCCATTCCGCGGCGGGTGCTTGGCTGGGCAATACATTGTTTTCGGAGACACCGTGGCGCATTCCGGCCGAAAGCAGACCGGAAAAGCATGATCGCACGTACTAGAGGAGTAGTCAATTGAAAGCAATTAGAGGTGGAGGCAAGGATGCAACGGCGTCTCAGGGTGGTTCTGCAGCCGTCGTAGAGATCTCGACGTATATCAAGATGTCACCGTACGTCGATTTCGGGGAAAATGTAGAATTGGCGTTCCGAAGCCCTTCCCGAAACGGAACTTGGGCGAGTCCGCATTTCTGGGCGGTGTGATTGGCAGGATTGACGAATGCTTGGCATCCCGGCTGCCGTGTTTGTCCGGGATCATGTGACACTGGTGTTGTCGCGAACAGATGAGTCAGCAGCCCAACGGGCAATAAGCAGATATTTTTCAAGGCGGGCCAGCTGATGATGAACAAGTGTAAGAGAGGAGACACCCATATTCAGATTGTCTACTGCACAACACAGCAAGAGTAAGCAGGGACTATTTGATACACGCTAAGGTATCTCATATTGTCTCTTGTCTACACACTCATGAATGCCCAACGGTGACATTGGGGTTCTCTTCTAGAGGAGCCCGCTCTTTCTCTCTAGAAGAATAACGGAGGAACATCATGTCTCAAGTGAGCTCTTATCCCACTATTTCAAATCCCATTGGTGTGCCTTGCTTTGCTGATATATGCTTGTATGCTGATGTGAGGGTCCTAGTATGCGGCAGAGCTATGCAAACTGCTAATCACAGACAATTTCGGGGAGCTCTATTCTGTAAGGCTTTCTCTACTCACCAACATAAGGCGGAACTCTGACCTTTTGGTTTCTTTTAATAATCTAGTTAATATTTTCCTACCTGCTCTACCACGGCCGCCAACCTTTGTACAGAATAGTCCAGCATACTCATCTATCCCCTCTCCAAGTTAGACATGGTCTGGCTGTTCTAATCCAACAGCATCTAATATATCATTGTACTTCCCTGGATGACGGTATTACATACTATGAAGCTAGCTGGAGGACTGCATACAATCTCGTACGGTCGGGAAAGGTCATACAATTGGTCGAAGAAAGACTGGGGGAGTATGCTGCCAAAGTGATGTCCATCATCATCTATCATGGTCATGTGAAGATTAGCTATTTAGAGACGCTACCAGAGCTACAACCTCAAGCTCAGCGGAAAGAAGAAGATGATACAGGCGGAAATGGACCCAATGAAACACATGAGGGCGAAGATGACGCTGTAAATCCAGAGGGAGTAGAGCTGAAAATAGAAGATGGCGAACAAGTTGAGGTAGGAGGGCCGGAGAACGGCATTAATGGCAATCACGACGAGCATGAACTCTCTCAACTTCACCCCACTTTGCGATCGCTTGCTACCTATGGATATATTATGAAGGTACGGGACGCCCATTTCCAAAGTCCGTCAGATCTTGTCGAGGATGCCGAAAGGGCCATTGGCGCACGGTCGGATGTACGTGGTTTGAAGGGGAAAAGGCTCCAGGAAGCGATTGAGACCGGAGTGGAGGTATACATTCAAGAGAAAACAGATGGAACGATATCTCAAGGGTCAGTTAAAGGGGGTTTACCCAGGGGCACTAAACGACGCGCCGGAAGGTCGACAACACACTCTTCAAACAAAAGAGTGAAGAGTGAACATACGGCAGAAGATGAGGCCGATGGGCGCTATGATGACATCAGCGATGACGACTACGTGGATGACAATGCTACACCGATGGATGTGAGTGATCTTTTTCCAGTGACATGTGCTATGCCATGTGGTGCTGACTTACTATAGTGTAATATGATTGTTCGTGTCAATTTTCAGAAATTCGAGGTCGCATTACGAAACAGACGTTTTGTTAGATTGGCTGCACATCATACCTCCGCGGTGACCTCTCAAGTCTACGAAGCGCTACTTGATCGCATTGAGCTTAAAACTCCTGTATGCCGAAAGCAGCTAGAGCGTGCTTCGGAGGGGGAGGAAGGCGAGCAATATTCCGTCGCTATCCCGCTACATACCATCCTAGATGACCTTGACCCCGGCCTGGAGCTCTCGGGTTCCATGGCTAAAACAGATCCAAAGAGCCCACTTTCAAATAGACACATAGGCCTCAATGGAGACTACGACGATGACGACGGGGGAGGTTCCCGAAAGAGTAACAAAAACCGAATATATGAACTCGAGCAACACCTGTCTCTCCTGGCCCAGGAACCACATATTTTCTCCACACGCAGTATGCAATCGGGCATGATAACCTGGGCTGTCGAATTCAGACATCTCGCCTGCCGACTCCGCCATCTAGAACTCGAGCGCATTATCGAATCGCGCTTCGGCACCATTGCAGTGCGTGTCGTCCGCGTACTCGCTGCAAAGGGAAAACTGGATGAGAAACGCCTTCAGGAAATCAGCCTGATGGCGTCTAAGGAACTACGCCAGGTGCTTGCGCGTATGGAAGCGGCTGGCTTCGTTGACCTGCAGGAAGTACCGCGCGACACACAGCGCCAGCCGTCTCGGACTATGTATCTTTGGTTCTTCGATCCGGACCGCGTGGGCACTATGGTCCTCGAGGATACGTATAAGTCCATGTCGCGCTGCCTGCAGCGCATGGCTGTTGAGAGGAATAAGTTGAAGTTCTTTTTGGAAAAAACAGAGCGCACAGATGTTAAGGGGAATGAAGAGAAGTATTTGTCTGCTGCGGAGCTCAAGATGTTGAAGGAGTGGCGCGATAAGGAGGCTCTGCTACTTGGGGAGGTTGGGAGGTTAGATGACATAGTTGCTGTTTTGAGAGATTATTGAATTCGCTCTTTTCTTTCTTTTTCGATTTTTCGATTTTTCGTTTGGTGAGCCCCTTTCAAATTTCTCGTCACATTTTAGACATTACAACTCCCATCTTCCACAATCTGTTTATGATTTTTATTTTGTTTGCCTTGGGACACAAACGACAGAGTAATGCTGCGGTTGGCCAATGAATATCTAAATTTTTCTGCATTCATCTGCAGACATCCACACCATCCACACGGCCGATTTCCTGCTTTCACAAGCTACCCAACCTTGGGAAGTTCGAGCTTCCATGCTTATTGACACTCTGATGCTAATTGGAGTAACCTATGATCAGATACTTGTTTTGCAGATGATTGACCTGCAAAAATGATGTTGAGTTGGGATTCCTTCGTGAATGACTTACAAGTCTATATGACAGCGATTAGGTTAAGTTTAAACCTCCCGTGAATTCCACAAGACTAATTGCAACATCTCCCCGTCCCATAACCCTACCTGACTATAGAATTGGGAGAAGGAGAAGACGCTCACTAGCCATCTTTCAAGACTTGTCTAATGGAAACAGCTCCTTTCAGATGTCTGAGCCCCCACACTCTTACAGCTTTCCTAGTGTCAAGGCTTCGTTAATATCACCAATCAAATACATTATTGTGTGTGTGTGGGGTGTCGGGACGCCAAATCTGGATTTGGAAATCGAATATGGATGGATGTTTTCGCATGAGTGTCCTCTAGTTGACAATGTCATGGCCAGAGTGTAACTATTATATATAAGCAGTGCCTCACTGCAACCTTGGAACTCCTAGGTCAAGCCAACTGAGAGCGATGTCAGTTTATCTGTCCAGCTTTAGTTTAGAACTCTTCCTCCACGGGGCGACCGCCTAAACTGCACATCCTAATAGAACCCACATTCCTAGGTCTTTACTCGTTTGAGCATTTATGCTTCTGGGTGGGCTTCCTCGCGACATCTTGGTTTGGAGCGATTAACCTTGCAGCGATGACAGCTGGGCAATGCTGGCTAAATTGAATGGTCGGAAGAAAAATAATCCCATATGGGTCTCAACGTCTTTGGTAATAACAGCCAGGTGATTTTTCATTCCTATTCTGTTGTCCATGTCTTGTCTCAATTAGAGAACCTCGTTTGGCCCCAGAGATGATTTCCTTTGGGGAAACATGACGGATGGTTCCTCGCCGCCCTTGGCACCATCCCCCAATATATAAACAGCTGGATTTCCGCTTTGCCTCATGAATTTACAGCTGTCACGGTAATGCTTGATCAATAATCGCAACTGGACACACAATGTCGTTCTCGCCTCCCCCCACAAAGGCGTCTATGGCCTCTCATCAGCGACTGTCACAGCCATGAAAATGCTCTCCAGCCTTCCTGGCGTCAAACTTGGCCTGATGGTTGGTATCGGCGGCGTCATTCCGAGTCAAAAAAATGACATTCGGCTCGGGGATATTGTTGTTGGGACCCTCAATAGCGAAAACCATAGTGTTAGGCAATACGATTTCTTATAAGCATGTACAGGACCAGGAGAACTTTGACAACTGTAACGAAGGAAATGAGGAGATACTTCTAGAACGGCCCGACGAAGAGCCATGCATTCACTACGGCGGCATTGTTTCTGGGAACTCTGTAATAAGAAATACAGTAATGCGCGATTTGCTGGCGCAGAGCTGTCTTTGCTTTGAAATGAAAACTGCTGGGTTGATGAATTATTCTCCTTGTCTTGTCATCTGGGGAATCTGGGACTTGTGCGATATGCACAAAAATGACCGTTAGCAAAAATATGCTGCCGCCGCAGCGGCGGCATATGCCAAAGGGCTACTGGGTATTATAGATGCGGGCATTAGTGAGGTTAAGAAGGAGAAGAGGGCGCGCGAGATATTAGATTACCATGAGCAAATAATTCTTTCTTCTTGCTTGAAGTTTCAGATTTTATTGTTCAGTTCTGTCTCGGGCGCTATATCACAAACCGGATGTCATTAGGGATAATACATCTACCTACATGTCGGGTATTTTCATAGAGTTGTTTTAACCAAATATTAGTTGTCAGTAGAGCTATTTTTCTTTTACTAATTCAGAATGGCGCTGGCAACCAAAACAAACGTATTTGAAATACATACCAAAACCTTGGTCAAGGATAGAATGCATGAGAAGCTCCTCAAATGGCTGTTTCCCCTCAACTCATCCTGGCGCCCTGAGTGCCAAAAGAAGCGGGTTGACGGTACCAGTATGTAACTAGTTACTTGAAGATCTTAAATATCTCGACCGGTCGTCCGAGACAGCGACCTGCCGAACACTATCTACTATGGAGATCCAGGAGCAGGGAAACGATTCTCTCGTAGGTAAAAAGCCGACATTTTCTCTCAGTAAACAGGCTATAACTACAAATTGACTCACCCGAATAGATCTTTTGTCATCAATCGGCTGCCGGGAACAACCTGCCTTGACAACAGGCGTTCCGTACTTATACTGCGATTACAGGGAATAAAAGACGTAGACGCCGGAAAACATCCTTGGTGCTCTGCTGAAATAGTTGCTTTAATGTCTTCCTGAAGTACCCGAAGATGTTTTGACAGAATGGCAAGCTTGATCGATTGCAAAGGTTGCTAACTACGGGAACAACTAACTTATGGTAGGATATAGATCTAGGAAAACTGGAATGAGAAGCTCACCATGGGAACGTTCAGCCAGACTTCTCGTAACTAGCGCTCATTTTACAGCGATATATATTTGTCTAGATGCGATTGATGAACTGAAAGACATGCGAAGGCTTTTTGGAATGCTTGCTAAAAAAAGCTCTCCCATGCCCTTGAGACAGTCCGCATTTATTTTGGAGAGGCACCTACCATTCCACTTGCCGCCCGTGAGAGTGACATTCGGCTGTTTATAGAACATGAAATTGGCGGGCCTAATGATTATGAGTCTGATGCTATGGATGAAAAAACTCAAATGCAATATCTTTAAGAGTTATTGACTCTGCTGAGGGAATACGGGTTCATATTTACGTCCATTGGCCGTCATTACATTTCATTGCTAATATCGAATTAGATTTCTATTGCCTGCTTTAAAAATGCGGACAATCCTACAGGAACAAACTGTCCTCGATCGTGAAGAAGCACTGAAACCGTTGCCATCAAACCTTGATGACGCATTTGCAGGAACAATGGAAAGGATTGAGAGGCAAACAGATTCACAGTTTAAACTGGAAGCAGAGGCAATTGACTGAGTCCATTTGGAAGGGTGAACTCTCACATTAGTGAACTCTTGTGCAGACACTTGATTAGGCACAGACAAAATCGTTCAACGCGGGTGGCTTTTTCGAAAAATCACACTGCTGAATTGCTGTCATGGCTTGATTGTAGTTGACCAGGAGACATCTATTGCCTGCTTGGTCCATTTCTCCTTGAAAGAGTATCTCCAACCATTAGGCCCTCTACTTGGGCAACCTAAACAGCATTGGGCAGCCACATAGTCCGTACCTGATTTTGTTTTCTACAGTTCAAGTCTGTGACGACTGCGGAAGCACCAGAGATGTACAGTGTGGTTTGAGAGAAAACGAAGGATAATAAAATTCTAACTGGTCTTTCACTATTGGACTATGCCTCCACCAAATGGGGGCCACCACGTTCGAAGGAGCGAAGATTTGCTAGACGCGCCTTGGAGCTTGCTAAATCTTATTTGTATTTGAATGGTGGTCGCTTGCAGCATGATTCTTTGAGCATGCGTCTTCTGTGCAGAGCGATGTGCGAACTTTGGCACAACAAGAGTCTATGTGATAGCTTATCGCCTTTACATATTATGACCTTCCTTGGGATTTCACAACTTATGTTCTAACCTATTTTGGCCGTTCATGACATCGATTCCAGCGACTCTGGTCATCAGACGCCGCTACCATGGGCAGCCGCAAGGGGACATGACATCGTTGTAAAGATGCTGATCGAGAGGGGTGCTTCAGTGAACTCAAGAAATTGGAAAGGGCAAACAACATTATTACTGGCAGAACGGAACGGACATGTGGGAGTAGCAAATTTTCTCTGATTGCGAAGGGAGCCGTTGTGGATTCAAATAGCAAAATGGTTACAACACCACTTAGGATCGCCTGACTATCAGGCCATGAGCCTGTGGTGCGGCTGTTTCTAGAGAAGGGTGCTCTGTCCAACGGGGAGAACTGGTTTTCGCTCTAGACAGCTGTCTCGGAGGGGGCATCAGGGATACTGAGGCACTTCGTTGAAAGAGGTGTACCATTGGATTGGGTGAACGAAAGAGGCTATCCGTTGCTACAATTCGCTGCGAACGGCGGACATGAGGGCATTGTCAGGCTCTCAATAGAATGTTCTTGCAGTGGACCCAGAGAATGGGAATAATCGGACACCATTTTCATGGGCTGCGATGTCTGGGTGCTTTCCGCTGTGAAGCTACTGCTGAGAATGGAGCTGAGGTGGACTCAAGAGATGTGGTCGGAAGAACACCACTGAAGTTGTGAAGTTACTGATTGATAAGGGTACTTCAGTGAAAGCAGTGGATTTGTGTGGCCGAACACCACTATCGCACGCTGAAGAGGAGGGACATACGGCGGTTGCAGACCTGTTGGTCAAGAACGGAGGTATTCGTGCAAATCTGAAAATGGAAATGGTCGAACACTACTAGCATATGAGCACAAGGGGTTGGTGCGTTTGTTAATCGAGAAAAGGAGTTTTGCATTGAAGAACCAGGATAGAAGCACTGGTCGAATGACATTATTATTTGCTGAAGAGATGGGACAGAATGAAGTGAGTTGGTTGGAAACTGCTATGAGTTGATTCATTTAACTCGGTCAATCCCCCTTCGAATAGTGTATTCTCTGTGAGGTTATAGTTAGATAGTTTCTTGCTATTGCTTCAACAGAATGGCTATGCTATTAAAGCAATAATCAATGTCGGACTCCTTGCATTAGAAATTCCAGGTGACAAGTCATCAGAGAATTCAGCACTCAATCGCGATGATGATATTGAATTTTTTCAATAGAAATAAGTCAGGGAAACATGGCATCCAGGAACTGGGACTGGACATTCTCCATAGCTTTCTCAAAGGAAAGCGAAACTTCGCAACGAAATGAGATTTGGGGCTCGCAGTTGTCGAAACGACAAAATCTTCCTTTTTCAAGGCCGTCAAGTTTGGAAATGCAGCCTCATCAGCCAGGCGATATCCAAATTTCATGGCATGCTCACTTTCTAGAGGCTTGTTGATAATTGACTGAACAACGCAATATCAGTTCTAACTGTGATTAAATGCTCACAGTTCCAATATTTATGACACAACTTACATTTAGCTGGCATAGAAGCGCAATATTAGGGGAACAGGTTGATAAGCGAAAACTCCTTAAGACAGCTGGGAATGCATAACTACTGGTCATGATTAGTTAGCAGGAGCTAGTTAAACAATCATACAAAGTGACTCTATGATAAGAAACTAACGAGGGAATCGAAGGAATACGGAGTGCATCAGATCGATACAAATACCTAGCTAGCTAAGTAGTTATAGCTACGCGTGTGTATGTCGAAGAGTTGAAAGTTCCATTGGTGTTCAGGGGAATCAAGGATTATGTAATCGCGGTTCAGAAAATTATCTCAACCCCCCTCAACCCTTTCATCTTCCTCCTGAGATCCTCTTTTTCATCCCAGATCAACATGGCAAACCCTACCCATTGTAGCCTTTTGAGGCTCCTCAAAGCTCATTCCATTCTGGCTCCTGCCAGACCCCACAAAGATGTGACCCTTTTCTATGTTAGCCCCAACGGCGGGGTTCTGTCCAGTTAATCCAACCCTGTTTGCTCTGGCGCATAGGCACAGTTACAACTTACTTGCCCATGCGATTTCCCCCCTCAAAGGCTGTCTTCGATCCTTTTTATTCTCAGATATTCAGTAGGAAACTTGAGATTGGGTTTCTTCCTACGTTGTAGAACAAAAAATAAAAACAAAAGTAGATAAAGTAACATCTCCTGTCTCCTAAAACTTCTCAAGGATTTACTCATGATGACTAACAGCACCTTTGCAGATAGATATAATCGCTAGAATGCCGCTTGATACCCTTGCCACGGAGTTACTTCTCCACATATTTCACTCCTGCAATTCTCTTGCCGATGTCTTGAATCTTTCCCTCACCTGCCGCCGTCTCCAAGGTGTATTCTCTTCCTCGCAAAAGCTCGCCATTCTCGCCAACGCAGCTGAGACCGAATATGGACCTCTGGAGGACATAATACAGTTGGTCACTCAGAATGCCAGCCAACCAGCTCATATACGCCGTGAGGCACCGATTTCCATGTCCTTGATCCAACAGATCGTGGACGTTGGCCGCGTTGCCAAGAAATGGGAGGAGATCTATCCTCTTAAGAAGTGGAAAGTGGATTTCGAAAACCGTCGAGTCTTGGATTTTCGAGAGCGTTTTATACTCCGCCGCGCTGTGTACCGTCTGTGGCTGTATTCGAGAGCTTTCCACTGCCAGCTATTTCCGCGAACTAGTCGCACTTTACCCTCCATCGTCCATGAGCGCGCCGAACTCTTGCAAAATTGGTCCACAAGCGAATTAGCTGAAATTGAGGATTTTCGGTTGGTTATGCGCGAGGTTATGCAGAACCAGATCTGCCCTAGCAATGACACAATCCAGCGAAAGTGCCGTAAAAGATACCCAGAAAGGATGCCAGCCTCTACCAATATCCACTTAAGCTCCCCCTCATTACTGATGCCTTCCACTCAGTTCGCTATAGTAGACTCACAATCTAAACATGCGTTTGCTTCTTCCATCGACAATGGCCTTTTCCGCAGCCTTGCACCCCGCAACCATGGGCGAGCCATCGGCGTCATCTCCACAGTGAACAAATATGCCACCAAATTCCGTTCTGATCTCTACCATGAGCCAGGAGCGGAGGGATGGGGTGACCAAATCAGCCACTACTATGTTGTAGAGGATATGATGAAACTGGACCCATCTCAGGTATTATGGTTAAGAGAAAACGCCACTTTCAAGGAGCAGGTAGAAAGCTATGTTCGATGGATAGGTGACTGGTTTGAGAACAATGGCGAGACCTTCGGGCAGACGCTAGAATGGGTAATAAGTGAGCGTGGAGATGACTACATGGCCTTTCATTTTTCAATTGTAGACGGGGAAGCGGGTATCGCCAAGGCGAAGACATGACCGTCATCTTGTCATCATTTCATTTCCTATGTAGATTTTCCTTTTGGTCTGAAACTTTCGGATTACGCTTACCTTTACCTGTTTAGAACTTGTCTTTAAGATGCGGTTTTGGTCTTACACCATTTGGAACAAATGCGTGCCAAACTTACCCACTTCAGTTGTAATTCCATTAGAAACATGATAAATTTAATGTAATGCCGACACTAGCGGTGCTTTGCCTTCCCGGTGCCAGTAATTCACTAGAAAAGTGGTGGTCAGTTTTGTAACCCAAATACTAAACAAACTTTCATGGTAACTAAAAAAAGAATTTGGCTGTTTTTGGTTTAACTTATCATGGAGTTGTTACATATAAGAGAACCATCATCAACCTGAAGAACATATGTACCTTACCCTTGTGTATTGAGGCCACATGGTGAGGAACAAACAGTGGCCCAGTTAAAATGAGTCTCGTTTGTGGTCATGACTTTGGACTTGGGAGGTGGTAGGTTGGGCTTTCAGAACAAAGAGGGAGAACAAATATGGAGTATATGTCGAATTCAAGGAATATTTTTAGATCATAGAATATACTCACGTAAATAGATCATTGCAAGTTATATTGGATTTTTATTAGATACCTCGACATACCCAGCTATGCTACATGTTGGCGACCATCTCATCTACGGAGATATAGTATGAGTTGCACCAATGGAGCAGAAAGAGTTAACCATGGCATGGAGCATGGGTCCTGTGCAGCAAGACCTAAAGGAGGAAGCACATGGGGGAAGTAATAACAGAAGTATAGAAGCATGGAATAAGAATTGGAAAGGAGTGGGCAACCAACAAGGCACAAAAGAAATAGAAGCTTAGTTTATTTGCAAGAAATAATTACCGGTGATGCAAAGGGGGCAAAGAATCTGTAAAGAAAGTGGGTGTAAGAAATAAAATATAAGGGCAAAAATGGGGGTGGTGGAAAAAGGTTCAAAACAAAACAGGAGATAGAGAAATTTGAGAAGTGGTAGAAAACAATAAAGGTGTCCCGCAGTCCCAGATCGCATAGCCCTGGACATTCAGTTTTCAAACACCCTCTCCCCAGCTTTCTAAACCTTTCCATGTTCGTTGTTTTCATGTCAAGCGTATTACGTTCTTCGCATTATCCTGTCCAAGGCCATCGATTGGAAGAGGGAACAGAAAACAGGAAAGAAATCTGCGCAGGTATGCCACCCAATGGCAACTCACAGATGACATGACACGTAAATTAACGGAACTGATGGTTTCAGTCAATCGATCCAGCAACGGGCAGGCAGACAAAAAGCATAACAAAGTGAAGTCTGGTGACCATACATTGAAGAGAACCAAAGAATATAAGAGATCAATCATTCAACCCCAACAAGACTGACAGGGTGTACTTCTTATCCAGTAGAGAGTACCAAAGCAATAGCTTGGGCACCACATATATCTCGGGCGACTGCATGCTTAACAACATTTTTGCTTTGCATCTGCATCTTGTGTCTTCGATATCTCTATTACCTTGCGATCACCCAGAGGATTCTGCGATGAGCTACCATTTTCAAGAGCTTTGCTGGAAACAATGCGATAAATTTCTAGATGCTATTAGCACAAGGCGCAACAAGAGAGTTGATAATAAAAGATGATAGTATACCTGTGAGAATGTTTTGGAAAGCAAGCTCAACATTGGTGGCGTCGAGAGCAGAAGTCTCGATGAAGGAGAGTTTCATCTCGTCTATATAATGATTAGCGGGTTACGCCTACAATAAAAGATAATCTCAACTCATGGGGGATATCATACCGGCAAACTCTACCGCATCCGAAGTCTTTACATCCCGCATATGTTTTTCATCAATTTTATTTCCGACGAGCATGATGACAATGTTCTTGTCGGCATGTTCACGTAGTTCCTTCAACCACCGCTCACAATTCGCAAACGTTTGCTTTTTGGTGGTATCGTAGACAAGAAGGGCACCCACTGCGCCACGATAATATGCTGATGTAATAGCCCTGTACCGTTCCTGGCCTGCAGTATCCCAGATTTGGGCCTTGATTGTCTTGCCATCTACCTGGATAGAGCGGGTTGCGAACTCAACACCGATGGTAGACTTTGAATCGAGGTTAAACTCATTGCGAGTAAATCGGCTTAGAAGATTCGACTTCCCAACTCCAGAATCACCAATAAGCACCACTATTTACAGATAGACGCTTTATTAATTATATGGACTATTTCATAGGTAGAATGATTTGGGAGGTGTGGATGGTTGAGGGAGCGGTCGAGCCTTCGCAGAACTTGGCCGGGGAGATACCTTTGAAAAGGAACTAGGGATTGCCAAACACGTTAGATGCTCTTCAATATATTTATACAATGACAAAGGATACTTACATCATATTCATCGTTAGCCATGAGGGAGGATGAGGAAGGGGAAGAGCTGGAATCTCAGAGGGAAGGGTGGACGGAAGAGTGTTTGCGTGGTCAATATACACTAGGTATACGTAAACAAGAAAGCAGAGGTTTAGGTTGATGAAAATGGAAAAGGGCGTCCGAGTCAATTGTCGTAGGTATCAAGAGGTGAGATGGACTGCGAAAGACAAGAGTGTCAAGGCAACTAGATGTCCGATATGGATGAACTGTGTGTGTAAGTTGTAAGTTTCGAGAATGGGACAGAGGATAACAAGTGAAAAAAGGCTGCGTGAAGTGGCAGATTTAAGTGGCTGATACCTACCAAACGAGCCACTTCTGTAGTTACTCCTTTGGTATTGAGAGCAATGTACAATTTCTTCCCGATGCCCAGCCAATGGGAATGGCCATTGTAGATTACTCAGCCGTCAATGCCAAGAAACGTTGGGTAGTCTATATATCACGTGCAGATTCACCAACAAAAAGGTTTACCCAAAGAGCCGCATTAATCTTCTATCAAACAACGAAGTCGGGGACATGCGATAGATGGATGGATAGATAGAGATACAGTCACTGGTGATGAGGTTGTTGGTGAGGGAGCCCAATACCAACTTCCCCAAATTCAAGTTTCATTTGTCACAAACCGGCTCATTCTCCACGTCAGGACCCAGCACCAATCATTTCATAGCTTTGTGAACTGTCTTATGTGCCTTATACGCTTCGGCACGGCTCTAACAGAAAATTAGCCATGAATTCAAACGGGGTTACATGCGATGATGATGATGATGATGATGACATATCTCTCATATCTACGGGTGCTAGCGAGCCCCAGGATGAATATGAAGTGGAAACTATTCTTGCCCAGAAAGACTTTTCTACTGGAAAAGCTTACTTGGTAAAGTGGGCTGACTATCCACTGGAGAGAGCAACATGGGAGCCCGAGGACTCCTTCTGCGATCCTAGAACTTTGACAGAATGGAGACAGAAAATATGTTGCGGGGAACATGAGTCTTTCGATGTTGATGCACTGGCGCGGAGAATCAAAGAAATTGAAGAAGCAAAGATTGACAGACACCGGAGACGTCGAGCGAAACGCATTCGTCTAGGTATTCCGGTGTCGCCCTCAACAGTCAGTTCGGGCCCAGATAGCGATCACAGTGGATCCGACCTTGATGGCTTCATCGTTGGCGATAATGTTGATGTAGATGAGGAGGACGAGGATGATGGCTGGAAAGCCTTGCGGAAGAAGAGAAATCGCGTATCCAGCAATACAAAACACACAGGCAGCGAAGCAGTGCCTCCATCCCGGTCCAGGAATTCCCCAGCTAAACCATGTGCAAAGGATCAAACCTCAGAATCTTTACCGCCGCCATCTACTAAAGCACCAAGCAAGAAGAGTAATAGTGATGTGCGCCCCGCGACTAGGCCTGCAGCAGCAAATCACTCTTCTCTGGAATCGCCGGCAGTAAAAAAGCCTAAACCCTCAAATACCCTTCAAAAAGCTTCTTCCCAGAGCAAGACACGAGAGATTTTGAAATTGCAGACGTCAGAATCCACTGACCCTCCGCATTACCCCTTGCCACCTCCCGCTCAAGATAAATCTGAAGTACCCGCCAAGAGCGATGCTAGAAACATAAACTCCCAGCTTCCAAGGCTTTCTATTTCCACCAGACCACTAAGTGAAATTGCTTTCATTCCTGCTAAAATGAAAGAGTCGTCAAAGCTAAAACTGTTTCACAACTTGCCAATTAAAAACAGATACGAGAAGGTCATGCACCGGGATTTAACCCCAAATATCAGGCAACTGGATTTAGGAACGCCAGGTGAATGGACGCCATCGCAAAAGCCCAAAGGCCCCGCTCCAGACTCTCCATTCCAAACCGGCAAGTATCGCAATATGGGCAGCTTGTTCGTCGATCAAGATATCTCTCACCAAGACTCTAACGATTGTCATAGATTACAAAATAGCGCAACCACAGTGGATGGTTTGGTTGAGGGGAAAGCTATGAATCTACCCCATTCAACATACCCTGCCTCTGATCAACCATCTCCAAGATTGTCTCGCGACAGTCTCCCCGATAGTTACACATCTGCTGCGAACATTGACTCTCATGCATTCTCTCCAAATCAAGAGTCCATAAAACCAAGTATTAAGGCCGCAAAGAAGGGTATAAGAGCTAACGGCCGCTTCTTCCATTCAACAGAAGCACTTGTCCGTCTCCGGTTCGGACCAGAGTGTAAGGAGATAGGCGATGTCAGGATAGGCGGTTTGACTAAAACGACAATATGGCAGCTGGTGCTTCTAAAATCAAAACAGAAGATTGACATACACTTTAAAGACGTTTGTAACATCGATGAATACAGACAACTGTGTGACAGGGTAAGCCTTTGTTTTGGCAAGGCCACCTGTCGATTACTTGATACTGACATATTTATTCACAGAGACAAAACCTTATGTTCTGCAGTGGTTGGGTACTTGGCTTCGACGATACTTCCCCTGCTGTTGATGAAATGGCCAACTATTTGAGAGACAATAGATTGGCCGCTTTATGGTATCACCCTGATGAAAATATTTCTTCAGCTATGGTTGCATTTGCATTGGATTCGCCGGAGTGGAGTTTCCTCAACCAAACGTCTAACCATCCATCTGCAAAGCTCCGAATTGCAGTGAGAAGCTCCCTGGCCCCAATGAATAGTATCCAACGTACCCATGCTCTGAAAGCGACCTCTGACGTCAACGAACGTAATACCGGTTATGAGGACAGCCCTATGATCATGGACTCTGATCCGACAAAGGAGATGGGTACAAGAGATATTCTAATTCCACCTTCAATACCTTTGTCGGTCCTAAAAGGCCCCACCGATATTAAGTCAATATTTCGAGAACGCTTTGGCATCACCTATGATGAGCTCAGCATAGTGAATACGTCTCACAAGAAGCGTACTGCCCGCTCCTTCTACCTACACTTTCCGGATGAGGTTGAAGATGAGTTTCAGCTTCTCTTACACTTTCTAAAGCAACACGATATGGTTGTGTTTTCTAACCGAATCGAGGGAGACTGGGAGAAGTTTGTCAAGACTGCAACAACCGGCACTGTTCTGGTGAGACATCACTAGCTTTATAAGTGATACTCCTTTCTGGTTAACTGATAATTGTGTATTACAGTTCCATAAAAAATTCATACATTATGATAGCATGTCTGAGTTTTCCAAACTTCTGCGAAATCCTATTAATGTGTTCAACATCTCTCTTACAGAGCCTATCAGAAACCCTCACGGTAGCAGTCACCTTGAAAGACTCTTTCCACATGGGGGAATCATTCTTATAACTGAAGATTTCATACTGAAGCACCCAAAAATCTTCTTGGATATTCTGCGATGGTTCGGACACTTTATCGAGAAAAAGTTCCCAGGGACATGGAAGATGTTTCTTAGACCCAAAGTGCAGGTTTGGTTGCTTGATCTTTGCAAAAGTTGGCCAGACGACAGGTGAGTCCTTTTAATATATTCAGCTCCTTGATGCATTGGCGGCTAGCTAACGATCTTGCTGTGCGCTTTCTAGAATATGGCAGATATACTATAGGATAAATAGCCTCATTCCAAAATACCCTGAAGGACATTATAACACCTACCGGCGTGAGGGCTCTCCGGACTCGCTAGATGGTCTAACAGATGACGAGGGACAACATCATCCTTTCATATCCACGCGCGAGATCCCGGATTACGGTTCGCGCCGGGAAGATGACCACCCGGGTATTCCCAGGGGATTAGCCCAAGCGGAGAGAGATACAGATCATCTCGTCGAATATTTTGCCGGCCATGCGCTGATCCATGCGGAAAAGTTTCGACGATTTATAGTGCTTACCACACATAAGCCTCAGCCGCGATGGCGAGCATGGACTCACGTATGTAGATATAAATCCTATCAAACTACCTCCTTGCATTCCCCCGGTTGAAACTACGTTTTCACTAACATGAATGAATGGCCGTAACTAACCACTGAAAAACTTCCCCATCATTAGCTCGAGATCATGGAATATCAAGAATTCAGCAAATCTTTTATGTCTTCCCACATGCCCAGCTGTAGCAAAACCAGGAAATCGTCCTCGGACTCACGTTCTGAGCACCATTCCACGTTTGGCTCGGGACAGGGTGGGGACCGCGATGCAGCTAGTAGAAAATACTCGACTCAGTCACAACGGACGGTATTACAGTCGCCGGCATCACCGCATCGAGATCCGCGACGACATAAGTCTCCTGTGGTACCTCCGCCATGAAGAAGGCGATAGAGTGGCGAGGAAGGAAAGGGAAAGGGGGAAGGTGGATTGGATGACTTTTGGGTTGTGGACGATGCGGGAATTTGATGTTCTGTTTTTGCTTTTGGGATTTTTGTGAAGTCATTCATTCATCCCTTTTGCTATGGCGTTGAGTTGGGATTTTCGTGGGAGGAGGGAGATATCTTTTTTTTGTATTGATATCTCGACTTGTGCTCCTCTGGGCTTCAATTTGCTGGTAAAAATATGATACCATCCTGTATGTATGTTCATGTATCCACATATGGACTGTTTGCTGATAATTTTCTACAATCCAATTACATCTACCCTGCACGGCATGTCGAATGATGCGGATGATTTGAAGCATAGTGTTAGATTATTATAACTCAAGAAAATTAACAGAAAGATTCTAAACATGCCCTTTCCATTTAAGTCATTACTAAGTTCATGAGCTACGTGACAATCACCTAATCAATCACCTCCGCTCCACCATCACCTAGATAGATGCCTACGGATGTAACAATGAAAGGGGTGGCTGAAGATATCAAAAGAAAAGAAACTCAAAGAAATTCATATCATCGTCAAAAGCATTGCTCCGGTCCAAAACGAAACAAGACAGGAAACAGATATTAAAGCAGTAGCAAACGGAAAAGACCTCGGTATCCTAGCTCCACAAACTGGAGAGTGAGAACGGGGAGAAGAGGAGACACTTAGTAAACCCGTGAGGAAAGGATAAATCCGTAAGACGCGGAAAGTATGAGAGTTGCGGCATGTGCTGTGCATGGAGGGTGTAAGAATCGATGAACATTCGAAAAGCAGTAGTATCGTGAATGGAGTTCAATTTCAAGGGATAACATCAAGCATCATCACCCAGCCGTAAGCAGAGCCTCGTGAGCAAGGTCTATGATTTCATGACCCAAAAAGCCCTATAACGGAAAGAAATGGAAGTTGCTATCCGCAGCACTTCCATACCAAATATATTTAGTTACGTTGATACATCACGAACCCCCCCCGACAGCTGCATCCGTCCTCGATCGAGATCTCCATTGTTCAAAGCTAATATCTCGATCATTACCCTCCTGACCCTCCTTCTGCTTTCTCATCTTATCCTCCCACTCGCCCTCCTCCGCTGCGATCATGGCATGGAACTTCCCACCCTGGCCTCGAGCAAGATACACTGCCTTCGCCTTTCGGGAAGCAACGGCTTCGGTGACGAGGACAAATTTAACGCTAGATCCTGGTGCTTCGAACATCGCGTCGCCCAGAATCATTTCCATTTCTGTTCGCAGCCCGCGGGCCCCGGTGGCCATGGACATTGCATTGCTGGCTATTTTGTGTAGGGCTGGTGTGGTGAAGCGGAGTTCAATGCCTGAGAGGGAGAAAAGAGTTGTGTACTGGGCCAATAGGGAGTTGCGTGGCTCCGTTAAAATGCGGAGGAGAAGGCGGTGGGTGAGTTGGGAAAGCGCGGTTGTGATGGGGATACGACCCACGAGTTCGGGAATGAATCCATACGTTTGGAGATCAGGGGGCGTCAGAAGATCTAGGGGGTTGAAATAAGTTGGTTCTTCGTCCGCGGAACCGGATGTTGAAGGCATTGGCGCTGGAGTGAAAAATGGGAGATGCTTCTTATATAGGGCTTCCTCCGCAGAGCCCGGAAGAATCGGGATAGGTGGGCTAGAAGCTCCATGCGATGGATTGTGCGAGCTAAACGAACTTGTTAATGCCCGTACTGGCTGGCCAAATCCAATGGAGCCACGAGATATCCTATCCATGATCACTTTGTTCAGGCCTACAAAGGCACCTGAGAAGATAAAAAGGATGTTGTCTGTCCGCACATTGTAGACTTCAGCCTTTCCAGATGACCCTGGTGGGGCTGGTGAAGAGAATGACGACCCTCCAAAGCTACTACTGCCACCCGGGTTGGAGTTCAACGATCCACCAGAACGGGGAGCGTTTCGTTCTGGCTTGGCTTGGATCTGAACGGTTGTGCCTTCAATTATTTTCAGCAAAGCTTGCTGGACGCCTTCCCCGCTCACATCCTTTCCATGGCTGACTTTTGCTGTGGCGATTTTATCGACCTCGTCAAGGCAAATTATGCCTCTTTCCGCTTGGGCTACGTCGTAATTAGCGGCAGCCAGTAACCTATGTACGCATACATCTGCATCCTCTCCAATGTAACCAGCCTGCGTGAGCGGAGTGCAATCAGACATGCTAAATGGCACAGAGAGTACGCGAGCTAAGGTTTTGGCCATCAGGGTCTTGCCTACGCCTGACGGTCCAAGGAGCAGGATATTGGACTTTTCCAGGGTCAATGGAGAAGTGTCGACGGGGAGTGGTTCTGGTCGTGATATGTCATCATTGGCTGCATGTGTATGAATGGTCCGTTGCTGACCTGGGAATTCAGCTAGAAAGAATCAGAAATCAGAATCGTTGGAGCAAGTCCAAAAGTTGTGTATATCATTTGCAACTTGAGGCCAAAATAAAAAAACAAAAAGTGGAGCCATACTCTCTACAGGATGGCTCTCCACCGACTCACGACGTGCTTGCTGGGCCATCAACTCCTCTTCCTCTTCCTCCCTCCGTTGTAGCTCCTGCACTCGCTGATAGTGATTGTAGACAGCGACACTCAGAACTTTCTTCGCCCGATCCTGCCCAACTACGAATTGATCCAGGTGTTGTTTAAGCATTTTCGGGGTCAATCGAGAGGCACCAAAGGAGGGTGCGGAGCCCAATGGGCCGGAGGTGGGGAGACCTGGCTCATAGCTGCCTGTATATGGCTGGTTGGTAAAATCTGAGCGGTGGAACTGGGATGGGAAGGAGCATGAGGAAGAAGTTGAAAAGTGACGATGAATTGAATAGAGTGCTAGATACGATATGCGAACCCGTTGGCGGGCGGAAGATGTTGCCGCCGCTGTAGTTGTCCAGTCGAGGGGTCTAAGCGGGGATCTGAAAGGGCGGAGAAAGCTCATGGAGAGTCGCCTCATTGCTGTTTACCAGCTATCCTAAGAGCAGAAAATGAGGAATCAAAGCAAAGGTACCGTCTTGAAGCAGGTCTTCACGACACCGCAAGGGAAAGCTGATTGATATCAGTCAATGCATGGCGGATGTCGTTGTTCTGCAGGTCACCACTTCCGCCGCGAAAGCGGCGAGGCACGTGCGTAGTTTACGTCAGTGTCACGTGGTTAGCCCCACGATCACGACATGACTGCTCGCCCCACTGCACGTGATACATGCGTATATTAGTTGTCTAAGTCCACTAACTGACTAGTTAACTATTCAGGTAGCCTTCAACAACGCTGCTCGAGCCATTCTACCTGTCTTTGCCACAACGCCTACCCCTGTTCTCCTACGCGAATCAAGCTGGGGCCCAGCCAAAGCCTGGCTAGAAAGAATACATGACCGACTAGCCGTTCGCGTAGCTGCAGCCGACCCGTCACATCCCCTACGCCGAAGATGGTACACCTCACGTTTTAAATGGATTAGACGAAACATTAAAACGACGGCCATCACACCCGGCTCAGGGTCCTTGCCTCCTTGGGACAATCCTGGCATACCAAATAGAGAGCAAAAGGCACTAGAAATTGGGGCTGTGGGACAAGCTGCAGGACCAGCAGCTTTCCAAAACTGGCTTCAGAAAGCTGTATCCCCCCTCAATCTCATCACATATACTGATGGCTCCAAAGACAGCCAAGGAGTTTCAGGCGGAGGCTACTGTCTATACCGAGGAACAAATCAATCTCTGGAGCTTGGTAAGCTGCCTCTGGGCCGCACCGCCGAGGTCTTTGATGCCGAAGTGCTTGCAGCAGTTGCCGGTCTCGAGGCAGCGCTACGGAACCCCTTCTCTATGTTCGCACGGCACATTATAGTGGCTCTAGACAATGAAGAGGCTGCAATAAGACTCCACACAGACACGCCCACACGAACATCTTTTCTCGCCTTTGCTAAGTTCAACGAACTCCGCAGGTCCTGGACAAAACAGGGCCCAGGTCCAGCCGGCCCGAGACGGGTCTATGTTCGATGGTGCCCCGGCCACGCTGGGATTCCAGGCAATGATGCCGCAGATGCTGCGGCCAAGTCAGCCTGCACAATGGAATGCACTCGCCGCACTCTGACCCTGGCGCGGGCCAAATCCTATGCTAAAGAACGCTTCAATGCCTCACTGCAACAATACTGGAGCTCCAATAGCACATCACGATACAAGGACCTCAATATCCCAATGCCAAAAGGACCCTCCCCTGAGCTCACTCTCCCCCGAAGGAACCTAGGCCACCTGCTGGCAGCTAGAACAGGCCACGGTGACTTTGCAGCCTATCATCACAGATGGGCACATGACGACGCACTCCTCACCTGCTCTTGCGGCCGAGATAAGACCCCCGAGCACTTCTTCTTTTGCTGGAAAGGCCGGAACATTGAACGAATTAAAACCCCTGAAGCATGCCGAGGACCAAAGGAAGCAATTGACTGGCTTCTCAGCACAGTAAGAGGAGCTACGACCTTCTCTACCTGGTGCACTAATACCCGCTTCTTCATCGACATCCAACGCCGCTACTAGAACCTGTTCAACATCCGACTTCTCCCTCCCCCTCTCTCTTTCCTATGCTCCTTATATACATTTCTCATCACCCCTACACACCACCCTAGAAGCCCTTGGCTTCCTCAGTCCCGTAATCTTCGGCTACTACGCCATTCAGAACCTCCAGGACGGGGGCTACTCTGTACATAGACTCTCAAGAGGGCTTCAGCCGACTAGACATATCAGGCAGCAGACTAGCTGCTGCGCTGGCACGCCTGATACCCTTAGGGAGGTGCTGTGGCCGCGACGGCAGACTATTCTTAGTCAGCTGATCACGTGCCTCCAGGCGTTAAATAAGTAATAATAATAATAATGACTAGTTAACTAGTTAACTAGCTAGTTAGTTAATTAGTGGACTTAGCCAACAGTTAACCACTCAAGGGCTTTGCTCTATCAACGTCTTGCAGGTAAGGGGCATTGAAACAGATTGATGTTGACTTGGCTATATTGTTGTTGGCTTCGCATGGATGATTCCAATGAGATAAATAATAATAAAAAACACAGTTATATCTTATATATTAACTTATAGAAGCCCTGGTATTAATACATTTATTTGCACTCACGTCCCCAAAATCAACCAGGAAAACGAAATGGGCTGACTGCTTCTTGTTTTACTAAGGCTGCGGTCTTCAACTGCTGTTCCGACCAATGGGGTTTCGCTGGCTTGATTTGAAAACGTATCGTCCTCTTAATTCTAGAAGATCCGTTTCATACATTTCATAAGGTAACATCTGGTGTGGGACGCTAAAACAAGCGGACAGGATGGTGCTGGAAGTGCGGACATACATTTATGCATTTAAAAGGTAACTAACTAGCTGTCATGGCTCAACTAGAGGCATGATGATAACAAGACAAGAGCTCAATTCATCTATTTAACTAGGTAGCTGCGACGAGAATACTAAACTGAGGATTAGAATGTGGGAATGAGATGAGCAGCCAAATATATATAGGCGGTTGAGGATCGGAGCGGATCAACCTAAGCAACCAAATTTGGTTGGGTTCGGAGCGGATCAACCTAAGCAACTGAATATGGTTGAGGTCAGAACGGATCAAACCTTAATCCATTACCAGCGACTGCGCCGTAACATTTTTGACACAGATCAACATCAGAATCAGACCTCTCTTATCTTCAGCTGAAACAAATTCAAGATTATAATATCATGATTCTTCTGAAATAACTTAAAGATCAACTGCATGATACTGCTTTATTTGCAAAGAAAGAAGATATATATATAGAAAAGTGTATGAATGATAATCTTACATAAGTAGTTAGACTAATCTTGATATATATTATTAGATTTTAATAATAAAATTATATAGTTATAATTTCATAATATAATTAACTTTATATTTTATTTTAATTTAAATTATTTATATAATTAAAAAATATAAATTATTTATATAATTAAAAAATATAAAGTAATTATATTTTAAATAAATATTCAATCTCTATACAATGAATTCCTTTATATAAAGAATTATATATAGAATTGAATAAAGGCTTCCAAGATTAAATCTATAGAGGGTTTACTGTAGAGGGTGTGATGTGGCCAACTCATACGTTACATTGTTGCCACTTAACCAAGTAACAGGCCCCACCCCTTGGTTTTAGAACGCAAGAGAGAGAGTGGGCCCTTGGAGTTGCGGGAACACTGTGGGCCAAAGATTTTGATTGGTCTAAACATCAGAGTCTATTAAGGGTTCTTCATAAAGGTTGATTTTAAGTCCTAGCGTCGTAAGATATTCAAGAGGATAGATAACCAGTTGTACCCCATACAATGGCTAATGGAAAATAGACTACATACAGGATATGGGGATCCAGGAGGCTTATCATGGAGGGTAATGTAACGCAGTTAGCTAGCATAGCAAATGCAAAGAGCAAGGCAGAAGTGAGGATACTGTTCATTAATGAGACCTTCGCTCTTTTCTGACATCGCCTCAGAGCAGCGTAAATAGATAAATAGGGGTTCACTCCCCTCACAACCGCCAATTCCCAACTCGTCCCACCATTCCCCGTGCAAACTTGAAAGCACAACATATTGAATCGAGTTCTGCTTGAATCAAGCTGGATAGTTAACTTAACACAGTAAATATTGCTCTGTCTTGGTTAGCTCCTCTGAATGGTGTGCTGATAGATACAATTTGGAGATACCTGAAGGACAATGGCGCCGCTCAGTTCCGACGAGCTGAAAACTGTTGTTTCCGTCCTTGCGCAGAAACTCGATTCCTTAAATATCGACTATGCCATCATGGGGGGCGCTGCGACTTGTCTGCTGAGTGGAGACCCAAATCGAAGGACCGAAGACGTCGACCTCGTGATCCATGTTGACCACCGCAAGATTACCGCAGACAACCTTACAACTCAGCTTCTCAAATCCTTCCCGTCCGACTTTGAAGGAGTCAGCCAATTTGGGCACACCATTCCCGCATACAAACTGCGCCGACCAGGAGGTACCGTTCAGTTGGTGGAACTGGAAGTATTTGACTACCAAAGCTGGCCGCAACGTCCCCAATACGATCTTCAGACTGCTACACGGACGACGTTGAATATCAACGGTCAGAAGGTCAAACTCTTCAGCCCTGAATGGATCCTGCGTGAAAAGATCCTGTCCCAGTATCAGCGCCAAGGTAGTCGCAAAGAAGGAACCGATATTCGTGATATCATTAGTATGATCCCTTTGGCTGTGCCGGGCAAACCAGAGCTCAACTTCAACCAAAGCCAAGAGTTGCAAACTGCATTGGCAAATCTTGTGCAAAAGAGGCCAGATTTGAGTTCAGCTTTGAAGGCCAAGATCAAATGCAGCGCTGTCTTCCACAACTAGCAAGTTTCTCCACCAGTTTTTTCAACCCAGTTATTGATCAAGCGGCAGAATTTTACGAAAGGTAAAAGATTTCAAAACCCTCATTCGGCTGAATTTTGAGTTCATTGGAGAGAAGCCTTGCTATTTGTGGTGGCCAGTGCTGGGAGATGCTGCCGATGTTACTACAACCAGGTAACATTGGTGGGGCGGTGGTTAGTTCTTGTTTGGTCAGACTTTGGAACTGGTGTATGATATGAATTGCTTTGTTGAAACCTTCGGCAAGGAAATCATGTATTTGTAGCTGAATTAAAACACGATCTAATGGGATTTCCCCTCATATCTATTGGCAGCTCTTTGCCTGAACCGAGACGTTTTGAAATGCGCTGGTCCATGGGGCCGAATTTAGTCTCGCGGATTCGACCAAAGTTGACACTATACCATTCCACTGCCTGTTCATCCGCACAATGATCGAGGGCATCATTATCAACCTCCAGGTATCCTGTCATCAGGGACACCCAGGATCTCAATGTCTCGCCCCACGCTGAAAAACCAGCCTCTTTTTCTTCATCAATCGCAGCCTTAACAAAGCTTTCAACCAGTGCCTGCTCAAGTGGGTAGTGTAAATTGCCGTAGATATTGTATTGCTTTGTTGTCTCTGTGTGGGGAGCATCTTCAAGAGAAAGGTGTGCAAAAGAATTTGGAAACAGGTACACCTGCATGCCTTTTTCTCCTACACCACCGGGTGGATAATTAAATATTGCACAGGACTGATCCAAACGTTTGTAGCCGGCATTTATTCCGTCCAGCACCTCTTGGGGGTTTGGAAGGTTCTTAATAATCTCATCAGGAGGAGAGCGTTCTGGAATACTTGGGATGAATCCCGCGTTCTTGAGCTTTTCAATGGCGGCAGTGTGATCATTATCTTGCACCACAATCATGGCGGTCTAGGTGGATGATAACCGGTTAGCAATAATTGGGAAGAGTTGAGTTTGTGCTTTTACTTCACAAGGTACACATTCTTACCCCAAGGCCTATAGGTACACCCAGATACCACATTGCAAGCGTTCCCCAAGAAATAACAGGTAGCGGTTGAAGTATTGTACTGAGTCTCAATGAGAACCTCTCGGGCTCAGTCTGTCTCGGACGCCTGAACATAGCTGTGCGGGGAAATCCAAGTCTGTCTGATTTGTCTCAGAGGGATCGATGTTTCCCGCACGACAAAAAGAGATATGACAATCAAGGGTAAGGAGGTAAGGAGGTAAGGAGGATGATTAACTGTAAGAGATTCGCGATGCAGGCTTATATAGCAAGTTAAAAACGGGGTGATTGTTGATAGGAGGTGATTAGGAGGTGATGTCACTGGAACAGTAGAACTGTTTTTGTCACGTGATACTAACGAGCGGGAATCTCTCCTTTGGATTAGAGGCTTAGCTAACTATCTATACACTAATCACGTGCGGTAGGGAGGCTGCCCGCGGCAATGTTTGATTGGGGGCCTCAGAGCCTATAATAATGGACATTCTTTTAGTGGCTGTCCAACTAAGGGTTTAGGCGTCACAGGGGCAGCCTCCCAGCACTAAATGATTCCATTCAATTTTTGTAAACACGACTGCGACTTACAAACTGTGACTATTCTGCTCTTTGAGACCAATTATATTTCTCTCTTTGCTCCCTATTTCTAGTTTTTCAAGACCAAAATGACAGCCTCTGCCAAAATCCATATTTAAGTGTGTGTGTTGGTTGTTGATTATGTTGAATATTTGATGATTTTCAGAGAGAATCCGCCGCTCGGTGGTGAAGTTACGTTAACTAACGTAACCAATCACTCAACTGGCCAGATCACTCAACTGGCCATATTTAAGTGTGTGTGTTGGTTGTTGATTATGTTGAATATTTGATGATTTTCAGAGAGAATCCGCCGCTCGGTGGTGAAGTTACGTTAACTAACGTAACCAATCACTCAACTGGCCAGATCACTCAACTGGCCATATTTAAGTGTGTGTGTTGGTTGTTGATTATGTTGAATATTTGATGATTTTCAGAGAGAATCCGCCGCTCGGTGGTGAAGTTACGTTAACTAACATAACCAATCACTCAACTGGCCAGATCACTCAACTGGCCACCTCCCCACTGTACATTAAGCAAATCTTTAAATTCTCCCACCACTATATTAAATTATCCATTAAAAAATTATATACAATTAAATCCTAGCTCTGCAAGCATCCAGGGGTCCTATGTCCAGTATTCCCACACTTGCTGCAGTGTGCTGGTGCTCACTTTTTAGTGGGTTGATTTGAATCCTCCACCCCTCTATCCACCATCTGCTGAGCAGCCTGAGCAGTCTGAGCTCTAGCTAATCCTTCTTCTCCAGTCAGAATTCCTTCCTGACCTATGTAAACACAGCCTTGTCCTCGCTTGCGTTTCTGCTTCTCATTTGCAGCTTGTAAAGCCTTGTTCTCTTGAGCCAAAAGAGCACCCTCATGCATAGCTAGTTGGCACCCCCGAACTAGTTGATCTAGAGCTTGGTTGGTAGGACTAGGCGGGCTTTGCATATGATGCTTGATAAACTGCTTGAGCTTGTTGAATTGACGTTCCAATTGGACAGCATTTCAGGGAGTCTTTGAGGTCCAGGAGGCCTGAGATTCATGAGATGTACCTGGGAGACTTGGTGTATGTAGTTGATAATACAGATGTTCAAGAACCTCCTCTGCATTGAATGGCACTAAGCCTGTGGCTCTGAATCCATTCTTAATAGTCATATTCTTCAATGCCTCCTTCCTAGCAGCAGAATATAGTTCTAGGAATTCCTCCTTATCCACATGATTAATGCCAAGCCTCATGTCAGATTCAACCTGCTTGCAATATGCCTTCTTCAGAGGGGCAAAGCAGCTCACATCTAGTAACTGCAGCAGATGAGAAGAATGAGATGGCATATAGAGAGCTATAATAGCATTCTCTCTGCAGAATTGATCAAATTCAGCAGTGGCATGGCTCTCATGCTCATTCAGAATCAAGAGTCTATATCTTCCAACTGTATAAGCCTGAGTATGCTTGTTAAACACCTCTTTCAGCCATATTAGACCAAGCTGATCAGTGATCCAGCCATTCTCATTAACCTCAATTACTCAATCTGCTGGCAGGTTTGTATACCATGAAGTCTGATGTAGCTTGCCCTTGAGAATAATCATTGAAAGCAGACTCTGTCCTCTTGCATTGACTGACTCAATCACAGTCACTCATTCCCTATTTTCTGACTGTATAAGAGATGCCTTTCCAGCTCTTTCTGACCTAGTGATCACTAAGGTTGTTGAAATAACCCTCATAAGAAAGCCAACTTCATCAAAATTATATGTATCCTCAGGTAGAATTCCATACTTCTTCATGGCATTATCCACCATTCTAAACCACCTCTTTATAATCTCTGGATCTTCACATAGAGCTCACTGGTGATCATATCTGCATGTGAGCCTGATCTTCAGCTCAGAATGATGTTTAATAAATCTCCACATTCAGCATTCTTCAATGCTAGGGGATATGCTAGATCCACGGGCTCTGAGTAGCTCAATGGCCATATATCATACACTTGCAATTCAGGGGGGTAGGCCTCTCTCATCCATGGAGATTATCCATTGAACTAGAGCTTCTTCTTCTGTAGGTGTCAATTTCTGGCGTTGAGACTGGGATTTCACGCATGGAATGCCTCCATGTAGTTGATTGGATAGAGTGGCATGAGAGACACCATAGACCTTAGCAGCAGCTTGAATGCTAGAAATTTGCTTGGTTTCATAGGCTCTAATGACCAAAAGAAGTTTTCCTTCCTGATTAGAGGCTTGAATTTTCATTGTGGTTGAGAAATTGAGCTTTGATTGTTGATGATGGGTTGAAATTGGAAAGGTGGCCAGTTGAGTGATCTGGCCAGTTGAGTGATCGATTACGTTAATTAATATGATTAACTAAGTCAGCTATAGTTAGTTAGTTACATACGCTAGTTATCTAGATCGCGAGGTCGAAATGCGATACCTTGCTCCATGCGATGGACGCGGTTCCGAGCCTTCTAAGCTATTCTTCCATTTCTTTGTCATGCCTTCCCCGTCCCGATGGCAGAAGTCCTTGCTAAGTCACCAGATGAATCACTCCTGGAGGGCAGATTTGCCCAGGTTCCATAGTTATGTCCTCAGAAGCCAGGAAGACGAAGGCACTTTCTTCGCCCTCCTCAATCCAACATTAACTACCATAACTGCCCAGCTAGCTATATATATATATATATATATATATATATATATCAAGTCCAAAATTCTTCCCCAGCGCAAGCGATGCGCACATCGCAGAACTAATCTCTGTCTATTCTAATGTCTGGGAATACGGCGCCCCACACCGCACGGGAAAGTTGAACAATTGGTATCTGCAGTTCAAGCCTCTAGCTGTTATCTTAGGAGTCCTGATATTCACACATTACCGCCGTTCTGTCCTGGAGGTCGCAAATAAAGTCCACCAAGAAGCGTTGATCTGGTCTTACCTCTCCTCGTTTGAACAAGGAACTTCCACGGCAGCGACCTGATACAGGTGCTCTTTGGTCTTTTGCTGAATCATGCCTCAAAAGTATTCCATGAGTACTATCTGGCTTTCATTCATGAACAGAACACAGGTACTAGCACGAAAACTCCTAATTGGCCATACTGGAGCGAGTTGAAGAAGCTGGTGAATATGTCCGACTGGAGCTCGAAGCTTATTTCGGATAACTTTAGGCAGAAAGCTTATGACTCTATTCTCAAGAATATGCGGAGCTCCCATAACCAGGATTCGGGTTCTCATGTATCGATACGTGCGTATCGACTGGATCTGAATACGGAGATGAGAAAAATCGGATATCAGTTGTCCAACTCATTTTTGGAAATTGCCTTTTTTTCTTTGATTGCGAATGGTTGGATAAAATGTCCGTCTTACATTTCTCATGGACAGCGAATAGTACGCTGAATTGGTATCCTCATGGAGCCCTTGTTCGTTGAAGCTTGTTCACCCGCGCCCACCGCGACAAATTGCTATCGGATTACCTGGGCGCTGAATTTTAATGAGAAAGGCCCCCTGACATAGTTATCATTACCAAAAACATTAGAATTTCCCTAGAGTCTCGGAATTAAAATCCAAGAACATCCAACGAGAATGAACCAGCGCGGGGTTATTTTAGACACCTGAAATGCTAAGTGGGATATATGGAGGATAGATGCGGGAATTTTTGGAATTTTCTTCCATGATCCCCTGTCAATCACAGCAATTCTCAATCGAACCGACGTAGTATACATGCATTTTCCTTGACGAAGTGCCTCCCGTGCCGTTACATCGCCATCCCTTCACCGCGATGGAGGGATGGAGGATAGACTGCAAACAAACTTGACCCCTCAACCGGAATGTGTGTGCTCCCCCGTGTTTTGAGACTAGGATCTTTTATGCTGCAGCAGCTATGTATGACGCTAAAGAGCAGAGTTTTTGGCTGCCAGATGCCTGAGATAATTGAGATCGGTATCAGAACTTTGGCTCCAGCCAAAACAATAGCTATTGAGTTGTACAGTTGAGGATAGAGTCATGACCGAGACGGAGTCAAAAGCCTTTGCTTCTGACAATTCAACAGAATTCCCGTACCTCCTTGCAGTATTTTTGTTTGGCACCTGAAATTCCAAATTCAATACAGGCCTCCTCCCCCTCCCCCCCAAGTTGTCATCTCAACTCAGAAGGCTGACAGCTTGTCAGCCAGTCAGCCCTAAACTTCACAGCCGAATGGTGCTTGGCTACATACCCAGTGAATAACTTCTGGATCAAGGGTCTTTTGGAAGATATAAACCGCTGAATGAGGTTATCTTGAACCCTGACGTCGGCTTCGAAGTTTTGAGATTGTCAGCCGTTGGGACAGCGAAGCCAAGGTTGCAGCAATAACTTGCTAGCCCGTTAAAAATGAGCTGCGGCAACCGGGCTGGCGGGTTTAGCGGCTTCTGATGTCCTGAATATCCCAAATTTAGCAGATACGAAACTGCGAAGTAAAATAGGGAGTCGACTTGAATCCAGAATAGAATTGTGCACTTGGGTGGCGACTGGTTATCCTAGTTAACTTCTCTACCAAGTTCTTGATCCGAGAGCACAGCACAGCACAGCAAGCTTCCACCAACAACTTTTTGTTGCGTCACGCCATGTTTCTATGTCGGGTTTGCTGGTCAATGATAGAATGATTTCGCTTGCAATTTTTTTTTGGGGATTTTGTTTTTGGAAGCAGGATTTCTGGCGGACAAAATCTATATATGGAAGTGACTGGAGCAAATTCGTCCACTTGCTTCATTTCTTCGCTTTTCTCTGATGTCACCAATATCCCTAGAGTCGAAGAACCAACTGCCCCTCTCACATCTAGCGCTAAGCCCCAGTGAATTATTTTATAACCCCTCTTCCTGAGATACCTAGGTCTATACGTATACATATGTTTATACATACACACACACACACACACACACACACACACACACACACACTTGCTATATCTTCGACCGTCTCCGTGCCTTGCGCCATTACTCTACACTACTTTCTCTTCACTATACACCAACTGCTGACGATTGCCCAATATGTCCTCCGCAGAGGTCACCCAGAAGTTTGAAACACTTCAATTGCACGCCGGGTAAGATTTTCTCATGGCCTTCCTTATACCGCCGCCACGCCCTCGAAGCCAAATCGCTAACAAAAATCTCCTATATCCCAGTCATGAGCCAGACTCTGCCACTAACTCCCGCGCTGTCCCCATCTATGCTTCGACTGTTCGTCTCTGAAAATTCAAGTCTCCCTTCTTGCTGCGTGTAGCACGTCCACAGCTAATGTTCTCAGTCTTTCACATTCAATGACTCCGCCCATGGCGCCCGGCTCTTCTCTCTTAAGGAACTAGGCAATGTCTACAGCCGTCTTGGAAACGTATGTTTATCTATCCATGGATATGTCAGCTAATATGGAGTCCGTGAACATAACCTTCTCTAACCTCTGTTGATATGTATACAGCCCACCGTTGAAGTCTTTGAGAAGCGCATAGCTGCCCTAGAAGGTGGTTTGGCAGCCGTAGCAGCCTCCTCCGGCCAATCCGCCCAGTTCATGGCCATTGCCGCCCTCGCGAGAGCCGGTGACAATATTGTGTCCACTACCAACCTCTACGGCGGCACATACAACCAGTTCAAGGTCTTCCTGCCACGTATGGGCATTACGACCAAATTCGTCAAAGGCGACGACCCGGCTGAGATCGCATCGAAGATCGATGACAAGACCAAGTGTGTCTACGTGGAGACTATTGGGAATCCGAAATTTAATGTTCCAGATTTTGAAGCCATTGCGAAAGTTGCGCATGAGAAGGGGGTCCCGTTAGTGGTATGTTGTGATTTTTTTTTTTTTTTTTTGGGTGCTTCTATTTATTTATTTTCTCCCCTGCCTTTTCTTTTTGGTAGGGAAATATATATTTGAAACACACAACTTCAACAGCTAACAATCGTTCGTAACGGCAGGTCGACAACACGTTTGGAGCCGGCGGCTACTTCTTCCGCCCCATCGAGCACGGCGCCGATATCGTTGTGCACAGCGCTACAAAATGGATTGGTGGTCACGGAACCACCATCGCCGGCGTCGTCATCGACAGCGGCAAGTTCGACTGGGTCAAGCACGCAGCCCGTTTCCCGCAATTTGTCGAGCCATCTGAGGGTTACCATGGCCTCAAGCTCTGTGAATCTTTTGGTGCGGGCGCCTTCGGCGCCAGCGTTCGAATTGACGTCCTCCGTGATTTGGGCTCTGCCCTGAATCCCTTCGCGGCACAGCAGTTACTGCTTGGTATTGAAACGCTGTCACTCCGCTCCGAGAGACATGCCAGCAATGCGATGGCGTTGGCGAAGTGGCTGGAGAAGAATGAGCATGTTTCTTGGGTTTCGTACCCGGGGTTGGAGAGTCATCCGAGCCATGCAACGGCAAAGAAGTACCTGAAGCGTGGGTTTGGCAGCGTGTTGTCGTTTGGTGTTAAAGGGGGTGCCGACGCGGGTAGCCAGGTTGTTGATGGCTTCAAGCTCATTTCGAATCTTGCTAAGTACGGTTCCATGCTCCCTGTCTAATATTTGGGTTATCATAACTACCTAGATGGGGATGAGAACTAATGGAATGTTTTAACAGTGTCGGTGACTGCAAGACTCTCGCCATCCACCCATGGTCGACGACGCATGAGCAGCTCAGTGATGAGGAGCGTGCCGCATCCGGGGTAACGCAGGACGCCATTCGTATCTCCGTTGGCACGGAGCATATTGACGATATCATTGCGGACTTTGTACAGTCCTTCAAGGCCAGCAGTGTCGTCACTGGCAACAGTACTTAGGTTGAATGATGGAGTTTTCTTGGACAGCAGAAGGTCAACTGGTGGACTATGTTTCTCCACCTGACTTTGAAATTGTGCTATCCAAGGATGATGTGCGCCGCAGGTTTAGGCTTAGATATAACTATACCTCCTCCTACCAGTGGTTTAGCACTTGGTTATGTGGACGGAAGATATAACTCTGCTACGACGAAATGAAATTTAAGAGTTTTATTCTTAATTTTTTTTTTAATTTAATTTTTTGGTTGTTTGTTTGGTTTGAGAGGTTGAAGAGGTTGAAGAGTTGACGGATACTATTTACGTCGGCTTTCTTCCTTTGGTCCGTGGAACTTATGGGAGGAACAATAAATAGAACCAAACAAAACATCCGTAACCGGACATATTACCAAAGCCTATTCCATGGTACGAATCCCAGATAAACCCTGTCGGTGATAATTGATACCTTGGTAGGTTGGTACTTAGGTAGGTATAGAGGAATATTCAGGAGTGAAGACTTGAAGAGGAAGAGAAAAGGGAACCTGGAACCTTGGAAACCTGGAACGCCGTATCAGGTGGACATGCTCGACGGATCCTATTTCAGGGTTAAAGTGCACAGTTAGAGTTTCTGAGTTTGTAAAGACGTCTGTGGAGTTGTTATATATAACTATATCTAGGACATCTTCATGTCAAGTGAACTTCGCTAGAATCTTGCTCATCAGATAGACTTTTAGCACCAGCGGAAAGCGGGGAAACTAACAGCATCTCCATAAGTTACTGCACTGTAATATTAGATCGTCTGTCCATCTCAGTATGAGTAATCCCCCCAACAGACAGGATTAAAGAAGCTTCAATCGGGGAGCCGGGACCCCATTTCTTTTGGACACTGACACTCAACACCTGAGTGCGACGAATACCCTTTTCACCCCCATCCTCACGGTGCAGGGTGATGCAACGTCCCTGGGGAGCGTGTGCGGACACCCAGCATGAGTTCCGCTGACGTTGGGAGGGAACATTGGGGTTGGAGGGCCCAGATGCATAATGATGATGGATGACTGAGATGCTGCTAGGGGCATGGTGAAGCTGTCGAGGGTGTGCTGTAGGGGACTAACGAGTTTCTTAATTTATCATTAATAGTGTATACCTAAATATCTAGTAGTGTTTGTCAAGTTAGTTCGTATCAGGCTATTATTATTCTTGAACTGAACTATGAAGCTAACCCAAAGTCTGCATGTTTTGGAAATTATCCAACTGCATCCACCTATGACATCATACGCTCTGTTCTCATTCATAAATAACATCTAACTAATAGTTAGTTCATAGTTTAACAGTAGAAATGACGAATTAATTGAGAGATATTCAAATGGACACTCCGTTTAAAATTAGTTATCATAGAATCTAATAAAGAATAAAAACCTTCCTTCCATTGAAGAGTGATTAGCTATACTTTACATGCATATATCTTTTTATTTTACAGATGTAGCTCATGATCCGCTTCCACGCTCCATGCAGCTAACTAGTTAGTTACCTGCAGAGAGAGAGAAGCTTAAATATCTCACCACCGTAACTCCGTACAGAGGTTTCATGCGCTGCATCGGGGCATGCAGCCCGCATGCCACCGCTGCGTAACCTATAGTTAGTTATGCAATCAGGAACATGTATGCAAACGATATTCATTTTCTTAAATTTCCCAATGTTCAGCTCTCTCCTCTTCATCCCATATGTACCCACCCATCATCCCTATTGGGCTATCGAGAGATAACTGTGTTTCCCACCGTGTCCCAGGCCATCGCTTAACTTCAGCACCACCAGACACCGCCGCCAACCTTGGACCGCGCTTCCAAATCTCACGATGGCTTTTCAGTCTTTCTAGCCGCAGGCCTAGGCCTTGGCCTTAAATCACCAACTCTTTCCTGGTCGTCTGCCCAGCAACAACCCGAGGTCCCACAGAACATCACCGCGGCGCGTGTGCATACATTTTGCAGATAGCGCTGAATGCCGCTCATGCATAGCAGCATGCGCCGGAAAAGGATCCGAGGCGACCAGCCGTAGGAAAACCCAAGGAAAAGGAGAAACAAAATCTGTCATGAGCGACATGCACGTATTATTCAGTTCAGTAACATATTATACATCGTTATTTTATTGTTTTTTATTTTTAAAAGTATGGTATATTTACAGACCAGTCGACTGCACAAGATAATTCCTGTAAACAGTATTATGATTTATTATTTATATCAACCAAATCGTAATCTTGACGCAAGCGCTGTGGCGCGTAACTGGTCCATATCCTCTTCTCCTCCCATGCGCTCCTCCCACAGCTGAAGCAAACGGAGAATTCCGGGTATCAACTTGTTACGTAGTAACATTCCTCAGAAAAGAGCAAACGAAAGGGGTATAAACCTCAGTGGAGATTTGCATCTGAGGGGGCTCCGGCGTTATAGCGCAAGCATGAGATACGAGCGTATCTATGGCAGTATACAGGAAGAGACAATATCGGTGAGGATAAACGACGGGCACCAAAGCATTTGGGTTCGTCAAAAACTGCCTAGGGGAAAATTAAGGGGATAGGAGGATTTAAAAAGATGCAGAGCAGAACACAGCAGAGAATAATTTTGTATAAAATTGAAACATAACAGACAGATCAGCAAGTAAATGAGCATGATGGGGGTATCAAATATTATTTATACTAAATCACGGCTAGTTCCATAATCAGATTTACAGGCATAACAGCGTATGTACGCTGAAGCAAATACAGTTCCATGGCAAACGTAACCACAATAGCGTTAGCGTTTCGAATCATAAAGAAAAAGTAGACAAAACGGCATAGATTGATCGTCAGGGGAGAGGTTAATTTTGCGACGTATGATTTTGCGAATTACACGCCGACATGGGCTTGCATGTTTACTCCCGCCTCAGGTTTGTGAGTTTCTCTGCCGCGCACCAAGGGGAGGACGACGACGAGAACAGCCGTTGCGACGAAAAGGAGCCTGTAAAATATTAACACCGCACATTCAGTCCAGCTAACCCCAGGCAAAAAAAAAAAAAAAAAAAAAAAAAAAATGTAAGTAACAACAACAAAAGCGAGGGAACTCACCATTCGAACGCCCCGAAAACCGTCGCAGCCTGCAGGACTTTGCAGAAGGTATAGTGCTTGCAAATGCCAGCTGGGGGCAGCAAGGCAGCGAGAGCGATGAAGCCGGCGAACCAGAAGAGCAGCGTGATCGCCTCGGCAGCGATGAGGGCATACTTATGCGCTACAGCGGGGAAGTAGAGTGGTGAGAGAACGAGGTAGGGAACAGCAATGAGCATGGTCCATATGGCGTCGAAGAGAAGGAAGTTGACTTCATCCGGGGAGCTCCCTTGCGAGGAGTTGACGGCTAGGGAGGGTAGAATGGTTAGTTATGACGTTAAAGTTAAAATTCTTTCATTTTCTTTAATTTTCACTTTCACTTTCATTTTCATTTTTATTTTTATATTTTTTATATTTTTTATTCTTATTCCCTCCCCCCTCTACTTTATTTTCAGTGTTTATCTCTTTTGGTTGATGGCATGACATACCGTAGGCTGTGAGACCGAGAACAATAATGGCAAAGAGCACCTGGACGCTGCGCAGGCCAAGGATGATATTTTGGGTCATGGCGGAATGGCCTGTTGTATACAACCTCCAGATGCGAATATAGATCCTTTGCGGCCGTTGATTGCCTGATTTTTATGATGATGATGATGACGATACACAGTCCTAGAGTCGAGTTGCCAGGAGATGGTTGGGGTTTATAAGGGCGCGAAGTGAACGCTTGCTGTTGGAGGGAAGAAGGCTGTATTTCAAGGAGAGAGACTGCAGATGACACGAGAGGTCTGCGGACGAGGAGGAACAGATATGGACAGGATTTTAATTTAGTTCCTCAAGCGGGGGCGCAAGGCCGGGATTTGTGTGGGCGAAAGCAGATAGATCGGGGGTTGACTGGTTGCTGGCTAACTAACTTTTTGGTGGGGGATTAAGCTCCAGGATTAAAGGTCTCGACAATTAGTTCAATGCAGATATTAATATTTTGGATTGTTTTGTTCGTCTGTTTGTTGGCAGGTGAATTGTGAGCTGGCCGATGACGAGAGGGAGAGATCATGGCTGTTGAGGAAGAGGAGCAAGATACACTCGACGGAGGAGGAGGTATGGAAATGTGTTTAAATTAACTCCCACAGATGCAGTAAATTAAAAATAATGAAATAAAATAGAAAACCTTGCTAACCGCCACTTCAAAGTGAAAATATGCATTTAAAGTAATAGTGCAAAGATGGCTAATACCAGATGTCCAAAAGGCCAGGAAAAGGAAATCCGGGCGGCATGACACCTCGTATATGGTTACGAGGGACCTCGCTAACTCAACTTCGTCGCTGCCACCACAAGTTCCGCAGCAGAGATACATTGCTCTGCACTCAATGCATCCATCTTGATTGAACCAGCCAGTCAACGTTATGCTCTTTTCCCGAGCTAACCAACCCAAGCCATTTAGGTCACCACGCGGCATCTCCCTAGCAAATAAGATCGGCGATGGGGCTGTCCGGTCATCACATCACGCCGCCTCTTGCTCAAAATCAAATCCATGAGCTCCTGAATCCGCCATAGCTAGTTGGCTGCTTGTCATTGCTTGCTGTGACTAGGTCTGTCAAGGGGGAGTCATGTCATTAGCTATGTGTGGTTAACTATTACGTATGTCTAGAAGTAGTCGACGACCTCGGCGTAGACCATACGAAAAATATAGCGGCGCATGACTCTGTTCAATCGCTGCACGGGACAATTAACTGTTAACGGATGACGCGTTGGCGGGAGGGCCCCATTTGGTGGATCTGACCCTCTCACCAGGAACTCTCAGCCTGCTTTAACCTCGAAAGCCGCTGAACCGCTGGATGCAAGGACTTTAAAATCGGATTTGTTCTGTTATCCAGAACAGTCCCCTCTTGACGCCACACGGGTTTCATGAGTTGAAGATCACAGGCGTGAAAGCCTGTGCCAAGCGCGCCCACACATGAAGGTTGGACAGCAGCATCACGGATGGGCCAGTTGGAGTGTGGCTGAAAGAATCAGCCAAACCAGTTAGTTAAAAACTGATCTCCATCGCAAACCAACCATCCGGTCTCGGAGCTTTGCCAGAGCACCCCGAGTTTATCCGTGCTCGACCCTTGCTCAGAAAACAGGCAAGACAACAATGTTTGAAGAACCAAGCCAGCCCGATGAGGCATAGTGAGCGGTAAAAAATCGGTTGGTTCTGTTTATTATAGAGCTAGAAGGAGGCTGTGGATAAAAAGAAGGCTGTGGATAAGCCATATAAAATGAGTGCATATTTCTACATTAAGTTTGGTGGTGTTTTCAGTGTATTTAGAGGCAGGAAGAAACTTTTGAACGGGACCTCCGTCTGTACGGAGGACATTATTATCGACGCCACACCGCCTCAGTTTCTCCATTCCTTCGTTGGCACAGAGAAGCGCGAGAAGGGTACGAGAGCCGCGCTTCAAAGATGTCCCGGAAATTTTCATACTTATGACGAGCTAAGCTGTCCGGTGATGGATCGTCAGCTTTGCCCCCGATCTCCGCACAATACGACGCCATGGCATCCTTAAAGTGTGGTCGTGCTGTGGATATCAAATTCTCCCAACAAGCTCGGTCTTGCGCAATGGCCATTGAAGCGGGCTTTCTATAACCATAAAGTACCAGCGAGGAGGAATTTCTGGGCAATGTGAATGGGAAGGTGTGCTCTTGTGCTGCAACATATGTGGGAATCAGTTGGGAACCTTTCTAATATGCTGATTCCATATTCACAGGGGTTTGGAGTGCCTGGTGTTCTCAGTGTGAGGTTGCAGTGTCTTCTTGAAGAGAGCCGCGCGTAGGCTAAGGATATCTGCCAACATCCAAAATGAATGAGCAGTCCGAAATCATCTTCCAGATATATCCATTTTCATGAAACATGGCTACATTGCGTCAGACTGGATTTCTCTCTAACACATTTGCCATGTCCCATACTCCGTAGGAGAGGAAAAGAGCCAGAATTTTGATACTAGTTTGTCAATGATGATGATGATGATGACGATGTCGCTTTCCATGTGTCTCAACCACAAGAACTACTCTCGAAAAGGCATTCCTTATTGAAGACCAACCGGAAATGAGGGACAGGAAGTCAAGGGATATTATGTCTCAGTCACATTCTCTGTTTGAGAGTTACACGGGATCGCGGTCACAATGCGTTGCATGATTCATAAAGGATATAGCGTTTCAAAACCGCCTCTGTGATTCTGGATCAACCAGCCCCAGAAATATCTTCTCATCAAGGCCACAATCTTCTGTAAAGTAAAGACACACCAATGTCGTATTTTAGTCTAACACATTCAAGGTCTCCAGTTCAAGCCTGGGTAGTTTCAAGTCTTTTTTTTATTGGCTTTTTTATTTTGATTTGTATTAGTGGTTCCATGTTTCTGAGGTGGAATTGGGTCTCATGGACTGTTACCAATGTCAGCGAAATCCACTTGTTCCATTCCGCCACTTACACCCTGGTGCAGCTCTGGAGAAACACCCTCTTGAAAGGACCGACGGGCTTCGATCTTGATTTGTGGGGTTGCAATTGTGTTCAATATCAACTAAACAACGGGTTCGACATTCCAGATCCATTCCCATCAGGCAAAAATATTGTGCTGTTGACAGCATGATTTCATTGAGTCTCTGAATTACCAGCATCTGTGTGATAGCCCTTTTGCCACGCGACTGGTGACTGTGAATATCTACTGACAATATCTCTTGTGGTTGAACGGAAGATTATGTTCATTGTCAACTTCTGCAGTCTATTGAGTCTGGTCATGTATGTAGGATCCTTAGCCCACGATATCTGAAATTGCAAACGGAAACTTCATGCGTACTGGGGCATGGTATTGATATATTGATGGGACATTCGAGTCGGATCGAACATACGCCAAACCGAATCCCATAACTTATTTTGCTAGAAAACTCTGTTTCAAATATATATATATATATATATATTAATAAATAAATAAATAAATAAATAACCATTGGCATGAGTGCCAGAAACAGAATGCAAAATCTCACTAAACTCATAACTGCTCCACTATTCTCACAGGAGAGGGAAGTAGGGTTAAGTAAAACAAAAAGAAACATTCAATAGCTCAACCAACTCAACAAAATTTACTATATCTAATACATGTCAGAATACTTGAAACAAAGTTTCACTATAGGAGTAAGTGTTTTCCATCTCATGCAGTTTTGGGGATATGTGTGTCTGCACATTTGGGCCTCTCATGTATGTTGACTTTGGTCCATAAAACCGATTTATACTACTACCAAGAACCAACAAAATTAATCTCGATGCCAATCACAATCCCAATCCCAATTTGTCTGAAATGTAGGTCCACGTGGACCTGGGACTCATGATTTGGAGGCGAGGAAGTCGGCAGCCTGTATACAATGCAAGAATATATCACACTCAGCCATCTTTCAATAATATTTTGTCTAAACACACACACACACACAAAAAAAATTACTTGATGTAAGGTTGGCAAAGGACTTCAACCCACCTGCTCAAGATTATAGTCAAATTTCTCCAGAGCCGCCAATGATTCGTCCCGCGGGTACCCCATCCCCGTCAACCGCTGTAGAATCAAATCGTCCTCGCCCGAATCGGCACCAAGTGCCCAGCCGGGTGGCTTGACGTCCTTTCCTGGTGGCTGGGGAAAAGAGGATATTGCTGCGGCATCCGATTGCTGTGTCGAAGACGCGCCCTTATTGTTGCTATTGGAGTCGTAGGGGGGCAGTTTTGAGCGGTCGAGGACGGAGAAAAGGGCGTCCCAGTCTTGTGTACTGTTTCCTGAAGAGGGTGCTTGAGCTGTTGAGGGGCCCAATTTCTGTGAGAAGGGAGAAGGGGAGGATGATTTTTGGTTTTGCTGTTGTTGGTTGTCGAAGCTGAAGAAATCAGGGTCTACAATGTTGATGCCTGATCCTGTGCTGGAAGTGAATGTGGCATTGGCAATTGTGCTTGATTTCGACGGTGCAACGGGTGAGTCAAATGTCATGTCAAAATTCGATGTGTCTTTGTTGAATGGTGATTCAAAATCGTCTTCATCGTCGTCTGCTTCTCTTGCTGGTGCGAGGTCTAAACCCGCGAAAGCCGCCTCGAAATCAGTAGCTGCTGATTTATTCTTGCTTGGTTCAGCTGGCTGAGAGGTTCTTGTGCTGTTTACCTCAACTGATGACATGCCGTTAGATTCGCGCCGCGCAGCGGATGAGGCTTCCTTCGAGGTGTCCTGGCCGTTCGTTTTGGACAGGAATGAACTTTCGGAGGCTGGGGAGAATGGCTTAGGGGCAACGATGTCCCGGGAAGTTGTCTCACTTGGACGTGGCGGTGAAGCAGGTGAGAAATCATCATCGAAACCCCTGGCCGCTTCACTATCTGTACTCTCATCATCGTCATCCAGCTCTTGAATTGGAGGGAACTCTTTCGATTCCTCCTTCGACTTAGAGCCACTGGATTCTGGGATTCCAGAACCGCTGCTCCCGCTTTTCATTTTCATAGCCGCAAAGGCCTCCTCAAAGTCATTGGCTTTTTGAGAAGGGGATCGAGCATGGGCAACACCACCAAATAGTTCGTCAAAGCTGACATCCTTCTTAACAGATCCAGATGGCGCTAAGTCTGCAGGGAAGGAGCCAGGAACAGGAGAAGCTTCATGCTGATGTCGAGCCTGGCTGCTGCCTCCGTCCGACACGCTTGACACTTTCTCCAGATCTTCCTCAGGTTTTGCCACTGTAATATTGAATGGAGACTTCGTTGACGAGCGTGTATCGGATTCTGAGACTACAGAAGTTCCAAAACGACTAGCTGGCGGGGACGGTTTGACAGAAGAAGCCTCTGAGGCTTGGTGGCCTTCAATTGGAAGCTGGCTGGATGAGATTTGCTGAGATTGTGAGGGAGGGGGAGGCTCGAATGAGTTGGGAGAGGCAGACGGGGTCAAGAAACCGGATGTATCTGATGTCTTTTGAGGCCCGGCCCCCGCTGTTAGGGTGTTTTGGGCGGGGGATTCAGTTCGAAGTGACGTTGGTGGCGGTGGAGTGGCCGTGGAAGTAGGAAGGGTAAACGATGGGCCAAAAACATTCTCATATACGCTCTGGGAATCTCTTGGTGATTCCTGGGGGGATACTGGAGGAGGAATAAAGTTTTCAGACAAACCCGTCGTTCGTCTGAAAAAGGGGTTCGTTTGGCTTGAGGTTGAAGGTGCAGGGCTTGTAACAGAAGTAGGTTGGGAAATGGGAGTGGAAGCTTGAGATTGTTGGTGCTGTAGCGCTTCTACCTCCCTGATTGTGCTATCGATTTCACCTTGCATTCGATCGCGCTCGCCTTCAACGGTTGCAAGCTGCTTCTTGTTGATGGCCACTAGACCCTTTTGCTGACGAGCAGCAGACCGGACCTTTTCCAACTGCGGCTTCAATTGATTAACTTGCGCGTTAGCCTGGCGGATTTTTTCCTTGAGGCTAGCGCTCTCGCGTTGGTCAGCGTCCAGTGCAGCATTCACTTGGTTATATTGGTTTTGGAGATCCTGGCGACTAGCGTCAATCAAGGCAAAATCCTGTTGTAACTTCTTCGTTTCTGTACGAGACGCCGCTAACCGATCTTCTAGAGCCTTGAAATCTTTCATTTCCTGGTCAAACATTGCTCTAGCTTGAGCTAGTCTGGATTCAAAATCTTTCTTCTGCTGGCTAGTTTTGTTTAAATCCTGCTCAGCCACCGCACGTTTCCCCTGCATGTTCTGCATCTCCTTTGACAAGCTACCAATCTGGTTTGAGAGATTTGCTAAATCTGTGGTGTCTTGCGTCAACTTCTTGCTCTCTTCAGGATCGACATCGCCCAATAGATCATGCGACGCTGGCAACGGTGGTGGAGATCGATGTTGTGTAGATGCGTTCGATAAGCCCGTCGCATGCGGGGTGAGACTCTGGCCAAAGCTCGATGAGGGAATGAATGGTTTGAATGCTGATGTTGCTGAAGTCCCAAGTGGTGACTGGGTGGGCGATGAGGGAGACTGGTGAGTATTGGAGCTACCAGTGGTCTGGGCCACTTGCTGGGCCACTTGAGGCGGGGGTCCAAACACATCCAGTCCAAACAAATCCTCTGCCGCAGAGCGTTGCGCTGTGTTTTGTGGGACTAGCCGGGGAGCGGGGAGTGGGCTGGAGTCGCATGCTTGGGGGAATCAAAACTGGAGGGAGTGCCTGCGGCAGCGGCTCTCGAGTGGTCCGTTGTTGCCGAACCAGATACATTGCAACCGCAAACTCATCCTTACTCAACTGACCATCGGAGTCAATATCGGCCAAGTCCCATATGGAGGCCAAGGTTTCCTCTGGCAACTGCGCATGGGTGAAGAATTCAACCGCCTGATCGCCAGTGATATAACCCAAATTTGCTTTATCAACAGTAGTGAACACGGTATCAAAATGAGCTTTTTCCTGGGGCGTAATTGCCCAGTCGCTCCCGGTAGACTGCACGGGGATACTTGACTGGAACTGGGGTGGTCGACTGAGGGGACTCTGTGCTCGTTGGGGAAGTCCTGATCCACTGAATTGCTTCGGAATAGCAGGTACGGGGGGTATATCTGTGGAGGACCGCGAACCAGTTGAGATCCGCACGCCACCATGTCGAGCAGCCGCATCGTAAAAACCAGGAGGGAGGGACTGAGGTAAGATCCTCATCGTGCCATTTCGATACGCACTTAACAAATGCATGGCAATGATAAATTCTGTCGCATCTAAAGCGCCTCGTTGTTTCGTGTCCGCCAGATTCCATATTTTCCCCAAAACTTCATTTGGCAATCGTGCGCGTTCAAATATCTGTTTCGCATTTTCACCTGCAATTTTGTTGCCGATGTCAACTAAACCTGTAATTGGATTTTGGAATGTTTAATTTCTAGATATTACCTGAGAGAAGCCCATTCTGAACATCTGACCTCTCAAACAACGAAGTAAACTTAGCAACGTCTTCGGGAACCAAAGGTGGGATTCTAACAGGTGCCGTTCCTGGCGGGGGACTGGCCGTGACTGGTGCCGCCTGTGGCATGGGCTCCATAATATCATCATTTAATCCAGTAAACTTCGGCAATGGACCAGCTGAAAAGTCCAAGTAAGCGATGGGGCTTCTTTAAATAAGAGCTTCGGGATAGGCTTACGTTGCAATGCCAATTCTTCCGTCGGTGCTTGGCCAGCTTGCGCATGTCCGATCAACCGCATAACCACTCCAAACCCAGACGGGGTCAGGAGCCCGCGATTCTGCGTATCAGCAATTTGCCATATCTGTTATCCGACAAAAGGGTAACATCCAGTCAATTTACATCACTTTCTCTTAGTTACGTGTTGGGAGACAGATGAGTTATATGACCCCGACAGGTTGTGGGAGTAATATGATCAAGCTGACTTACCAAACCCAACGTTTCCGCAGGAAGATTGCTCCTCTCAAAGAAAGAAACGGCCACTTCACCAGTTATAACGCCGAGATTTGTCTTATCCGCCGCTTGAAATAGTTTATAAAACACCCGCTTCTCCTCTGGTGTCAGGTTCAGGTTCGGATGGCCTATAACAGAGGTAAGTTATATTATTGAGTCGTGAGAAGAGAGCAGAATGGAGAAAAAAGCTGGTATTGTTTCGCGGACCAGAAATGCTAGCCCAATGCATGTAGGATGTATGGTTAGGAGACCTATTTGGCCACTCACCTCCGTCCGCCATTATTCAGTCAGCTGTCTCTCCCATAAACGACGCTCCTCGTTTCTTCTCTCCAAATATCTTCCGCTGTACGTAGTTGGTAAAGGAGCCCCAGTTTATTTCAGTGAAGAAGTGGGCGGAAGCATGGAGCCTCGTTATGGAGAGTCGGGTGGTTGGCTCGATTGTGGGGAAATTATCAAGCGCAATAACAAACAAACTCGGTGGAAAAAGGGGTTGAAATGATCGTTCGCATACAAGGGCGGATTAGAGCTTAACGGGATGACTGAAACGGAGGATAAATCCGTGAGGATATTTGCCGACTAGCTATTCCTTTTGGAGAGAGAGAGATGGAGAGAAAGGTGAGATATCAGATATCCAGTGTGGTGGTGTATATTATAGAGAGCAGACAATGTCGGCGGTTGGAGTGAAGTTGCGTCAATGAGGAACTGGATCAGGTAAGCGGTACCAGCTAACTAGCGTCCGTAATAATACCGTCCGGGTACAGTAGGCTCCTACAAAATGAGGACTTTTGTATCTGTATTTTATGTATGAGACCTCTAATTACCGGATTCCGGTCATATAACAATTCTATATTAATTACGAATATTTTTGCTACCCAAATGAGACTGCGCAATCAACAAGAAGGGAACGACTAGAGAGAGCTTAGACAGGCTATTGGATATATTACTGCGGACTTAGTGCCTATCTAATTTGTCTCTGTATTGATTGCAAAGAGAGTGAGAGAGATAAAACAAGCGACAATAATTACTCTGCAAGGTTAAAGAAGGTCATATGTAGAGACAATTAACAACACATCTTGGACTTCCTATAATGAAGTCCAATCTGCATGGAATTAATGATCAATGTTTGGTCCCGGAGGCAGTTGCCCAGTTTCTTTCCCATGAATGACCATGAGCAACCATTACTTTCGAGAGAGTTGAATATGTCCAATCGACGTCCATCGATGGAATGGGATCTTGGGTCTGCTGAGTCAAATTGGGCGGCCTCGGCCATGATACGGATGCTGTGTTAGAGATACCAATGGCAGATGATCGAAAACAGGATATTTATAGCTGATTGTAGGTACCCTGCGTGTCTGGCCAAATATTAAAACTCCAGTATATCGACTCTAGAACATCAATTTTTTTTAAAAAAAAAAAAAAAAAGGGCCGGCCCCGGGGGGGGGGGGGGGTTTAGGGGGAAGGGGAGTGGCGCGAGGTGTTGTGACGAAAACGCAAGAAGCATTTCATTCCGGAAAAGTGTGAACAAAACTTATAGGGGTAAAAGCTTCAAGGGGGAAGTAGGAGAAGTCCATTATAAGGGGTAGTAGGGAAGGGGAAGAGATGGGTATAATAGATTCCATGTTTTTGCGCAAAACAGCAGCCCACGCAGATACACAAACAAAGAGAAGCCAAGGCGCTGTCCTCATCCCTCAATCATATCGGTTTGGTAGATATTGATGTTTAGTACTCTGGCTCAATCTCCTCTTCCATTGAATCGCTGGCCACCTCCTCATAGTCGCGCTCCAATGCGGCCAGGTCCTCACGCGCCTCTGAGAACTCGCCTTCTTCCATACCCTCGCCTACGTACCAGTGGACAAATGCGCGCTTGGAGTACATCAGGTCGAACTTGTGCGAGAGCGCGGACCATGCTTCAGAAATGGCAGTTGTGTTGGACAACATGCATCTGTGGAGATGTTTTGTTAGTTCTGGGGTGTTCTGCTGGGGGTGAATATATATTTGAAGAGCAACTTACACAGCGCGGTTGACCTTGGCAAGGTCTCCATTGGGGACCATATGGGGAGGCTGGTAGCAGATACCAATCTTAAAGCCGGTGGGACACCAGTCAACAAATTGAATGGTGCGCTTCGTCTTCAAGGTCGCCACAGCAGCATGTACATCCTTGGGTACAACATCTCCACGGTACAGGAGACAGGTTGCCATGTATTTGCCATTCCGGGGATCGCACTTGACCATCTGGTTATTGGGTTCGAAGCAAGACATGGTCACTTCCATAACAGAGTTGGATTCGTGGGATGCTTTAGCCGCGGAGACAACTGGGGCGTAGGCAACCAGGGGGAAGTGTATGCGGGGATAGGGCACCAAATTGGTCTGGAACTCATTCAGGTCGACGTTGAGGGAGCCGTCAAATCGGAGTGAAGCCGTAATGGAAGAAACAACTACATCCATTTTCACAAGAAATTAGTTATGGAGGTTTGGCGGAGGAAAGGCGCGAAAATACTGTTTGGGGAAGTTACCTTGAGCTATCAGCCGGTTTAGATTTTCAAAACTTGGTCTCTCAATGCCTAGGTTCCGGCGACAGATGTCGTATATTGCCTCGTTATCCACCATGAAACTGCAATCCGAATGCTCCAAAGTCGTATGCGTTGTGAGTATCGAATTGTAAGGTTCGACGACCGACGTAGCATTCTGCGGGGCAGGGTAGACGCAAAACTCCAGTTTTGTTTTCTTGCCATAGTCTACAGACAGGCGCTCCATAAGAAGTGCACCAAAGCCGGACCCCGTTCCGCCTCCAAAGGAGTGGAAAACCAAAAATCCTTGGAGACCAGCGCAGTTGTCTGCCACGCGGCGAACCTTGTCAAGAACTTGGTCAATCATCTCCTTGCCTACGGTATAATGGCCACGAGCATAATTGTTCGATGCATCCTCCTTCCCAGTGATCATCTGTTCTGGATGGAAGAGGGCACGGTAGGGCCCGCTGCGGACTTCGTCGACGACATTTGGTTCAAGGTCACAGTAGATGGTTCGAGGGACATATTTTCCCTGGCCTAGGTACGGTACGGAATGACAAGGTCAGTTTCCAAAAACCGAAGCGATAAACCGAAATACATATAGATAGCTAGATTATTTTGAGAGAAAATCGCGAACCTGTTTCAGAGAAGAATGTGTTGAATCCGTGGTCTGGGTCGGCAGCTTTCCGTTCCTCAGTCAGGTATCCGTCGGGCTATTCAGATTTAAGTCGTATTAACCTTATATCCGAGTACGTAGACAGTGGCATGAGACAACAAACAAAGCCGCAATGGAAAGTAAACAGAGGACTTGATCAATATCAGCACATACCTGAATACCATGTTCCAGGCAATACAACTGCAAACATAAAAACAACATATCAGTGTCATTGGCGATCAAAATTTGCCAGTGTAATTGGAAGTTCTGAAGAAGGACATAAGATATATAGGCAGTGTTATCATACCTCCCAGCACGAATTTGCGATTTGACAACCCGCCTGGCCGACTGTTGTCGGGCATTCATTCGTCAGCAAGGGCCATATTTATATTTATATATATACTGGTGCATTCAATGTAGCAAAAAGAGGTGCCATACCATTTAAACTAACTACTTCTCTCATGGTGAATGGTGGTGTTGGAGGTTTCGGTAGCGGTCAAGATTGGGCGGAGAGTTGAGGCCCAACGGCAGAAGGGCACAGAAGCTCCGATATCAATCAAAACAGGAGCTGTCAGGGTAGGTTAAGAGACGCGTTCTCGTACTAAAACAATGATATGCATAAAGCATGGATGGGACGACATACCTGTCTGTCGAGTTGAAAGAACAAAGCAATCATGAATTGTGTTTGGAGATGGAGGCTGGTGACTTTTCAAACGTGAAGATGTTTTAGTGCCTGCAGGTTGCAACGGTAATGGACCATGTATCATGACATATCTTACAATCCCATTACCAGAGGGTATTTACATCATTCCCTTTGGCTGTAGCTACCAATTAGCGCCTAAGTCGCGCGGGAATCGCGCGCTAGCGTCGTTATGTTGTCCTCATTGGAAGAGATTAGTGCGCCAGAAGTAGATACAAAATAGGAACCGATCAGAAGATTTGAGTTTCACGTATTGTCATTTTGGTTCGCGGTCTGTATTTCAGTGGTACGCATCTTTTTAGTGTTGTTGATCTTGTTGGCCAGTCACGTGGCCCTCTAATCATTACCACCTGAAGTATTTCGGGAAGGAAGAACATCCAATAGACATGCAAAATATCTGTACTAGGGAAGTGGAGGTAGCGGGAGAAAGAGCATGCATTTTTATTATACGGAGCATGGAACAACCAAGAACATCACTGAGGCAAGCGGCTTGTTGCTGAAGACAACCTAAAGAACCTTTGCCTCACTCAGCATGATGAGTCAGCTCAATGAAAGCTGGAATCACATGACCTCTAATGGATATCCAAATATCAAGTGACCTTCATCCTGTGTCCCCATCGCCTGCCAACTTCCACGGAGATGGCAGCGAACTTCTATTATTTATCCAGGAATACTTGATGGTAGGGACATTGGAAGCTCGTTTTATTTTTTTGTGAGAATGAAATGGTCTTATCCCCTCTGTATGTCTTCATTTCTGCGTCTCTCCTGATATTTCTTTCATCCAATGCACACGTGGGTAAAACTTGGAACAAAATATCTCTTATTTTATCCATAGGTTCAAGAGGTCCATATGTTTGAAGGAAGGTAAGGTGTCCTTCCACACTTGGATATTGCCGTATTTGCATTCAGCTGTATGCGTGCTTTTCGAGTTGTCACATTCAAAGTAAAGTTGGCTTTGTATATTCATGCCAAATGAATTTAACGACATTTAGCTCCTAGACATACAATTTGACACTTTATTGTTAGAATGATCAATATAAGGAACATCGAATACTAATTTGTCTCTTACAGAGTCCCGAAATACGCACAATATCCGGGTATATAATAATGAATCTCTGGTCCACCCATAAACAACATACATCCAACTCTCAAGGATTGATATCTTCACCAGCTGATCACAGCTGTATCGCCAATTAGAGACATGAAATCATTGCTCTCTTTATCCCTTCTCCTTCTACCTAGCGTTGTGCTTGCAAACGTGGAGAAGGTTATTTTTACAGCACTCAAGCCCAGCCCTCTACTGTTACATCAATCGTTGTTTGATGACTTGGAGATAGAGAGGTTGTCCCCGCACAGGCCTTCAGTCAGAACATATCTCTCAGCTGCGTTCCCGTCCAAGGAGGCTCCTCTCGGGTTTGAAAGCTGGTTTTATCTTGATTCTTTAAAACCGGGCCAGCGATACGAGGTTCGCATTTGTTACCTCGCAACTGTAAGCTTTTTCTTCCCACGGAACCCAGCTATGATCTCCACAGCCCGAGTTCTCTCACGGCGCATCTTTAACAGCCACCTCGAATTTACACTCTTAACTTGACTCTGAAAATGTTGGAAGACTAAAGTAATGCTGAAAAAAAATTAAAACAAAGCAACCAACCTCCTTCACACTGACAACCCACGCTCTATCGGAAATCCTTGACTCCCCTTCCCTAATCTCCAGCTTAACCACCTTCGCCACATCTCATATTCCAACCCTCCTCCAACACATCTGCCAGAGACATGATAGTGACCGGCACGAATATGACAAGTCCAAATCTCAGTTCTTTACACTCCCGCCGAAACTTGGCCGTTCAGCTAGACGGTCTGGCACCAGGTCTTCCACCTCTTCTTTATTCCTGCAAGTACATGCCGCTGCGGAATACTTCACCCTTGACAAAGGACTGATGGAGGATGTACCCCTTGTGCATGTTGATGTTATTCTTGATCCATACGTGTTGAATGTCTTTCCCAAATCTCTTCTGCCTACGGCTGCGTATATTCTTATCCTTGCAGTGGCGGGCTGCGCTATATCCTGGCTTGTGTGGGCTGGTGTTGAGGGTGCGGTTAGTTTGGCCAAGACGAAGAGGGAAGGAGGCCTGACAGACGGCAACGAAGAAGACAAGGGTCACAGAAAGAAGCACATTTAATAGGCAACATTGGAAATTGGGGACTGGATACAGTAATAATGCTATTCCTATTCATTGCCCTGGATCTAGTCTTTGTTTACCGTGCTCCTTTGATTTCATGTTATTTTTCTTCCCATAGACAGACCTACAATCAAATGAGATCACTCCATTCTAGGTCTAACTGTTGAATTCCTTATCCGACGGTGGTACGGGGAAATAAGGCAAATAAAGACTGGCTTTCAGCTTGGTTGCTGACTTTGACAGCCATTGATGGGCAGGTTATTTGCCCCATCATTTTCCTGCTCTCTCTCATAGAGCCTTTTCAACACTCGAGAGTCGATAATATAAACTACGCCAAGTAAGACAGCCGAAACAGGCGGTTGGCAACTGGGATTGTTCATGTACTGTTAACTAACTAACGTAATTCCACACTGAGTGAGACACCCCAGCAAGTGAGACACCATTTTCAAAATATCATCTAATTTAACTACCCTTCCACTTCAATGCATAATTATGCCACCAATTTGCAATAAAAATTCTTCAAAATCTATTGAAAGGGAGGAGAGGCTTGAACTCACAATAAAATCTATTCAAAATGATAAAAAACTCTCAATTCATGAAGCTGCTCATCTATTTGATGTTTCATCTTCTACTCTTGATCATTGACTAAGTGGCAGACCTGCACAGGTGAATTTACACTCAAATTCATACAAATTAACTTAGACTGAAGAGAATAGGCTAGTTGAATGAGTGCTGAGCTATATTAAATAAGAATTTCCCTCTCAGCTGGCATTTGTTGAGAATATAACTAATTATCTTCTTATCTTACAGAGTTTCATCATCTCTATCACCTCTCTCTCTCAGTCAGCAAGAACTGGATTTCAAGACTGATTAAACATTGTATGAAGCTTCAAAGCTGTTATTTCAGATGCTATAATCATAAATAAGTCAAATGTGAAAATATTAAAGTTATACAGAATTGATTTAAGATCTTGAAGACTACAATTGCTGAGTATGAAATTCTATCAGAGAATATATACAACTTTGATGAGACTGACTTTGTCATGAGACTCTATGCCACTACTAAGATCATCACTAGTACTGAGCACTATGACTGGACAAAGCTCATACAGTCTGAGAATCATAAATGAGTGACTGTGATTAAGATAGTCAATGTGTCAAAATGAGTTCTATTCTCATATATCATTCTCAAAGAGCAGATTTTACAGAAAAGCTGGTTTGACAGACTTTCAGACAGCTGAAGACTTGATGTTAGCTCTAATAATTGAACTATAGATGAGATAAAAGTCAAATAACTTACTAGACTGTTTATTTTTGCTTTAAGTTCACACAGAGTTGATACTCATAGTCTTCTTATTCTAAATGAGTATGACAGTCATCTTATCTCAGAATTCAATCATATCTGCAAGAATAATGCTATTTTATATCTTTGCATGTCATCTCATTTATCACATCTCTTACAGTCACTAGATGTGAGTGTATTTGCAGTCTTAAAGTGAGCATATTGTAAAGGGTTAAGCTCTAAGAACTAGAGGCTAGTCCTCCTATATAACAAGGACGAATTGCTTGAGAAAGGGAAGAAAAGAATGAGATGAGAACTCGAGCTTAAGCGAGCTCGCGTAGCATGATCACGTGCGCACGTGCAAACGATGGCTAGGCTGAGTCAGCCAGCCAGAGCGAATCTAGGGGTTCAACCCCTTATACTGCAGTCTCTGAGTCTAGATTATGCTTAGAAGCATCACAGTGATGTATCAACTGCAATTTATCTAATCATAAAAGAACAAAATACTCTCAATCTAGTGTAAATTAATTTAATTTAATTAGAGATAAGTGAGTGTAAATATTTCAGATTAAAATCTAGTTAATTGAGATATAGTGATTTTAATATCTCATTCTCTGAAATATCTCACTCAGTATGAAATTACATTAATTAGTTAAACTAGTTAGTTAATCAAGCAGTTAGTTAATCAACAACAAAAATGCAAAATTGATATGTGAAATTATCAATATAACTTTCTATATAGAATCTTTTATCATTGTATTATCTCTACTTAAATTACTCATCTAATCAGAGATCTTTTTTCTATATTAATAGCTGTGTAATATCTGATGAATCAGAAATTAATAATTTATACTTAAAAATTGTATTTATATATTGAACTTTAATATATAATCTTTAAGAAAGAAAAAAAATACTAGATTATATGCATATTGACTATTAAAAAAAATTATAGAAAATTATAATAAACTAATAATTAACTAACTAGTTAGTTATAATTAGTTACTATAGTTAATGCAATTCCACACTGAGTGAGACACCTCAGTGAGCAAGACATCAAAATCATAATATCTCAACTAACTAGATTTTAATCTAAAATATCTACACTCATTTATCTCTAATTAAATTAAATTAAATTACACTAGATTGAGAGTATTTTGTTCTTTTATAATTAGATAAATTGCAGTTGATGCATCACTGTGATACTTCTGAGCATAATCTAAACTCAGAGACTTCAAACTCAGAAGATTGAATGATAGACTGTTCAACAGATGCAGCAGATGAAATAATAAAATTTTAAGTTTTCTGCTTAGTGAGACCCTCTACATATTGAATTTGATGTCTAAATTTAATCCACTTTTACTTCTTTATCTCATTCATGTTGAATATATTCTGATATTACTTCTTTGACACAAATCTTGATAATTTGATCAAAGTTTTTCACAAAGTCTTGAGACTGATCTTTCATTAAGTATTTGATCTTATTTATCTATTGATATAATTGCTGAGAATTTTTAAATGTTTAAAGTACTCAGAACATGATTAAATTGTTAGAGCTACTGTGCAAAAAAGTAGAAGTTCAGAGTTGAATATTCAGCTGCTGAAAAATATAGTCAAGTTGAAAGAGTATTATTTTAGTAACTTAGAAGACATTTTGAATAGTCTGCAGTTTGAAGACTTCAGTGTGCACTGCAAAATAAATTTCTAAAAAATCTATCTTCTGAATAGCATTAAATTCTAGTCATATTCACTTTTGAACTAAACCTTTATATGCTCACTTTAAGACTGCAAAAACACTCATATCTAGTAACTGTAAGAGATGTGATGAATGAAATAGCATGCAAAGACATATAATAACATTATTTTTGCAAATATAATTAAATTCTGAAATAAAATAATTGCTGTGCTTATTCAGAATAAAAAGATTATGAGTGTCAACTCTGCATGAATTTACAGCAGAAATAAATAGTCTAGTAAGTCATTTGACTTTTATCTCATTTATAGTTCAATCATTAAAATTAATATTAAGTCTTCAGCTGTCTGAGAGTCTGTCAAATTAGTCTTTCTGTAGAATCTGCTTTTTGAGAATAATGTATGAGAATAAGACTTATTCTGATGTATTGACTATCTCAATCACAGTCACTTATTCATGATTTTCAGATTGTAAAAGCTTTGCTTAATCATAATATTTAGTACTAGTGATGATCTTAGTAGTGATACAGAGTCTCATGACAAAGTCAGTCTTATCAGAGTTGTATATATTCTCTGACAGAATTTCATACTCAGCAATTGTAGTCTTCAAGATCTTAAATCAATTTTGTATAACTTTAATATCTTCACATTTGACTTATTCATGATTATAGCATCTGAAATAGCAGCTTTAAAGCTTTATACAGTGTTTAATCAGTTTTGAAATCCAGTTCTTGCTGACCTGAGAGGGAGAGGTGATAGAGATGATGAAATTCTGTAAGATAAGAAGATAATTAGTTATATTCTCAACAAATGCCAGCTGAGGGGGAAATTCTCATTTAACATGATTCAGCACTCATTCAACTAGCCTATTCTCTTCAGTCTGAGTCAATTTGTATGAATTTGAGTGTAAATTCACCTGTGCAGGTTTGTCACTTAGTCAATTATTAAGAGTAGAAGATGAAACATCAAATAGGTGAACAGCTTCATAAATTGAAAGTTTTTCATCATTTTGAATAGATTTTATTGTGAGTTCAAGCCTCTCCTCCCTCTCAATAGATTTTGAAGAATTTTTATTGCAAATTGGTGGCATAATTATGCATTGAAGTGGAAGAGTAGTTAAATTAAATAATATTTTAAAATGGTGTCTCACTTGCTGAGGTGTCTCACTCAGTGTGAAATTACATTAGTTAAATTAATTAGTTACATAATAAAATATTTTTTCCTCAGCAGTTAACTAATTTATAATTCAATTATATTCTTCTAACTCTTATTCAAACTCACATGGACAGAAATAGTTGCAGATTTTAGTTTATCTCATTAGTTAATCTGTATAAAAAGCTATATATAAGACATTATATTTTCATGATAAGAGGCTGTTATATGTGGCAATGACATCCTCAATTTATTTTGCAATATCATCATTCTTTTTTGCAACGTCATGATGGTTAATCATTTACTCATGAAGATGGTGGGTGTGATTCTACATTATTTTTATCATTCCACTGTTTTTATCGTTCCCGTGTTTCACACTCACTAATAGCTACCCTAAGTAGTTCGGGGTTGGAAGCAGCAGTACGAATTGCCTAGATGCACACCCACCCTTATGAGAGGCAGTCCTCAACTTCAGGAATCACTCAATCAATCATGTACTGGTAACAAGTGCAATCACCACTGTGAGTATCCCTCAGGTATTACTATTCATGGAAATTCCTGATCGGCCCACTGTGCCGTCTATGTGCATAACTCCTAATGCGGCTGACTCCTGAGATGCAAGTATGCCAAATAAACGTCCCCCCGGATTCCTAAGGTAAGCTGGCCAAGGTATAAAAATACGAGATTTCAGAAACTGAATGATAGATAGACATCATTTTAAAAATATTGGAAGCTTCATGCTTTTACATACCTTCACCAAGCCCTCATCTCTAATCAACCTCAACCTCATCACTGCTTCATTCCGTATGTTGTTATGCTATTAGCCTTATGAGACTGCAATGGCCCTATTCCGGTTGAAAATTTGGCTGAAACAAACTGGTGAACACCGCGAGAATCAATTCTTTCACGTCGTCAACTTATAACTATCTGATTGGACGAATCTTGAAATGACTCCTGCACTCCGCTCGTATTCTATTTTTATATTCACAGATCAGCTTCAAGCCTTCAACCGATTCTTCACTTCCCCAGACGAGGCAGTTTGAATGGTATATCTGAATCAGGTTTACGTGTTTCAATCTGCTGTCCCCAGAGTCCAGCCACCGCCGCGTGGAGCTCACTGCTGGTTCCCGAAGTGATTTGATTTGATTTGACTGTCATGGACTGCCTCTGTGAGCGACTCAGCACTGGCCCAATTGGGACATCCTCAACCAGCCGCATCGTATATCGACAGCCTGTTGGTCTTTTTAGGAATGGCGAGCCCAATCCTGTTTGCCAGATGGCTAAGTTTGTTTTAACTCCCACAAGACCATGAAGCAGCCCGTATTTACATTCAGTCTATCACTGGATGGATGGTCGGATCGAACCCCGATCCAATGTTCTGGTCAAGCATATGTCGTATCTTGACCCCTTAGATACAACTATAAATACCTCTGGCGTCCCTTTAATCATTTCGTTGCTTTGCTTTGCCTGGCTCACCCTTGAAACAGACAAGATATACACATCGTTTAAAATTCAGCCTCTATTGCTCTTCTTTAAATTTGGCATCAATATCAAGTTATCTCCAGCAATTCCATAAATTCTATTTGCGACCGATCAACGGTATCACAAACATGGCCCCTTTCCTTAAAACGGCTTCCCTCGCCGTCCTCGCCCTCCTCACCGCATCCGCAACCGTATCCGCAAACCCTGCGCCAGCAACGAATGTTGGTCGTCGGTACCAATCCTGCGGCGGTCATGTCGTGAGACCCAAACCTTGCCCTCTCGGCTACATTTGCATTGATGACCCGCGCGTACCTGGTTGCGGCATGGCGTGCGATAGACCGGGAATTTGTGTCAGGTCAGAGTTCTGCGGCGGCATTGCGGGTATTCCGTGCCCGCAGGGGAAGATATGTTACGATAACCCGACTGATGACTGTGATCCTAAGAAGGGTGGGGCGGATTGCGGCGGGATCTGCGTGTGAGCGGTGATTAAGGTGGGTGGACTTTGGTGGAAAGGCAGGTTTTGGGATCTGAAGACGGGGAGCGACTAGGCATCGGAATACAGATGGAAGTAGAGCAGAATTAGAAAATAGTTGTTGCGTGATTTTGCCTTATCCCTTGCGACTAAGGTTGGTAGACCTTGGGCAATAATAACGGAGAGGGTCAGTGTCTTCCTTTTCAAATACAGTGTGGCGTTAGCAGCTGATAAACCCGTCAGCTGAACAACCATTTGACAATTTATCAACTTTTAAATGGATGATAGACCTTTACAGAATGTAAAGCTGCTACATTGTGATTTTTTTTATTTGGTGGTATTGTTGGAGCGACAACAGCCTCCACGTTCAGGAATAAATTCCACCTCCTTGGGAGACACCCAATTGCACATAATATAATAACTGACCAAACTTCAATGCAAAATGAGAGATATTGTAATTGTAGATGCATAGACATACAGCACAACAGTCTCTATATTCTGCTGTCAGGAATTCATCATAGATCATTAAATTTATTGTTGATGCTCACAAGTCATTAAAACTTGTAGGCTTAAATAAATAAAACATCCACAAGAAAATACATTTCCATTTCCCATTCCCATTTCCTAGTACCAGGTCTCTAAAGAACATTACAACAACAACAAAAAAAAAATTTGAGAGAGAGAGAGAGAGAATAAAGAACCAAAACATATGCTCCCCTCTACCGCGTACCCAATCATCCAAACACAGCCTTCGTCTCCAACGGATCCGATCTCCTATTCCCCTTTCCCTCCGTTGTCAACCCTAATCCACTCCTCTTGACCATCCGGTCGCTCTGCCCTACATGCCTTGCCACAAAACGCGACGCCTTCCGTAACCGTATCTCTCTCCGGACCTGATTAGGACTAACGAACTCCTTGTTCTCATATATGACAGGCCCGCCAAAGCTTCCTTCCAATATCACGATGGGCGTCAGCACGAAGCGCGGGCCTATCTCCACGAGGCTAATAATATCCAGCGGACCGCCCTTGTCAGCTCGCTTGGGTTTCGCTTTAAGCTTCTTTTCGTCTTCATTAGCATCAGTGGCCTCGCCGTCATCCTTCGCTTTTGCGCCTACTGTTCCCTCCGACTCTCGAATCTCAAATACCCGGATCCATATCTTCCCGTCGACCCCAAACACGCCAATAATCCGGTCGACAAAGGGTTTCATTCCCCGTACTCCGCGCTTCGGCACGCTAAATACACCCCTCAACATCTCTCTCACAAGCCCTCTGTACTCATTCCCACTCCGCATCACCGTTGGCTCGTCGAATGATTTGTCGAACACAACCACCCCGCGCCCACCCTTGAGACAGTTACCCGCAAAGCCTACACCCATTTCGCCCATCGTGTGTAAGCTGCTTACGGAGAATTTTATTGTGGGGCCGTTGGGCGGCCGTGAGAGCCAGAGGTATAAATCATGTCCGCGCTTTTTGGCTTCCAGGAAGAAGATCATGTTGCACGAGTGTAGATCAGCAAGGGAATTAAGGAGGAAGTTATAGCCAGCGGTTTTCTTTTTGGTGTCGAGTTTGTTTTCCTTGTGTGTATGAGGGAGGAGGGAGGTGAGGTCGGAGAGGAGATGCCGGTGTCTGTGGCATATATCTAGATTAGATATATAGGTATTGTGTATTATTTGTGCCACGCGTTTGATGTCGTAATTTGGGCATATCTCCAGTCGCATGACAGAGACAAGGAAATTTCGAATATTATTAGACATATATATCGAGATAAATTTGCACATACCGATGTGTAACCCCCCTCGATGTCAACATCAGCACACGAGTCTTCCGCATGTATCCTAACGATTGCGTTTGCGAAATACTATTTGCTATCTCACCATCCGCGGTATTTTCTTGCTCATCTTGCCCCTCCTCTTCTTGCTCGTAATCATCGCTATCACTTGTCTCGTCCGGGTCATCCAGCAGATCGTTCATGGAGACATCTGAATCCTCCGCATTCCCTCTGACAGCTGACTGATTTTTTTTCCTACTCCTTTTTGAGAGGGATTTATGTACGGATGCCATTGCTAGGTAAATGATGGGGCCTATAGATTAAATGAAAGAAAGGGATTGAGGTAGATATAAAAAGTAATAAGTGGGATTCGAAAGTTTTTAAATCTGATATTTTTTCCGGCAGAATGTTTTCAAAGGCGGTTCTGGCACTCACCGCCTTTTGGATCTGCTTTCACCTGCAGACGCTATTCGCACAGGCAAGTGGCCACCAAAAGTTGTTTGGAAGATCATGCCCGGAATGATAGACATGTTCAGGCCTGAAAATATCTGAAACTTAAGGCAAAGATGCCTGAAGTCTTCAGTTAACGGTTGAACTATTAATAGTGGGCTGAAGCCTGAAACTTGGGTTAAGATAACAATATGACTTCGATACCTCGTAAGCTATAGTTATTAGTCCACATGATATTCCGCTCTAGATGCACCTTACTGTGGCAGGTTTGTACGGGTACTGTGTGAACGGTATTGTCATCCGCACAAATCTTATAGCAGAAGAAATATACGCTGCAAAGATTAGAATTCAGCCGTACAGTAAGATAATAAGATGATGGCTTTAGATTCACGTTGTTATGTTTCTGGAAGTAGTAAAAACGGTTTGAGAGTATTCATACCATTTTATCCGAGAGGAAAGGCGCTGTCATCACCAAACCATCGTCTCTGACAAACCATTCTTGATAGATGAAAAAGGACGAAACTAAAGAAAACAACAGCAGAATTACCAAACAAAAGCAAAAAAATAAAAATAAAAAAGTCATCCAGTCATTAAAGGCCATATAGATGGAGGTTATTGCATATGTGGAAACAAAAATAGGGTTTGTATTTCGTGACCAACAAGTGAAAACCAAGGAATAAAGAAAGTAAAACGAAGGAAGATAAAACAAAATGTTGCGTTTGCATCGCGTTGCGCTGCATGACGTTATATAATATATAGCTCCCGAATACCTCTTTCCAAACCCGACCAACCTCACCTGTCATACCCACCGCCGTAGTGTGGGGGATACCGCGTTCCGCCACCAACACTACCTTGCCGGTGCATGTAATGATCACCATGATACCCTGAACTAGTCATGCTCATTCGAGTGTCATAACCGTAATCCGGCTGGCTCCCATACGTGTTGTGATTTTGCGGCGGTGGGCCCATGTCCCGATGATACATGTCTTGCAGCGGGTACGGGGGCTGGTGGCGTGAAATACCTGCTGATGGCGAATGGGAGTTCGGGGCAGAACCTGCTCCTGGCCCTGGGTAGTGGGAGGGATACGGGCCCATAGAAGCGTGTGTGGTATAGTGGGACGCTGCGTTTGAGGGGTAGTTTCTTGGGGGTGTCGCTCGGCCCCGTCGTGAGCTGTGAGATTGACGTGGGCCGCCTCGGTGGGGAATGGGGAAGAGAGGTGGTGCATTTGGATCGGGGTGGATGATTGTGATGGGGTTATCTTCAGGTGGGTGGTTCTGCATCGACCTCTGTGAGTACTGGACAGATTGCATGGGCTTTGTTAATAACTGGTTGTTTGAGTGTTGTACACTGCTGTGGTCATGAGTCTGATTATATTGATACTGGTTATCTACGTTTGGTCGAAGTCCGGCTGCTTGGTCTAGACTGTATTGCTGCTGCGACTGAATACCCCTGTCCGAACGATAGGCAGATGAAGAATCCTGCTGTGTGCGGTAGGATGAAATAGAATGAGGGATTACATCTTGCATCCCTTGATCTATTTGATTGCTCTGATGGTACTGGCTTGATCCAGTGGTGTATGGGGAATTCAGTTGACCACCAGCAGTGGGATAACCCAGCTGACTCTGCTCGGGCTACGGCAACATTAGTACAAGTTATCCGCTGATTTTATAAATGAGAAAGTTTAATATTTACCGTTTGTTGACCCGATTGACCCGACTGGCTTTCACATCTGGGTTGGCCACCCATGCGGTGTGCAAGATCCGAAGCAACTTGGCTCAGGATGCCTTGACTGGGCGAATGGGATTGCGGATTTGCCGTGACCCCGATCGGAGTGCTCTGTGTCTCCATACGTGGGGTTTGCCGGTATTCTTGCCCCGATTGGGGTGTTGTCTGTGAACTGTCATATGGCGAATCCTTTAAAGTATGCGTATGTCAATAAGATATCCCAAACTCCATTTTCCTCATCAAAAGGAAAGGAAAGGTAAATTTTCAAAAACATACAGGATAACTTTCGCCTGAATGCCTCAGATTTCCTCCACGAAGGTTCATCAGTTCCCTTGTTGCCTCGGAAGTATCTTGTACTGGCAAACTGCCCATTCGAGGTGGGTGGAAAGGTCCCGGGCTCGCTACAGACTGGGGAGTTGAAGAAGGGGTCGGGATAAAAGGCTCTGTGGGGATTTCCCACTGTGTTGAACCTGTTGGGCGCTGTACATAGTACCATTTTCTGGAGAAACCGTCCCACTGTGCAAGCCTTTACTTGCGCAAGGATGGATTCGATACCGTTAGCATAGAGCTCCCAACAAAATGACCATGGATGATAATGCAAGAAGATTGTACACACCAGCCCTCTGGCAGAGTGGGTGGTGGGGAGGATGGCCCGCCGCTATCTGCGGGGGTCAGAATGAGTGATGACTGTCCGCTCATATCTGAACAGAGGTAGGTCTGTGGGTCTATAAAGCTGTTCTCGCTATATGTTCTGGGACTTCAAGTCAATAAAAATTCGATAATTAATCGTAGCGTTAAAAAGCTACTGGTCGATGAAATAAGTCTCTTGTAGGACTTGGTCTTTGCAATCCAACAGTGGAGGGCCCGGGCAGCAAAATCAAACCAGATCATCAGCAGCTGGCTATCAAGAATGGAGAATGGAGTAGGGTCATGCCACGACAGTAAAATACCTGCATGAAATTTTTCTCCGACAGCACACCAGAGTACAGCATATTGGGACGGACATAAGAGTTGCCAGGAATGAGGAAGGAAAGAATATCGAGGGGTTGGGAAGGTAATACAATAAATATCTTGAGATAGGATAAACGTACGATTTGGAATTGTAACGGGCAGGCAGCTATGCAAGTTTGCACTATACCTAATTACCTAGGCAGTCAGTTTCGCTGCTGGGCATGGAGAAACCAAGACAAGATTGCTTCAGGGAGCTAACATAGCCAACCCGTTTGGAAGCAAGAAGGCGGATTACATACGGTGAGTATTTGGTTAAATGTCAGGATCTATTTAGGCTCTAACCCTCACCTGTTTAACAAACACTTTCCAACTTTGCACACGGCAAACTGGTGGGATAAAATACCAAAGACGACAAGAGATACAGCACAATTAGTTGCAAATAATCGCTAGATGGCCAACCTATTTAGGAACTGGGAGACAGTCTCGGGATAGAGGGTAGGATAGCAGGAAGGGCAGAGATAAGCGGAGGAGAGGATCGAAATGAGAGAATGGAATCTATCCTGTTGAACAGGATGGTCAGATATAACCAGCGCCGTCACATCCAATAGCGGGCCGACTGTGATGCAGTCGAGAATGTCTCTGAGCAGCAGCAGTGGGGGGATGATGATAAATGTTGGGAGACAGTCCGTTTCTGCCCAATTTTAGGTGGTTTGAGAGAACTTGGGGTCAGGCAGCCAGCTAGCCAGTAACTAACTGACTAGTTAAGTTAACTATTGGCTAGTTCGACTATCTGGGGGGTGGGTGAGAGATAAGAGAGGTTGGCTGAACCTACTTCGAAGTGCAGCAGCCATATTTATCTGACTGGCTCTTTGCAAGACAGGAGGTACATATGGCTATTGATTCTAGAATAAATGAATGAATGAATTGATTTTATCCATCTAAATACTACCCTCATTGCTGTCCCTGTCTCTAGTAGTTAACTCTCTAGAGCTGGATTGACTAATTCTATTTGGCATTTAAATGTTAGTTGTAACTACTTGATGTTCTATGTATACATTTGATGTATACAGCCTTTTTAAGTTAACCTCCCGAAACTTAGTTTCTCTGTGTGGGCCCGGTGGGTAAATTATACATTCCAGTTGCATATTTGTACATATATTACCCCCAGACCCCAAACATGTATACATAGTAGTAGTAGTAGTAGTAGTAGTAGTAGTAGTAGTAGTAGTAGTAGTAGTAGTAGTAGTAGTAGTAGTAGTAGTAGTAGTAGTAGTAGTAGTAGTAGTAGTAGTAGTAGTAGTAGTAGTAGTAGTAGTAGTAGTAGTAGTAGTAGTAGTAGAAGAAGAAGAAGAAGAAGAAGAAGAAGAAGTAGCAGCAGCAGTTATTGTCTTGAATTGATTTTGCCTCTCAAGAAACTGAGTAATCTATCATTCACTGGCAAGAAAACCCTGCCCTGTTTAGACGGGTGTTGCAAAGACAGATGTTGGGTGTTTAGGGTATTCTATAGGATTTGGAAAACTCTTAAAAGGGCGAGTTGTCCTGAACAAATCATCTCCATTGTTCTTTGGATATGTGGTTATACACGAAAAATATCGTAACGATGCCTCAGGGTCCTTATCCCATCCATGGAACAAAGACGCCAGTGCGGTATTAAACATAAAAGAGCTTTAGGATCCCACCCATATAGCGCCTGACAGAGAAAGCAATCCCTTTATCCATCCTGTCTATTGCCCTGAATCATTTTGTCGTATTTCCCATATTGATACAAAGAAAAATCATGAAAAACAACATATGATACAAAAGATTGTGAAAAAAGCCGATCCCCTTAGACCATCGCAAGAGGACGTATCGAATAGTTGAGTCCGTGTTACCATGCATACCCATCCACGTCCTCGGGGTCAAGACCACTCCAGTCTTCATCACCACTGGCCTCTTCGTCCTCAAAGTTGTCGTTTGTCAGAATATAGTCAGCAGGCCGTAAATTGTCTACTCGAATCTCCACAATGTCACACATGCCCTGAATAAACTCTGGCTTATCCCCTGGACCAGACTCGACGGCATAGCCATTTGCGTGGTTGCTATATCTAACCTCTGTTGGCCGATCGTCGTCACTGATCTCTATTGATGACCTTTGATGGGCAAGGCGCATGCTATGACGCTGCACTGGATGGCCATGTGCTCCTTTGTTTGTACTTGCGGAAGATCCTGCAGCGCAGCCACTAACGTGATTATCCACGTTTATTCCGTTTGGCATTGATTTGAAGTTTGGATTCGGTGGTGGTGAATGTCTCCTGTATGTTCTCTCCAGTTTGCTCACCCATTCCTTGCGAAAATTCGCCCGATCACGCCAACCGACCTCAAGGATTGCTGACAAGATAAGGACTCTCAAATTCGGCAAATTTGGCGCTGAATGTATCAGTTTGTTGAAAAATAGCACGGCAGTGGATAACTCCCATTTTCGCAAGCGCTCTAGTTTCAGGATCTGCAATGATGAAGGCCAGGAGGGGACTTCGGAGTCGTGAAAGAGCTCATCAAAGTAGGGATCGACGTCATGGGTAAAGGAGTTTGGCGAAGTAAAATTCAAATCCAGAGTAAATTCTTGTAGATTTGGGCACGACGTGGCTAGGTCGACTGTGAAGGACATATTAAGGCATCGGTTATGTTCAAGAACCAAGGTACGAAGGCCTTGGCCACCACGGATAAGAAAAGAGGCAAGATTTGCCGACGTCACATTACCGCAGTTGATCAGTTTTAGCGCCTGGAGATTAAGATTGAAGCATGATAGGAAATCATCGTCAACGTTCCAGCATCTATCCAATTCAAGCTCCTGCAGATTTGGTAACAAAGCAAGGGCAGATGCTAACAGTTCGCCAGGCTTAGGTTCATTTTCATCCGCGGGGTTTGTAGCTCTAGCCTCACCCGTTGATGGGAACAGTGGGAAGTTAACCAGTTGTAAACTGCGTAAGCTGGAAAAAGCTGGACGGCTGTGAACTGCTGATAGGCTCCGCGGCTGGAAATGCGGTAATAGTAGAAGAGATTCTCCATTCCATGCCCAACTTCGAAGACGAATATTGTTCTCATCAAGAGCATCAAGGAATTTTCCCAAGGGATGAGGACGATACTTAACTGTTGGAAGAGGGTACATAGCAATCGGGGTGGCGCCATGGAGCCTTAGATGCTGCAGCTGTGGAGTGAGGGAAACCAATTGCTCGAGATCTAAATGCCGGATGAGGTGATGGCGCAAGGGAATATCGAGTCTTTTTATCTTGTTTCGATAATTTGTGAATAGTGTCTCTTGTGGCCGTTCAAGGAGGTGTAATAAACCTGTTAGTCTCGAGACAGGAAAAAGCGGTGGTGAATAGTAAAGTCCCGTAATGGCAGGTTCAAAGAATTCACGACACAGGCATGCTGTATTTAGCAGCCAGCGAACGGATTTATTAACGTCTGACAACGACTTAGCGCTCGAAGAAAGGAAGGAATAATAGAAAATATCAACAAGAATATGGTAAGGGAGTTGCTGCCAGGGTAGAATCACGCCCGCTGGGGTAGAATGCGCCGCATCAGCCTCAGCTTGCCGCTTCTGTTTCTTGGGTGACGGAGATTTGGTGAGCCTCTGAGATTTTCTAAAAGACGGAGAGCCTTTCACACGGGTACTACAAGCTCGCGTAACCTTCGCAGAGAAAGCTGGTTCTCTCGAGGGCTCCAAAGAAACATTGGCTGGAGGCTCAGAAATATGAACTGACGGGTCTGCCCGGTGGGTTAGGGGCCGGCGGCGATGGAAAGGGTTTAATACGCTTGAGCCAGCCGAACCGTAGATATGGGTATCATCGAGATAAGAGAAATCGTCATCAGAGCTGTCTTCACGGTAGGTCCTTACCCGTTTTCGGCTTGAGCGAAATGGTCGAGAAGAAGGATGATGAGGGCCTAAGGGTAGTGGGCGGAGTGTGGGAGCCATGCACACAAGAAGTTGATGAAGTTAGCTCATTAATTACGTGAAAGGATAAGAGAGAAACAGATAAAAAGAAAGAGCTGGAAAGTATGGTTGGATTTTGTGGGTTTTAAGAAGCGGAGACATCGAATACAACGGCAGCAGGATGAAGTGTAGCTAATAACTGGCTGACAGACTTGGGAAGTGTTCAGAAGGATATGAAAAGTCGATGGAACTGAGATTGTGTGGTTAAATCATAGCTGGGACGGCAGAGATAAGTCTGAATGTCGTCGCTTATCGCTTAATTAGCGCTTACACCATAACTGGTTAACTAGTTATAACTAACTAACTTTAGTTAACTAGTTCAACCACCTCGGATCTTGGCGCTTGGAGATAGGCGTAACCTGAATAGGACAAGTGTCTACGCCACGTGAACATTGACCTTTAAATCTGACTAATCAATGTCTAAATTTAGCCTTAACCCCAAACCTTCCAACGCTAGCCCTGGAGGTTATTACGTGCCTCTCCTTTTCGATTTTGGATTACCTGGTTTGCCTCCTTACCGAATGACTCTCTATGCCATGAGAATTCCCTCGCTACCAGTTTTCAATTGGCGCCCTTTCTCGGGCAGTATCTTCGAAACATCAATTGCCGTAGTTTGAAGTGTTGTGCAGAGGAGATGCTTATGTTTGTGATGCTGTTTCGCTCTCCCACAATCTTGCTTCTTGTTGCCTGTTTACTTGAAACCTCTTTACTTCTATAGCCCGCCAGGTGCCGTCGCGTTGAGTACCATCACCTCCTATCTCAAATAAAGTTATTCAACGCATTTATCCACACCCAGTTGTGCCTAAATGGAGTCTTCTTTTGCCAGTTTGGGGTCGCAGAGTGATGTTACTCAGAATAGTTTAGCAAATGACCGTCTTATTATACAACAATATGCTAAATACACTTCGACGAATGAACCTCGTGTGCAAAGCATCTCTCCCCGTGGAAACTCTCAAAAAAATAACAGGATGGATCACGCAATGTCTCCACCTAGTGTTAGAAGAGGGACGCCGCGCAGAATTCAACTATCTCCTAGAGATTGCCGTTTGGGAATTAATCGAACTCCGGGATCTCAATATGCGGCATCTATATCCCCTGCTTTTTCTATAACATCTTCGGACAGACATGGGGAAGGTAGAGAGCTGGCAGAAACTCGCTCGCTGCCTTCCCCGGATATTACTGATGCAACAATGGGCGATGCTTATGCTGCCTTTATTCTTTATTGCAACCCATACGTACCGAGCGGAACTGATACGACTGAATTACGTAGGATATTTCGCATGCCACCACGGAGCGAGGGCAAAAGCTTTAGTATATTTACCCTATGGCAACTCATTCAAAAGCTCGATCGTAAAGAGCTAAAAACTTGGATTCAATTAGCGATGGAGCTGGGGGTTGAACCTCCATCAATGGAGAAGAAGCAGAGCACTCAGAAAGTTCAACAATATGCTGTGCGATTGAAGGTATGTTGGGCTCCCTTCTGTTGCTAAAACACAGCAGATACGGATTCTAATATCACCCTAGCGTTGGATGCGCGCAATGCACGTAGATGCATTTTTTGAATACTGTCTGGGACACCAACACATTTACTACACCCAATTAACTTCTACTGACTCGAGTGCGGAAAGTCGGGATGGTGTGCCGCGAGACGAAGACCTGGCTCTGAGAGCTCTTTTCCCCCAATGGAAACCCAAAAAGGGAAGAAAGAGAGCTGAAGCAAAGGAATTTGATGACTCAAAGACATCTAAGCGACCTCATTTTGATATTCCCGGCGTTGGGCCAGAAGATAACGCTTTGAGTTACAATCAGGAAACATTTCTTCACTCAGCTATGCAACGCTCTGCAATTCCATGGAGTGCTTTTCCAGACGACTTGGAGCAACATGACCCATTTGCATCTCACTCTGCGCTTGGGACAGAGCCGAGTAAGACAGGCAACCATTTGAACCAACACCGAATGATCTCTCGAGACGTTTATTCTCGCTGGCGTTCGCCAGGACGGGAGGTGTTTTCAGCACTGCATTACCCGCAGTCAGCTATTACGCCACGCTATCGTGATTCGGAGGCCATAATGTCAATTGAACCCCGATCCGCCATTACTTCCTCATCAGCTGATCGAGCAAATAACAAACGACGTCGTGGCCCGGCTGTTTCTTCGGCCTGGTCTACGAGTGGTAATTTATCAAACACTAAGATGAGAGGTCGCCCGGGAGGGAATCGAACAACCCAAAACGGACCATTTTCGACTTTCCCAGTTCAATCAGCATGTAAAGAAATTGAGGCGCCCGAAACAAACACTGAGCATACAGGACGGAGCCACTCCGGGCTGACGCAAAAGACCGTATCGAGTAATGCATCCGGCAAAGCTTCAGATGCATCTACATTGGCTCCTACTTTCCAACCACTCAATACAAGGCCCGCCAGGTTGCAATTACAAGTCCCCCAGAATCTCGGAGATCCAGTACGATTGGCGACACCCCCGACGGTACTAGTAAATGGAACGAGTAGAAATTCTCCATTAGCTGGAGGGCCTGCTCGTCAGCAGACGAATGAAATAGAGAGTAACCTGCTCCCATTCCTTGCGTACGGCCAACAGCATGACTTGTCTGGAGCTGGTTTTACTCTTGATGATGTTGCTCATGCATTTTCGCTTAACATACACCAAGGCAGACTCCTGAACCGTGAACTACCCCTTAGCTTGGAGGAATCGAGAAGTATTGCTGACATGGCCATTAAACAAGTTAAGACCATGTGCTCACCCGGACTACCCCTGAGTGTAACTACAGTTTACTGCGCTGCATGCCTTGGAGTGGGATACAAGCTTGGCTTGGGAGGCTATCCTCCAGGACAACTCGTTGTGAAGGTTTGCTACGATAGCTTGGGCACCAAACACCAAGGCCGAGCGTCGACACCGCAACCACTTACGACGAGAACAGTAGCTCGATATAGTCTCAGCTACGATTTCATCCCAGCAAACTTGCTTACTGTGCACGCAACTATTGCTGTGGACCAGAATCAGGAATCGTCAAGTGCCTACTCAGGGATGGGCCGTGTGGCAGAGGATTATGATTCGGAGGATAATATCTTAAATGAGTCCGAGTCCGCAGCCGTATGGAAACAAAGATACTTAAATATACGGAAGCAAAACCGAAAGAAAGATCTGGCGCTGGGCAAGTATAAGAAGAAAATTCTTGAGGCTGTCATGGAGGATATTTAGGTTAGCAGATTTGATCCTGACATGGTGCCCGAGACTGCAATTTTTACCTTTTTCTTTTGTCTTTCTTGTGGGATGATGATTGAAACTGGACCTACCAATCTTCACCTGAATTTGTGATGCCAGCGTTTGATCAAATACCCTTGATTAAACATGATCCCCAAACTATTGCTTTATGTTTGAGATTTTGCTCTCTCTTCCGTGCCGCTGCATCCATTTTACCGTTGCATTTTGAATGAAATCTATACCCCTTTCTTTTTGCCATTTATATACTTCGGACTTTGTTTTATACACCTGACTGCTTTTCGATGATAAGTCATGACTGGAAGTCTACATTTCCGTTTTCACTGCTTGGAGTTCGTTGGCACCTTGGCTCTTTCAAGCTCGATATATTAGCCTAGATCTTCTTACTGGATATTCATTTATTTCCCTTTTATATAGCACTATAAACCATGGGGAGATATCAGGCTTCTGGATTTGTTTCCGACACTCCCGCACTGTCTACAAATAAATATTTAGGTATGCAAACTCCTTATTCATTTATTCCTGCGGCATTTAAAGCTATTCTTCAGGATAACCAGTTCAAGCACCAGATCGAATATACCAACTTTCCCCATTCTGTTCCAGTATTAATTCCAAGTGTTCCTTTGATCTTCCCTTACAGTTTAACTTTCCAGATGTCTCACCATGTCTGTACTACTGCATATTGCTTCAAATCTCTGCATCTCCAGCCTCCAGGATGCCCAGTTCCCTATCCTCGGGACCTTTAAAGCCGACCTCGTTGCCTCCATGCGCAAAACTCCCACCCCCACCAGAACCACGAGAAGCGGGCCCTTTGGGCAAGGCGTTTATCCCGCAAAACTCATTGTACAAGCATCCCTGTTCGTGGTCGAAATTGATCTCTGCAAGCCCAGACCCTTCAGATAAAACTGGGTCATTGGAGGACTTCATCGCAACTTCTGCCCCCTCCACACAGAAGACATTAGCATCAACGCTTTCGCATTTTATAGGCCCCTTGCTGGGAACTGCATTGCCTGAATCGGTGTCATCGATTTTGACTTTCTTCCCAGTGTTGTTTGCCTTGATAGAGGTCTTATGCTTGCGGGTGAATGATGTTTTTGTTCCTGACGCGATAGTTGGCCTGGAGGGAGTTTTAGGAGTGGATTTTTTCGGAGTTGCCCCATTGCTGCTGGCTTCATGTAGAGAGGGCCCGTCAGTGCCAGACGCTGGGCCACCGTTTGGATTGATACCATTGGCTTTCATCAAGCGTTCATAGCGCTTCGCTCTATATGTGGATGGTTAGGGTTTTATTGCGTCAAGGAGATCGTAGCTTAGTGATGGTGGAATGTGATTCGATGATAATGGGGTGGTGGTATCAGTCTATATCATTCGGTGGGATGCGCATTGTATGACACAGTATAGGGCAATGTACAAGATGGCATTGTTTTGTCTGTGCTTGGATATAACTTACGCTGCGCCCTTAGAGACGATATTACACTCTGCAGCCACTTCGGCGAAATCCACCTGGATTTCGGTATTGTTGAGTTCAGAATGAAAAATTATGAGGCCGCATAATATGTGGAGCGCATGGAGCATACCTTTCCATTGCTTGAGTGTTTGACACATTTCAGCAAGAAATTAAGCTGCTCGTCGCTGCTTACGCGTGACATTTTGGATATGCTGCTTCTCTGTGAGACTCTCTGAAGATTGGGGGAGAAGAATCGAGGTATTTTAGTGTGCAAGTTTGAACAACTATTCTATGGGTAAAAATAGTGAGTGAGGGGAATTGGATTGCCAAAGTGTTCTTAGATCAGGAGCAATGCTGACAAGAGATAAGAATATACCAGGGAATTGAAGCAGACATAACCCTCTATGTTCTGTTCTCAACACTGAGAAACAAACAAGGTGACTTGTGAAACAGATGGATTTATGAGCATTTCTTGCTATGTATGAGGTGATCTGCAAGTGAGAATGATGGACACTCAAGATGAAGATGAAGAAAGGGGTGCGGTAAGATAGGAGTTTGATGTGACTGATAGAGAAGTTTTGTGTCAAAGAGAATATGAAAGATGTCAAATGCAAGATATGAAAGAGATTAGAGATTGATGAACTGCAAACTGCAAACAATGAAGAAAATATATGGACAAGCAGATGCTGAATGAAAGCAATAACAAATATAACAATTCAGATGTGATAATGGCCTTAACATCAGAAGAGATAACACAGGTAATTTTGCAGTTTAGAGATGAAATTCACATTCAAAACCACTTCAATTGAACTGTTAGCAACACAGAATACTCATCACGTCAATTATTTGAAGCAGATCTTGATAACGCCGTCTGATTAACTACTATTTTTATCTAGAACCATTGAGGAATTTTCTAACATTGGAATTTACATAGACCATGAACGAAGAGTTGACAATAAAGAGGTTGCATCCTCATCATAATCCTACCGGCATAGCCACCTTTCCCCCCTTCCAACCTCCCTGATCGAAACAAATACGGAAGAATGCAATATTGAGAGAAAGGAGAATCCGCGCAACGACACTGTGAATTGAAATTCAATAGATAAGATGGGGCAGATCTTGTCGAGAATACAGGAAATAGACCGCAGGTGTTTAGAGCAAAGAACCTCTCCCTTGAACCACTGAAAGATTGATAAAAACTACCTGGATCTCTAGCCAAACAACATCCGATTTCCCATGAATTTCGCCATTAGTCGCTTGAGCTAATAACTTTTTGTATTCGAGGGGCATGTGAGAAAAGGCCTAGGAAGTGTCAGTTATACAGCAACTGAGTTAGATGAAAATAGATGACATGTAACGGACCTGGCAACATTAATCCATAAGCGCAATAGATCATGAGACATTTTCAGTGACCTGAGCGCTCACTTCTTCATCCTTGATAATGGCAGTGGAATCAACTACTATATCATCCACAGTGACAGGAGCCTTGGGTTTACGGGGTTGTTTTGCGCATGGCTTTCTTCCTGCCTTGGCCTTTTCAGTTTTGATATCTCCGCCACCTTCCTCAGCAGATTCCATCTTTGTTTTAATTGGTCTGCTAGATACCTTTGCACCTTTGCGTAGGGTAAAAGCCTCTCCACCCGCAGAAACATTAGAACAAGTCAAATGCTGCTGAAGATTGAACCGCTTCTTGATCCCGCGAATGCGATTGGCAACAGATCCGGTGTGACTGTAATTAAGGGCCTTGGCCACTGCAGCGATATCAATCTGAAAGAAGATATTAGCATGAAATAAACAATCTAGAGACGAAAGTTATGTGCTGCAAAGATTACATACAGTAGCAGGAGTTTGAAGATGTTTCATACACTCCATCATGAAGAGAGCATCAGAAGCTCTTGCTTTGTTCTCTGGGCTTTCGACAGCAGTACCATTGATATCAGCCATTCGGAAAATATTAGATAGAAGAACGTTTGGTCAATATGGGAAATAATCGAAGCAGGAGGGAAAATGAGGCGTGACTGCAATGGGTGTGGATGGTTGCTGGTACTTAATGATGATTAGAAGAGGAAATCAAGACGTCAAAGGGTAACAGATGTAAATAAAGGTAAGAGGTGTAGAGGTCAGTGATGTCTACTAGAGGTGATGGTAATCTGCATGGAGCTTCAGAATGGGGGGAAATAATCACAAAGTAGGTAGAGCAGAGCAACAGAACTGCAGTTGAACGGTACAATGTGTTATACTTGTTGCAAGCGAACAACCATCTGACATTCACTGCCACCGGTAAGCTGTTGCTTACCGGGAAGTGTTGTGCCAGTGTGTTGAGCCAGTATGTAACAAGACAGAATAAGATTTAAGCGGCTGGTGAAAATAAACATGTATAGTGTCTGCACGCGCGTAGAAGTCAGGGGTAGAATTGTCAGGCTACGTTTCAAAGAATTGTGAGAGCATCGAGGGAAGTAGGCTGCTATGGGCGCTGAAGCTAAGTCATGATTACATGCAGATGGATGGCTTGGCATATCAGGGCCTTACGACATGTATTTCTTTGAGCGAGTTCCCACAGCTGTGAAAAGCCATCTGATAGACCCCTAATACACCGCGTTGAAGCAATAAAAACGTAGGGAGATATTCCTAGAAAATTCACAGAAATGACGGAGACGGTGAACTTAAGAATACAGAGGTAAGTACATTAGAAGATCTGGGTATTCATATGCATTTAGCTAGGAGGGGGTCAATTGTTATGCAGCGGTGGAAGGCAAGGCATGAATAGCAGTAGCAATTCATAAACAAAACTTCTGTAATTATCAGCTTCTTTTATCACTAATGCTCAAGGTCCGTAGAATCAATGTTTGATGCTTGAGGACATGTCTGATGTCAACGTTGTTCTTTTCTCCAACATAGCTGTTCTCACTGAATTTTGGTTAACCCATCAGGCGATGAAGCCGCATCTCCCTCCTCTTTTTCCATCTTAATTCGGCTCCATTCTGCAGCGGTTGGCGGTGGTCTCGAAAACCTGATAACTGGGTTTCTGATCGGATAGGGAAGGGCAAGGTCACCGGGTGCAACAGTCGTTGTGGAGAAAGGCTGCTGCTCTATGACAGGAACAGGCGCTGGCATATATTTCATCGGCAGAAATGTGTCATTCAATTCAATATCCGTTTCTTGTTTCACCATTTGCTCTGTTTTGGCGGTTGGTTCCTGCTTTGGCTCACTGAACTGCTGCTGCTTTTTCGACTGTGTTTTGTCAACTTTGGTCTTTTTAGGACGCGGCGTGCGGTGGGTGGTGGTGATTCCTTCCATGTGTTGTCGAAACCTAGAAAAACGCATCCTAGCGGCATGGCCATTTGTGATTTCTAGCTGCGATGCTACAAGGTTCCAGTCGATCTAGTACGTGGTGTGAGAGGTTTGATTTCAGTAGTAGCAGAGAAAAAGAGATCAGGATGGCAGGACAACAGTCACGAGCTTACTGATTTCAGGTCCAGTTGCTTTAATATTGTATAAAGGAACTTGGCGGTCTGTCCATCCGCCAGCATCGTTTTGCTTCTTTTGAGGCTGGCCATTTTGCTAACTATTGCAGAACGCGCGACTGGAGACAGTGGTCAGGATGATGAGGTAGATTGTGGGGTCGCAGTGTTGAACTGGAGATGCAGTTGTGAGTATTCACAGTCCCCCGAAAAGATAGAAGCAACAGTGATCAAGAAATTCAAGTATAGCAAAGGCTGATGTAGTTGAATAAGTGAATTAATGATAAAACTGATTCCAAGAATTAATTGCAACTTAGATACCCTGAATGCTAAGTTTTCTTTTTGCACATAAAACAAAGGCAGTTCCACTATATGTCAGTCTATCGGATGCTTGCTGCCATTTGTATCGGATAACACAGCTACCTGCATTAAAACATAAGACTGAAATTTTAGACAATCTCTCCGGCGCACAATAAAGGGAAATTTGGAAAGGAGGGGAGGGGCAGGTTTCTCTAAGAAAAGAAGATTGTACGCGTTATTATATGCGGGTAATTAGTGGAAAATGAAGCCTGGGTGTTCCGCATAGATCCGTAGCAATTGCTTTTGGCGATAGTATTGTGGAAACGTCGGTTCGGAGGGTATGTCCATAGAAGGGGACAAATAAATCCGAAACACACTGAAGTATGTTAGGGCTATGCATAGCATCCTAGAGGTAGTTGTACCAAAATGACGTAATTTTAGTTGTTGGTTGATGAGGAAAAAGTCCTGAAACTATTGTTTCCTGACCTTGCATTCCCCAATGAAGCAAAGCGCGCCCTGCAATTTCAGCGGTTCCTGGGAATAATGCTCTGATAGCTCATCTATACACTGTTGAGAGTTTCGCGTAACCTTGAGAGTAATCAATTGCATCTCATGAGTTCTGGGATGTTGGCAGTTGCTCATGGCGTGTCAAGACAGCTGCGAGTTTGTCCGCCACAACATTCTCAACATCATCCAATCTCGATCTCAAAAGTTTTTCAACATCGTCTACCTTTGACAGAAGGTTTTCATGAGAAAGGGCATCTGTTCTCGACCGGAGATAGCCAATCTCATGCGTCATTCGATCTCTTTCTGCGGTCATATCGGTTACTAAAGCCGTTCGTGAATTCTCGGCAGTGCGGATTTCGCCACGTATGGAATTGATTGTGGTGATCAGTTTGTTTGTCGTTTCCTTTATGCCGACGATTTCTTGCTGCACGGAACTGGCATGAGGATACATTTCCTGCATTGCCGCCACCATATGCTGAACAATTGGTTCCGTGGAAAGATGATTATATCGCGTTTCAAGGGAATGGAGAGCGGTTTGGTGTGCCTGCTGTATTTGTGACTGATTCTCCAGGAACTGATTTACCCCATGTAAAGTCTGCTGTATTTCCTCAATTTCAGCTTTTACAGCAGGAACAGCAACACTAGACGGCTGAGTGCTGTTTCCCACCATCTGTTTTAATTTCGCTAACTCGTTTTCCATAGAAGCCACTCTGTATTCAAATTTGTCAAGTTCATCCGCGATGGCCTCGTCTTTTGCCTCTTGAACATGTCGAAGATTCTGGACTTGACCCATTATTTCCGCAACGGCGCCGATTGTGGTGCCATTATTTGTAACTGGCAGAGAATCCCACTTTTCACCCAAAACACTACACAAGCGCTGTTGTTCAGAGATTTTGCGACCCACAATTTCAAGCCGGTTAGAAAGATCTTCCTCACGAGCTTTTATCGAAAGTTCTGTCCGCTTGCGTTCATCTGCAATCGTACAGATATATGAATCCATATGTTGTTGCTGTTTCTCAAGTATCTCTAGTCCCATAGACTTGACTTTATCTGTAATTATAGATCCAAGGGAGCTCTGCTGATCGCTATGCTTCGCGATCAATTCATCTTTCACGTTATTTAGTTCTATATTTGTGGAATTGATTCGTTGCTCGATATCGGCCGTTGCCTGACTCAAATCCCGTTTTACATCTTCAGGCTTAAGCTGACTCTCGGCCCACTGTTGAGCAGAGTTGAAATTTGAGGCCAAGAGTTTAATCAGATGATCTTGCATTTTCTCATAACTTCGAAGTTTTTCATCAACTCTAGCAAGCTCACTATCTAGTTGCTCTTTCCCAGTTTTGAGTCGTTTTGCAATCGATGGGTATTTGAAGTTTCGATCGGTCGCTCTGCGGAGGGCAGTTGCCTCAGCTTGTGATCTCTTTTTCAATCTATCACGCTCACCAGAGGTTGTAGTGATGGATGCAGTGATGGATGCGAATTCCTTAAGTGCAGAAATTGGATCAAATTTTATTGGATCTGGTTTCGATTTACGAGGATCCTTTGAGAGAGGGCCATTGTGGCTGGGTTCGGTATTGTTAACAACCGGGGAGAGCAGCGGGGAGACCATAGCTGGTGTTTGGGTTGGGTGATTGTAAGTAGGTAGATTCAGGGAAACATCAACGAGCTGGACAGATCTATAGCTCAATTATGAATCTGGTGAGGGAACAACTTGTTGAAGAGTTAAGTTACCCACTTTCACGCGATGTCGGGTGGAACTAGACTGAGTGAGGTTAAGAGAAAAATATGAGAAAGGACAAGTGCAAATGGTTAAAACACAATTTCTTCGTCCAGTCAAGAGTTCCTGGGATTAAGGAAACTCGTTAAATAAAGGTAATGGATCTGTATGTTGAGAAAGTCTTGCGAGGAACATTCAAAAGGTTGACGCGGAACCAAAAGAAGTTCCCTGGTTGTTAGCTGGGAGTGGGCGGCCAAACATTGATCCGCTTTACCGCGCCTCGCGGCTAACTAATTGGCAGGCTGCTGAGTAATGGGTGTCCAGATTCACTTCATTCAGCAATAAACTTATTTTCAACAAAAGCAATTAGAGTCTTAGACCAGGACTTGCTAGCACTCTTGACGAAACAGATAAACACGGTTTATATCCAACGGTATTTGTAATTACGTGGGATATCGAGTTAATTGATTGTTTGCCTGCGTGCTGTCTCGCCTGCCATGGCTGCAGTGAGTTCTCCTGTCGTGTATACCAACACAATTGTTATTGCTACCTCACAGTCTTACTCTTATTTGATCACTAGGCTATATCCACCATTGCGGAAAGCAGGGAGCTCAGGGGCCTAAACCTGGTCGCTGCGCACTCCCACATCAGAGGCCTTGGAGTTGATGCTGACACTCTCGAACCCCGTCATTCTTCTCAGGGCCTTGTCGGGCAGGAGAAAGCCCGAAAAGCGGCGGCAGTCATTTTACAGATGGTCAAAGATGGAAAGATTGCAGGTCGCGCGGTTCTAATTGCAGGACCTCCTAGCACTGGGAAGACGGCAATTGCGATGGGAATGGCACAGGCTCTGGGGCCTGACGTTCCCTTTACCATGGTCGCATCGTCAGAGATCTTCTCATTGGAAATGTCAAAAACGGAAGCGCTTACTCAGGCATTTCGCAAGTCTATTGGAGTCAGAATAAAGGAGGAAAGCGAGATAATAGAAGGAGAAGTTGTGGAAATTCAAATAGACCGGGCTTTAACTGGGGTATGATAAAATTCAATTCCCCTTCCGTCATTGTACCTTTGGGAAGTTTACAACTAAACTTGATTTCTCTCAGGGTAATAAACAAGGCAAACTTACAATAAAAACCACCGATATGGAGACGATCTACGACATGGGTACGAAAATGATTGATTCAATGACAAAGGAACGTGTTGTTGCTGGAGATGTAATTTCCATCGATAAGGCCTCCGGCAAAATCACCAAGCTGGGCCGCTCCTATGCCAGGTCCCGCGATTACGATGCGATGGGAGCAGATACGAAATTCGTCCAATGTCCGGACGGAGAACTACAAGTCCGGAAGGAGATAGTACACACTGTCAGTCTCCACGAGATTGACGTGATTAATTCGAGGACACAAGGGTTTTTGGCATTATTCTCGGGGGATACGGGCGAGATCAGGAGCGAGGTGCGGGATCAGATCAATACTAAAGTCGGCGAATGGAAGGAGGAAGGGAAGGCGGAAATTATTCCCGGCGTATTGTTCATCGATGAAGTCCATATGCTTGATATTGAATGTTTCTCCTACATTAACCGAGCTTTGGAAGCTGAGTTAGCCCCAATCGTTATCATGGCGAGCAATCGTGGAAATGCAAGGATACGCGGCACATCATATCGGTCTCCGCACGGATTACCTCTCGATTTTCTTGACAGAGTCGTCATTGTCAGCACACAGCCATATACCAAAGATGAGATCCAGCAAATTTTAGCAGTCCGAGCCCATGAGGAGGAGATTGACTTAACCCCTGATGCGCTTGCGCTATTGACCAAGATTGGACAGGAATCAGGCTTGCGATATGCTAGTAATATTATCGCGACTTCCAAATTACTAAGCCAGAAGCGCAAGTCAAAGGAGGTTGGGCTCGAAGACGTACAGCGAAGTTTCCACCTCTTCCTTGATCCACTGAGAAGTGTCAAGTTCGTGAACGAGTTTGAGAAGCGGTTTATCGGCGAAGAAGGGGACGTTACTTTTACGTATTCTAATGGTGATGCCATGGAGATATCTTAGGGTTGTTTCCTAAACCTTTTCTCATTTTTTATTGGTGGATTTTTCCTTGCTCTTTCGTTTTGTTTTCTCTTTTCCGTTGGGTTCGTGATTCACGGTTGATTTTGGAGAACCGGGTTGCTGGAACTAAAATATTATGACCGCTATACTTTGTATATTAATAGGATGGCGAACTGGGGAAATTTTCCACTTTAACCCAGCTGAATCAACAAAATTCCATACTTCTGAATATCCATATATCAGTTCACGTCGTAAATTCGTACTCAAACAAGGAGAGTATGAGATTACCCTGGGTTTCTAGTATACAGGGCAATTTGTGCAAACAATCAATCGGCAAGGGGATATCAAGTGAAATCTGCCACGGATGTCCAACTATCCACGCTCCCAACTTTCCGGAATTCAACCCCTTCCCCAAAATAACCCGCCGCATTCCAGGATTGCATCATGGATGCCTCATAAGGGCCATGCGGTTCCCCTCCGTCGCGTGAATCAGACCAACGATACTCCCACAACGGAGGCGTATCCATCTCGCCCACAGTGGACTCCCATTTAGATTCCACTGTTGGGTTGGGATCAACCCAGTCTTCACCAGTCTCCCGCTTGTACAGACGCATGAGTAGCTCCCGTTCGGCATCATATATCTCTGTTTGGCCTCGACTAAGCAGAACGTCTGCGGCGCCGGTGATATCTTCAATAGCACGTTTCCTGGCTGCTTCGGCAGGATCTTCGCCCATTCTCTCATCTTGTTCTACGTTCTTACTATTGTTATGCTTATTTTTGTTCTTGGTTTGCCATTTAGGCTTATGTTTGTGACCCTTCCCCAACCTCGCGAGGGTTTCCAAAATGGTTTCGCCCCGTTCCATTTTTTTTATTAGCGTGCCCAAGATATCTGCTGTAAGCAGATTATCCTGCTCTAGTTGAACCTTTCGCCGCTCCTCCTCTCTCTTCTCAGCGGCTTCCCTAGCCTTTCGCATGTCCTTCTTCGAAACGCCTTCTAGCCATGTATCATAAATGTCATCTGGATCCACGGCTTTTCGAACGAAGTTTCCCGCCTCGTCAAAGCGTCCTTCTTCTTGTTCTGCGCGCATATTGAAAGCATCTAAAAGGGGAACGTGTGTCTTCTTTCCACCCGCCCCTAGCTCCTTGTCCATGTCTGGTGCTATAGCGGCTCGCTCCTGCTCATCAACTTCGCTCTCGCTCTCCCCGTCTTCGTCTCGCTCCGCTTCTTTCCCTTTACCAACGGTATCTAAATCGATTGAAACGGTACCTCCAGCATGAGAATTATCTACCTGTCCCTCAATTTCATCGTCCCGCAGAAATCGCACTTGCTTCTTTGTACCCGTTGTGGTAGCGTCGTCGCCTTTGTAAGAGGCAAAGTCATCCTCGAGTTCAGCGAACATGTCATCTGGGTTCCCTGCTGAATTCCTTTTCTCAGCTCTGGCTCTGGATTCAGCGCGTGCGTCAAACCCCTCATTTTCGCTATCAGAATCATATCCCTCGATGTTAACAGCGTTTCTCCGCACACGTTGGCCGCGATGACCGATCTCGTCTGCATCCAACACCGCGTCTTCCTCTAGGGCGTCTGCGGCTAGCGCAGAGGGATTACGTAGATCAAAACGAGGCTTTTTTAATGAGGAGGGCCCGACCGAATCGGAATCTGCTTCGATGTGATGTGTACGCGCGAAGTCTTCCCCAGCCCGCTTTGAACGGCCGGGAATTGAGGTCGCCATTGCGCCGCTGGACGCTTGACAGGGTAGGGAGCTTGTTGCCAGGGCAAACAAAAAAAATAAAAAAATAGTAAGGACCAAAGATGCGGCGGTTTTTAGCGCTCAATAGATGTTATACTCCCGTACATCTGTTCTAGTAACTCTATTTTTCTTCTTCTCTCTTGGAGATTGTATGTACCTTAGCTAGTTTAACTTAGTTAACCGGAATAACTAACATCCCTCCCCATATGTTGCGTCACAGCCATGTTAGGCTGAGTCAGCAGTGGGAGCTTGCCTAAAGGACAAACCATCTTCATCAAACGGATACAGCGGGATTGCAGCCTATTACAACCAATAGTTAATTACAACGTCAACATTGACAGACCAGGCAAAGTTGACAGAGCTTTTAACAATACCCTTTTGTGCTCCTCCTGAAATCCCTTTCCGCTATCTCTCACGCCAATTTGAACCTCTCACGTTGAACAACCAGGCAATCTTACTAATTGCCTGAGCCAAAGGTCTCCTGGCACAACGGGGTACAGATAACTATCCGTTGTATTCCCAGGTGCTAACAAGGGACTGGCAAAACCATTGTATTCTCCATGGTAAGCCCAGTTATATTGCCAACCCAATACCGTTTAAACTAGAGCAAGAGATAACGTCTGGAAATAAAAGTATCACGGACGGCGGTACGAAGGGGAGGATCCAATGGAGGGTGTCTTGCATCCGACCCTGATGAGACATCCAGGGCACTCACCCAGGCGGTTTGATGAATTTTATCGATGCTATCCTGTTGCCATGCTCCCGGGACCAGAACGGGAGAATGTTAACCACGGCGGCAAAGTTATCATGCCTCCAAGTGCGCTCGACAAGCTTACAAGGCTTCACATCACATATCCGATGCTATTCGAGATAAACAACGGGCAACGAGATCGGATGACTCATGCCGGCGTTCTGGAATTTATTGCGGAAGAAGGCAAAATATATCTCCCTTTTTGGGTATGCTTATTTCTCATTATTTCTAGTCGTTGGCCAGATGAAGATGGAATCCACGCAGCATGCTAACTACACGCTTTCAAAACCGCTAGCTTATGCAAACCCTCCTCCTCGAACCTGGAGATTTCGTACAAGTAAAGTCAACCGACCTTCCTCCAGGCCGATACATCAAACTCCAAGCCCAGTCAACTTCCTTCCTCGACATTAGTGACCCCAAAGCTGTTCTAGAAAATGCGTTCCGAAATTTCTCATGTCTCACCAAAGGCGACATTTTCACCTTCTCATATAATGACCAGATATACGAAATGGCTGTGCTCGAAACGAAACCTCAACATTCCAAGAATGCTATATCGGTATTGGAAACTGATCTTGAAGTAGACTTCGCCACGCCTGTTGGATATGAGGAGCCGAAACGTTCAAGTGGTGCTAGTACTCCACAAAGTGCAGGCGCCCGGGGCCTCCCCGCTGGTGGAGTATTACATTCCCATGGTACGATGGCCCAGTCGATAAATTACGCTGCTATTGCTCCTGAGTCAACAGACGCAGCAAAGGGTGCTAAAGCCGTTTTCTCCAACTTCCTTCTTGGTGGCCAACGATTGAACGCTAAAAAAGGGAGCAAGGGCCAGACCCCCAAGGCATCCACTCCAGTTGACGCCATATCTCCAAATGCTCCACAACTACCGCTCCCCAATCAGCGAACGAAGGCACCTCAACCACTCCGCTTACCACCTGGGAAGCTATTTTTTGGCTATGCACTTAATCCAGTACATAAGCGAGATGCCAAGGATAAAGTGGAGGAAGACGGGGGGCCAAAATTTCAAGGCGTTGGCCAAACATTACGCGGTGGTACAAAAAGGAAAGGGGCCGCGATTGGAGGATCAGCTACCCCCGTATCTGGCCATGATTACGAGAGCAAGGTGAAGTCTGGCGATAGAGATCCGAAAGGAAGGGGTCCAGGTCGAACGCTTTGGGGGACATAGAGCCAGTCGAGAAACGTAAACGAGCTATTTTGCATCTCGCAACTATCAGCACCGGTGCTAACACGATATGTCAATTAGATTTTACATCAGGACTCAGGTCTTTGAATGCCTGGAACAGCCCAGGATGACAGCAGTTATGGACTCAATAGATATATTTAGAGGGATGAAGCCATGGGCATATTTTGCGGGCCATGGGATTTGGCGATTTCGTATATACGCTATTTCAATCCCTTTAGTTTTGGGGCTTTAGCAAGCTTGCCATGCTCTGTTATTCCGTTGGTGCCGGCGTGAAACTCTGGCGGCGACAGTATTTTCATATATCACTGTGGAATTTGCCTGGATATCGCAGCAGATAATTTTACTTCAGAGATGTTAACATGGGATTCGAGAATTTGCTGGCTCCATTTCTTCTTATCTTTTTTTTTTTTTTTGAGGGCTCCTCTTAGTTAATTTGCTATACCCGCCATAGCTGGCGAAGTTAGTACAGATAAGCCGTTTTGTAGAGCCTGGGCCAGCTCTAGCATTGTTGGACCTGTTATCCATTACACGATAAGTACACCATCAGTTCTGGCTTTGTTCATCAATCGCACTTCACCCACACGACATCTTAAGCTGTTTATCTTTCTGGAGCTAATGGTGTATGGCTCTCTGCCGCTCTGGCAAAAAGATCACTGCTGATATTAGAAGGCGTTTGCCTCTTTGCCGTGCTGGATGACCCTCGGTTCATGACGGAGAGATGTATTTTTATATGGGCCCGGGAGAGATTTGGCTGGAAGTTAGATATCAATGATTTAGTGACTGCGTAGCTGCCTGTGATTTTGGTATATTGCCGTGAAGGTCGGTGTATTTGATGATTTACGTTACGTAGTTCTCTTGGGTCTTCGACCATATCCATGTTTAGAAGCTTCCTGAGCATTCAATATCAGATGGAAGTTAAAAGCTGTGAAAAAAGCCACCCATATCTCTGTGGGGTTGCTAGTTCATTATCCTCAACAAGTGACTTTATGCTCCAACCAGCGTGCTGTTAGAATTTATCGGCCGTATCTTGAATAAAGTCTCCGACTCTGCCGTGAATGTTGACACTAACTCCACATCATTTCGGAGATAGCCTAATTTAATTTCATGATCCAAATTTTTTTGGAGGTGGTTGAGCTGCTTCTGACAATGTATCCAGCAAGTGAAGTTGAATTCTATGTTTCTGGACAGATTATATAACTTGCTAGACGACACAGTTTTTCAAGTTTTAGTGAGAAGTAGTCGAACATTTTTCTCGCTAGGGACTGAAAGATTGAACAAGCTGCCCTTTGATAGACAGAGACATCCATAATGGCCTCCACAGCGGAAATCCCCAGTGATCTGTTTGCCTCATTCTCAAAATTATCCCCAGCCATATATCTGCGAGACGGACTAACTTCAACACCATCATCACTCGAATCACCGCCTCCAACAATATGCCTCTTGTTCTGGATGGATGCTGTGCCCCGCCATGCTGCAAAATTTGTTCAAGAATATATCAAAATCCTTCCTAATGCCCGCATTATCTGCATGACAACCACGTCCACCGATTTTCTTTTCAAGTCCTCGAACGAATCGCGACGCATGCGCGTGAACCCCCTCATCAGTGCACTGCGTACCTCTAATAATGGGCCTCTGCACTTCCACATCTTCTCTAATGGTGGAATAGTCACTTTACACCATATAGCTGCTGAATATCGCGAAGTCACCGGGGAGCCTCTGCCAATCAAATCTATGCTTCTTGACAGTGCACCTGGGCGAAGTACCTTTGCTCGTGGGGCCAAAGCATTCTCATATGCGTTGCCAAATCTTTTTCTTGCACGCATATTGGGGATGTGTCTTATTTGGGTTGCCCTGGTAACTTTCTGGGCCGCATATAAGATTAAGAGAGTGTTTCCTCCAATAGAGGCTGCAAGGGACTTGATAAATAATCCAAAGTTTATCAGTATCAGGGCGGCAAGATGTTATGTCTATTCGAAGGTTGATGAGCTCATTTACTGGAAGGATGTAGAGGAGCATGCGGCTGAGGCAACGGGGAAGGGATGGCGTGTTTCAACTGAAATTTTCGATGCTCCTCACGTAGGGAACATGCGAGCAGATCCCGAACGATATTGGAAACTGGCAATGGGTCTTATCTTGCAAAATAGTATAGACAGTGAGTAATCGATACCTCCATCCCTCAACCTGATATTTTGCATTAATTAAATGTTTTTGTTTTTCTAAGAATGAAAAGAAGTTTAGATGTAGTCGCCATCGTGGCATCTATTGAAACTATAAAAGCTCATCTTAGAGTGCCTACTGTGCCTTCAGAAGCTCATTCTTTGACGCCCCATATCAGGTATATCCTGACGGCTATCCTGTCAAGATATACAGTATATACATCATTTACTGGAAACAAATCAAGCAACCTGGATTAGACAGCATCATCACACTCAACATATCCCCCAACATCTTTGTTATAAAACGCCTCAACTTGGAATCCGTCTGCTGTGTGGGCCTCTGCATTCTCCAATCCCGAAAAAAACTCATTAGCAGTGCTGTAGTCGTCTCTGGGGCTATTGGTATCAGTGAAGCGGTTTTCACTCTTCATCCCCAGGTTTGCTGTACTGTTTGCCGCGGCTTTTTCAAAAAGGGAAAGACCATTGTCAGTTTTGATGAAACAATCAGATTCTTCTTCAATCAAGATTGCATCAGAAATGCCATATCCGCGTTTCCCTTTGCCAGATTTGGAGGGTGTTATTGGGGTCTGCATTTGATTATGCTTGGCACTGGAAGTCGACTTGCTCACACGGCCACTGCCAGGGGTGCGGCGAAGGGGTGTTTTGGAGCCTGGATTTTCCTGGCGCATGCTTTCGGCAATTCTGCGATATTCACGAAAGCGACCTTGCATGGAATCATAAGTGGCGCCTTGGCCAAAGTAAACAGCCATGGTTTTGTAGTCAGGCTATAGATGTGTCCCTCCGATTAGCAGAAAGTTCCTCAGAGAACAAAGTTCAGCATTGGGGGAAGGAGTAAGGGAAATTAATACATACAGTAAAACCTGGATGAGCTACCAACAATGCGCCGATAATCCGCTCGATTGCCTTTTTATCCCAAGTGATGCCCATACTCCTGAACCGGTTGAGTTACCTTGTGTGTAGATGTAAATGAAGTTATTGAAGAATTAGGTTGAGTGGACTACGAACTACAGGGTTCAAGATATAGAAATACACTCACTCAAAGTTTGGAGTTATGGTGCTGTTTGGCTCAAAGAAGAGGGTGTGTTAAGGGGGGGGGGGTAATGTTCAAGTCACAAAACAAGGAACTCTTATCCGCACGTCAAATACTTTACAAAAAGCAGGAGTAGACAGAGAAATTTTTAGGAGAGGCGAAGTGATATGTGTTGTATTGACATGGTACCTGAAGGTAAAATCAGAGGGTAGAATAATGATCGGGGGTTTCAAAGTGTTTTAAATGTGTTATAAATGTGTAGTTAGTCCAGGCAACATATCTAAAATTGACATCTCAAAAGATTTCCCATAAACCTATGCTACTCTATGAGTCAACAGGCATTTTCATTATGACTTGATTGCCTCATATAATCATTTCTTGCAGGAACCAGTGGGCAAGCTGCTGGCACCATTTTTTAGGCACATTTATCCCCATGACGCTGTTTAATCTGTTGGATATTCATATTGAACCAATAAAAGTCGAGAATTCATTGAAAGAAGTGGTGTGAGTTTGGCAGTTTAACGCTAAAAACTTATTGGCATCAAGGACTAAGGTTGCCCTAGATGCTGTGTCGCTCTTGTTGGAACAGCTGCTGATCTTTGTGATAATAGATATTATCAGGAGTGGACGTGCAGCATAATTGTACCATTCATCTAATGGTCAACAATGTTGGGTGCTATATTTTGCTTATTGAAACATAAAATTTGCGGTTAGAGAGTTTACAGACCAGGTTGAAGAGTGTATTGATGAGAAAATATATAATTAACACAGATCATCATGACAATGATAATAAATAAGAAATGGGGAATGACCTTTTGGAAGTAATCAACTTGACTTGGGCTAACTACACTAATGCAGCATGGCCAGCAGGGTTCAGGTTTGTTGCATTTGATGATGAACTGTTGGGAATTGTTGACTTGAAGTGACACATCAGATCAGAAAGCATGCATTTCCTCAACTGGCACACCGCTTCTGTTGCAATCATGAATGCAAGACCAATGTGATTGAGTGCAGTGCCCTTGCATCGACCTGGGCCCATGTTGTCCGCAGACAGAAACACAGCCAGAGATGGAAGAGTGATTACAGTGATTGAGTAGGGAATTGAGCGTGGTTGAAGTAAGGTTTGCTGAGCCCCTGTAAGCGAGAAATAAGGCTGCGGGGATGACCCAAACTTTTGATGTGGGGACTGCGGAACTTAACCTTGAATAAGCATAAGGGAAGTGTCAAGAAGTGCGGGCGATCTGTGTCGAGATAATGAGATGTGTCTGCCCAGGAACAGGTAAAGCCCTGGGGATAGATGGATTATTCCTGAATAGCTTTCTCTTCCTTTTCTTCTTCCTTTCTTCTTCCTTTCTTCTTTTCTTCTTCTTTTTCCCTTTTCGCTGCGGTTTAGGACAACTGACATTGGCCCCATGTGTTGCCGAGATGATTGACTATAGTTACTTTTATTAATTTCCTCTAATTACATTTTCTACAGCTTTTAAGAATAAACTATCTGCATTTACTATTATATTTGGCAGCAACACATGAGATTCATTTTGTTCCACTAACACAACCCTCCTTTTTCTCCTACATATACTTTCTCTCAGCCTAGCCTTTTTTCATCTTGACAACACTACCCCTTTTCCTTGACTAGTTATCTCTCTCCCACCTCACTCATCTCTTTACTTCTGTGCATTTTGTAGTGACTGTGGCCACTCTGCCTTCTACTTCTCACACTTTATATTGCATCCTGCTACTTTTACAAGTTTACCTCTTTTTAAAGGTGTGGAATTCCGCTCTCTTCCCATTGCTATCTTACTCTTGTAGGCCTTCTTTCTAATTATCATCTCTTCTTTTCCTCTAGCAATTCTGACAGCCTCAAACTTTGTGTGGAATCTCTTGCACATTGTAAAATGCCCGTCAAGTGGAATGCAGAAATGGACCAACAGGTAAGAATAACTTGATCATATATTCATACTACATCAATGCTTCTGATTTCCCCAAGATTTTGTTGCTTTTTCTTCAATTTTATAATTGTGATATCTATTTTAATTCTGAACTTCTCTCCTTTATCTCTAATACAATGTCAGTCATATATGCTAATGTTGACACTAGCTTCTCCTGAAGATTATTGAGACTCATGATTTGAGAGTGGATACTGAAAGAGTCTCAGATGCATGGCGTATAGGATTCTCTTCCCCCAAATCCTTATATCTCTCGTGGATTCTAACTTCAGCCAGCTGGTGACGAACCAAAGGCGAAGCCTACTCCTCGTGCAATTACTGAGCGCTTGGTTAAAATAAAATCCATTATCAAAAACAACAATGGTGCAACACCCACTTCTACTCCTAGGAAGAAGCTAGCTACCCCAGCCTTCCATAACCGTACCCCCGCAAAGCGAAAGCGTGGAGATGCCGCATCAGACAACAAGGAAAACATCAAAATTGAAGGATTCGTGTCTCCCACCTCTAACACCATTAAGATTAAAAATGGAATGATTGACTGTTCTGATTCTTCAATGGATGAAATGAGGGTTCCTCATACTATGCGCACTACCTCCAAGAGTGCCAGAGTTGTCCCGCCCCTCCCGGCTGGAATCGTTACATACATTGAAGGGACAGATGACGATTCTCAGTATGAAAGCGGCAACAGCGAATTTATCCATCCGTCAAAAGTAGAAGTCGACAATGGCTATAACGGAGTTCAGGTTCGTGATGATGCGATTGACCTGCCTGAGTACGCCTAAGTCGATTAATTTTAGGTGTTTGGCGAATCATCGTAGTGTTTTTATTCTATTCTTTTTCAGCCAGAATTTGGGTTGCATTATCTGCTCGTGATTTTTGCCTTCTTGCTTTATTTCTGTTTGTAGGGACGCACCTTGACCCTCGGAAAGGAGCGTGGTACTTTTTAGGTAGACAGCGGAGAAATAAATAGCCAATTTCAGCTGCTCCCACCGTAAATTAAAGTTTTAAAACCTTCTACAATGACTTTAGGTTTTTATTTATACACTGTGTTCATTAATCGGTTTGTGCCATCATATTATGGTAACTAGAACGTCTCGCGATATGCAAACATACCACTCAGGATGGTTAATTTTAACATAGTTAACTATTAGTTACTTGTAGAAACATAAACGGGCACAGATGTAACTTACTAACTAGTAACTAGTTTGGAAAAACTCTACCACATTGTTTCTGATGTTCGATATTTACTTTTGATTATGCTAGGTTTTACATGAATGCTGAGATTAATTTCTCAATTCGGAATTTCGAACACCCTTAAATATCTAATTTTGACCCAAAAGTAACTAGTTAACTAACTAGCAGGTGGCCAAGGTAGTTACAGATTTCCCTTTCACCTCCAGAGCTACAGAAGGCTGCGCCGTGAACAATAAATTGTCTCATTCTGATATTTCCTTATTTTTGGATACATGGAAGTAGGTCATTTAATGACACTGAACGTGGAATTCCTCCATAAGTAGAAATGTGAGCTGATTGAATCCCTTGCCAATCTATACCTAGTTGCCTCAACCGCACTCAAACCCTCAGATTTGATTTTCTCTATGATAATAGTCTGATCGATTGTTATCTGCATTCTTCCACTTTCTGCTTGAAAGTTTCTCGCTCGGTGTCATTCCTTTAGGGATAGAGATCACGACCATCACGGGAGTAGATGGTGCAGAGTTCCCGGACTCCTCAGGCGGCTTTTTGCATTTCCGCAATGTGTTCCCTAATTGCTCTGGAAGCACATCTTTGATGCAATATTAAAACATATATTCTAGTCATATTACAGGAGTGGAAGTGGTAAAGGGGTGTTTTAGTAAATGCACGAGCATTGATATATGTACCATATATTTTGGTGAGGTCTTCATGATTCTTCTTTTCCAGTTTCGCATTTATGTTTATCTGCTTATCTGCTTTAGAAGCTGGTGAACTATTAGTAAAAATTCTACAAAATGTTGAAGTTTGACTTTTCGAAGTCTATCATATTCACACTGTCTGTACGTTTATTGAATATTCATAGTTTCGCTTCTGTTGCAGCATCTCATTTCATCTTGACAGACATCGTTCCGGCGTCTATTGCGGGGGAAAGTTTTCAACAACTTAACACTTTGAAATGACACAGATATGCTAGCAGTAAATATCTTAAACAAGCAATAGAATGAAAGAACAAAACCACTGGCCTGGTTGATTGAAGAAGTGGGTTATAATTCAAGAAAGATTTGAAAATATTTTGAATTTAAAGTAAGATTCATCAACACATCATATATTCACTTACATGTGTTGAATGACTATTGTTGTGTACCTTTATTTCTATTTCTGCGCAAAGATACTTTAGCTAACAAACTACTAGTATGGAGTATTGCTGAAATGCTTAACAACTTTCATAGTGGTAATTATGATAGTTAACTCATCATGACTATCTAGTTAGTTACCTGGGTAAATTGCTTGCTCTCAGAACCCCTTAATTTAAAGTAACTAACTAGGCACTGTGTAGGAACAACTATGGGCCATGAGCTCACTTGAACATATATGTCTTCTCCTTCCTCTGATTTCCTTCTTAAAATGAAAAAAAAAAAAATATGAATGAGAATCAAGGTAGCCATAAATCAATGCTTGAATAATGGCTTCAGAAGCACTGTACTCCATTCTCTATTATAAAAGTGCTTGTATTAGACATATTAGTTTACCCTGTCTCCAATTCTCATCATTCATTCTTTCCCCATTTTCTCGGATTTGATTCTTTTACTATGGGAATTACGACTTTCATCTTCATCACTGTTATCATTTATAACCGTTAATTTGCGCTTCCTTGTTTCCTTGACACTTGATCCAGATGCTCCATTTGCTGAGGTATGATTTGGGGAATTGTTGAACTTCCCATTTGGCGACGGAGAAGATACACTCGATGTTCCCAATTGATTTTTAAAACCAAAGCTCTGGAGCTTTTCAATGCGTCTCTTTATTGCAATTGCAGTGCATTCTGGAAATAAATTAGCCGTGAACCATATACATAGTCACCTACGCTAAAAAATGAAATTGATGATGACTTGTTGCTTACCAAGGCCCATGTATGCCGCCAATTCTTCATGGGCTTTTTTCCCGAGCTTCGCATACCTCAGGATTCCTCGCAATAGCTTAAGCGATGCTAGTTGTATCAGATCATAGTGCAAGTTTGGAGAGCTAAAAAATCGCACAGACCTTTGCATCAGTAGGAGCATCCCATGTCATGGGCATGTTGACAATAATGCTAAAAGCAATGTAATTTGTGAAGTAATGGATTTCTATTTTTTGTTGGGGGAAGAGAGAGAGTTGGTCAAGGTCCTGAAGCCAATGATTGCAGATGTAGAACGGTGGAAGATATTTATGTGTTGGAGGAATTGGTTTTTGAGAGTGTTTAGGGAGGGAGACCCCTTGGAAGAGATTTAAAATAAAATAATAAAATACCATTTTTATTCACTGGTTTATGGTGGGGTGTTCTTGTCTAACATCGGGAAGCTTCTGCAAATGAGCTATTTGGACATTTGTGATAAGCTCCCGTTGGGAGGGGACCTTTCATATCCAGCTCTTCATACAATAAATCTAGATTAAAAGCAGACCGCCATTGATTAACTAACTAACTAGTTAGTTAGTTAACTAGTTAACTATTGCGGTGTAGCTAGTTAACTAAGAGTGCTGGGTATGCTCCCCAATACTGCAAGAAGATAAGTTAAGATATTCACTCCAAAATTGATAAGATTTCTACGTATGTTCGAGCACACAACCGCATTGGAATATGCCAATCTGGTAAGAGTTAAAGGTGGTCGTTGACTAATACGGTGTGCGAATTAACTAAGAGGTTCTGTTTGATCGAGGAATAGTAAAGTCACCTGCAGCTGACCATATCATACGCCGTGGAGCGGTGCGACTAGGTAGTTAGTTACCATGGGTTCCGAACGCATTGCTGTCGGTCCCTGACAATAGTGACATATTGACGAAGGAGAGATGCACTAATTATCGAAGAGATAGTGAGCTGAAAGCGAATTGGCCCCAACTTTCGCGTTCATTATCAATTTTCACTATCTCCCAAATCACAACATATTCTTTGTTCAAAACCGTAGCTAGATGAAGTTAGTCTCGGGTTGCTGGAACGGGAAGAATGAAGAGGAAAGGAGCTTCCCAACGTCAAGAAGATGCAAACTGAGCAACAGGATTTTCACGCGGTCTCTGATTCATTCATAACTGGTGCATCCCCTTTGGGTACGACGATGGTGTCATCTTATGAATCTTAGTAGAAATGAATATTTTTCAACGCCACTATTATTATGAACATTGGAGATTTGAAAGTGATTAGTAAGAAGGAAAAGACTCTGAAGACCTCATAGTGATTTTCTGACTAGTAAACTGACATGATATAAAAAGATAAGAAATAGTTTGTGGAAGAGATGAGGAGAAACATGCTCTATTTAACACAAGATTGAAGTTTATTTTCGGAGCACGATGTAGAAATTCCTGTACTTGGCTTGATAGAGCTGCTCAGGGTGAACACAAATGCTGAATTACAAATATGGGAAGCGTGGGGAAATTGAAGGCAGGGAATCGAGCAACGATGTCTTGAGGATAAAATTCGGCCCTCAATGCAATCGCTGACCACGTTGGTTCCATTGCATATCAGGGTACTTCACTCTGCTCTTATTGGGCGCAGCAACATTGCAACACTATATAAATCTCCACAAACTCACCGAGCAGGTTAGTAGGTGTACCGAAAGCCCTCCAAAGATTCAATTAAAATTTCGCCACGGTCAGCCTTTTTGTTCTGGATATAGTGGAAAGCAGTCATAAAAACGCATGCGACAACTATAAACAATTGGGCGGCCTATCCAATTTTCAACCGGAAGACATCACGTTAGTGAGTAGAATGACGGTAGACCTTGTGATTAAAATATTGAAACTTAAGTCGAATTTTAAGCAAACTTACAACACCTGCCCAAAGCCCAGAAGGATAACTCGGCGCTTCCTTCTCCATAAACGTAAGGGAGGCGTAGATACCGCCAATAGCACCAAAAGCAACCTGAAGGCCAGAGGCTACACTATTTTCCAGAGAAATGATTAAAAACTCACTCCAAAAAAGACGTAAAACCAGCAGGATTACCGTGACCACTGCTTTATGGAGAGAGTGGTGCAGAATAAGAATGGAGGTACTTACGCTCTGGTGCTTTGACCTCTGATGTTATTTGCCTGCCATGCAAGAATTGCGGGAAGAGATCCATTCGCTCCAGCTATCCCTAGGAATACCCCGAAATACCTGAAAAAAAATTTATTAGATACCTTTGACCACTCGTAATTGATCCAAAAGGGCACTTACTTGACACCGTTTTGCTTTGTATATGCTATGAGAATATATCCGACTGTACACATGACCGCCAAGGCAGCGATAAAGGGCGCTCGCATTCTCGTCTTGTCCGCAAAATATGAAACTATGATTGCAACTGGTACACTAACCAGGGCTGGTGGTGCTAATAAAAGAAACACTTTGCCAGTAGAATATCCTAGTCCCTGAAGTATTACAGGGGAGAAGTACGCATAGCCGTACACCCCAATGGCCATGCACATGAACAGCAAAGAACTGTCGGCCGTTGTCAGGATGTGTTATGAGCTGAATCATGAACCGTAATATCTAAACAGACAAAAGAGTGTAAGGGGGAAGAGGCAGTCGCGGACTTACTAAATCCAGAGTTGCCAGCGACACAAAGTTTGAAAAACTTTCACTCCAGTAAATGGATCATGTTCGGCATCTGCACGATCCTGATTCAGGCCCGCTTTGATGACTTCAACATCTTCAGCAGTCAGGAAGGGGCGTTTAAATCCTGCTATTTTATCTGGGAAGTCAATTATAAGGAAGTAGCCCAATATTGCAAGAAGGCAGGTAATTAAGCCCTCGATAACGAAGATCCATCTCCAGCCCCGAAGGCCGCCAAGACCTTCCATGCGGATTATGCCATATGCAAGCAGTGAGCCAAACGCGTTGGCGACAATATTAATGGAATAGAACCACGCAATCCTAGAGGAGTCAAAAATGAGAGAAACTCATATTATGGACAATCAAAGAATGTAGTATTTACCTCTGGTGGACCTGGTATCTTTGATACCAACAGCTTATCAAATACATGCAGCCTGGGCTGTATACTAGTGAGTTGGGGATGAAAACACAGACTCGGGAGTAAAAGCTTACAAGAAACCAGCTTCAAACAGCCCGAGAAGTAGTCTAACCACGAGCATGTGCTAACAGTTTTATTAGAATGAATAAGCAAAACCAGGCAAGCAACAACAAACCGTCCATGACTTTGAAAACCCGCCGCCTGCAAATCTGGTTAGTTAGACCACGTGTTCTGGGGCCGGACGCTGGAAATAATGTTCACCAAGGATGACAGCTCCCCAACTCAGAGCAATAAATGACAGCCACCGGGCGGCTCCGACTGACCGGAGGATAATGTTGCTCGGGATCTCGAAGAGGAAGTAGGTGATGAAAAACACCAACAGAACTATCGAATAGCGTTCCCCAAATTGGAACTCTAAGTCCTTGTGCATTCCAGCAACGCGAGCGGCCGATAACTAAAGGATCATCTGTTTGTTTTCTGCCCGTAGAATAGCAGAACTGTGGGACAAGCTTACGTTGGTCCTGTCGATACCACTTATCGCATATAGCGCTATGCAAAGAACAGAACTTTAGGCCCACCAATCAACGCCAGAAGGAGGTGATAGAGGGCACTCACCACCCAAAATCGGAATCATTCGAAGATCAACCCTTCGACTTCAAGGTGTGTTAGCAGCTGTTCTTGAATTGGTCATAACGTGAGAATACAGAAGGCAGCAGCTTACTAAATTTTGCGGCGTCTTCTTTTCATCTCGTCCGTCATAAAATTTTCCTCGTCCTGAGGGTAAATGGGGTCAACATATTCAACAGCGGACGCAGAGCCGGCCTTGGATGAGATCACTGTCTTTTCATCCATTGCGGTTTATTATGTCGCGTAAAAGCCAAGTAGCAATTGCAGATATTTCAACGAAGCAGATCCGTAGATATACGAGAAGAGATGCAAAGACGTTCTCAACTGGATAAACCTGACGGGGCGGTGCATCCCTTCAATAAATACTCCTCCAACGAAATAGCCAGAGGGGCTTTCTGAAGTGGTCCTAAAACATAGGAGCCTACGCCATCGCTTTCCGATTATTGATGCGTATGTATTCGGCAATCAGAATGGAGTCTTAGGATTGCGGGGGAAAGAGGCGTCTGGCGACAAAACAGGTCCAAAATTTCTAAGGGGGGTAGGAACTGAAAAGTGGAGTTGAGCAATGACAAGGTCCACCAGAGCTTCCATGAAGTCATTAAGCTCCCCAAACTCCTGGGCTCCTAGGTCTCACTAGAAGGGCGAAATGTCATTTACTGACCGCGCAGAATTGAAAATGTTGCCACGGATGCAAGGATTAGAACGCCGTTGATTGTTCTCCGCATCACAGCGCTTTGAGCCATCAGTCCAAGTATTCAGACCTGTTCCACAGAACATAATGGAAAAAAAAAAAATAAAAAAAAAGAAAGAAAGAGGGAAAGGAAGAAATAAATAATGAAAAGGAATTCATTTTCTTCAGTTATAACAGGGGGCTCATCACTGAGGTTTCATCAGCAAAAGTGAAAGAAATTTCCACACCTTATTCAGGGTCAGAGATAGGGAAGACCCAGTTCCCCGCCGCTGCCTACTCCCATGATAACTGAACCTTACAACCCAAGAGGTGTCAACCGCAATAGCGTCAATATCGAGATTGATGCTACCTAATTTTTAGTGTCAACAGCACTGGGGGTGTTCGGTTCATTTTGATGTTGTTTTGTTGGTTCGAAGATATTACATTTACATTCTGCCAGACATTCTCCACACATTCTCTAAATGTTTAGGATATCCGGGGTAGTTGACCTCGGGAGTTAACTTCGTGACCGAGGTTCGTGTCCATGTTGGTGGGTTGGTTGAAGTTGAAGTGCCAGTTCGTTAGTTATCTCAGTGACTAATTTATATAACTATGGGAGGCACGTGATTAGGGGCACTGATTGTTCGAACTTACATGGCAAAAAGGCCTAACTAATCAATCACCAGTATCTAGTTAACAGTCTCTGTTAATCCCCATATTTCAGGTTGACACTAGTCACCAGAATGGAGCGAATCATCCCAGCCAGTTGCCATTCGGCTGGGTTTGGGCGAAGCAGAATTGACTGGTTGGTAAGACATCCCCCCCAGTATTTATCCCGTCGTCATTGAAAGAAAACCAACATCAACAATCATTCAAGCATTCAAGCATTCAATAAGGTTATTCATGACATTAGAGCTGCGGATGCATAGGTAGCCAAAGGTTATTTGCCATTCTGTATTTTAGTTAACTACGTAGTTGATTCTTGATATAAGAAGGTTCAGGCTGCAGGCATTGTCCTGGAAATGAAGTTGCAATGGCTTCTATACGTGGAAGAGCAGTCTCCTGGTTAACTATCTAATGCAATCTGTTGGTGGGTTGATATCCAGCCAGGGTTGAAGATGGGAAGTATTCGCATAACCGGAGCCATTCTAAGCAACGACTTTGTAGGGAATCACTCTCGTTTACCGATGCAGAGGCATCAGGTGTCGATTTGTTTTTTGTATTGATGTTCTACTTGACTTGTAATATTGGATTTGTGTTTTGGTTTATTTCCCAACTGGATACGGGATTCAGTGCCTGTATTTTGGGAAGAGAAAGCTGACCGTTGCTGTGTTACGTAGAATCCCTCTCGCACTCAGGTTGCTCTTAGCCCCGCTCGCCCAAAGTCTTCCCAAAAAAATGACCTCTGACCATGGACTTCACTCGCAGTTGTCATCCAAAAAGATCATTCAGCAGCATCACTTCAAGCAACTCCCTAAATACCTAAACTGGAGCCCTTACAGTTCTATGTACTTCCACCGCATCAATTTGTTCTCTATTTTAGCCTCACAGGTAAGGGTATGAGATTACCTTGGATATCAGGAAGATTCTACTGTATTGGAAATAAATAGAGATGATGTATGTCTGCAATAAGTAGATTGGTTATTTAAAGTAAAGCAAATGATTGAAATTTAAAAACATTTTTAACTTGCTAGTTAATCTTTTTAAAATTTCAAAGTAAAAGTTCAAATACCAATTGCGCCTGATCCCTATAAACTTTCGTGAAATGGTAATATCAATCCTCTGGTAGAAATAAAGGATGACTCTTCTTGGTATGTTTGATGTTCTTGTCCTGGACATGAAAATTTTCACCTGGAGATAATCGTGTTGATATTTCTTCATGTTGAATATCATTAACTAGTTTTCGCAGCTGATTCATCCATTGATAGGATGGTTGGTTTGTGACAATGTTTTGTAAAACCTTTTCCCTGAGCACATATAATACAACCTAATATAGGTTGAACATAATACAAAGAGCTTCAAGGAGTATTGGGGAATTTTTTGGGGTTGGAAGATTTCTGTAAATGAAGAAATTGTACTTTCGAGGTTTAGTCATACCGGCCCAAAGGACTATATAAGGACAATTCCGCGCCATAGATAGGACGTTGCCATTTTTGGGGTGCTTCTTATGTTCAGCACATTTATGGTCCGTACATACCTCCCATACCTCCCAGGTTACCCAAGTGAATAGGATTGTCACCCTTAGTATTAATGGCATGCCTTCCCGTAATTTCGTAGTCTGATGTAATTGTAAGGGAGAGGTGCAAGAAAACCTGCGGCCATAGACAACACAGCAGAAGTCCAAAAGAAAGGGTCTGAAAGTGTGACAACTCCACCTGTCAACTGATAGTCCACCATATTCTGAACTGCCTCCATACTTAGCATTGAAATCATGCTCATCCCTGCTGCCGTTGTAAAAGCCTGTGCCCAACCCAATTTATCTCGCCCTAGCTTAAGTAAAACTGTCTCGAGGGATATGGAGCTTGCAATGCCAGTTGCCACTGTCAAAAAAAAAAAAAAAGGCAGTTAATAATGGTGTAATAGCAAATATATTAATGATTAGCTTACTCGAGACTCCCATAATAGCTTCAACAGCCAGGTCCGGGTACTGCGCTTGTAAAAACCACATGGAGGAAAAGTCACCAATCGAGCAGCCAATTAGACAACGCAAGGTGTTGAGTAGTGCTCTTCTCCAAATAACGCGAGATGACCAAAATTGTAGGTCAAAGGGAGACGTGGGAGAGTTTGTGGGAGAGTTCGGCTTCAAGTTGTGATAACACCGGTTGGGGTATGGCAAACGTGCTTCCGTGATTCGCAGCTTTCCTAGACGTGTATAGCCCGGTTGAAGGTGATAGAGCGATTTGGTCCAATGAAAATATCCACCCCTGAATTGCCCCCAATGAAAAGTAGGTTTTCTAGTTAATCCCACGGGAGAAATTCCCATCGCAGTGAAGTGTTTCAGAATCCACATAAAAGAAAGTTTCACTGAAAACTGAAAATCAGTATGTCAATCATAAGTTGCTCCTCCGATCAGTGGCAGCTCCGATGGTTCGCCCCTTGGTTCGCAGCTCGTTTGGTGAACTGTGACACCTGCGGCAACGCAAGAAAGAAGCCTGATATAGTGATGCGGAAGAAGGCCCGGCGATCCAAACCGTTCCTACGGATGCTTTCCGCAAGAATAAGAAGCGTTGCCCAGAAGAAAAAGGGTCGAACAGTTTGGAACTGGGAAGCTGAGGCGGACCCGAAGGAAAAAAAATCAAGCAAGGTCTTCACCAATATGTGCAATATGAGGTATTAGCCGTAGATTAGAACAATGGGCGTCCATTCCACTCTAGTTGAGAATAAGGATAGAATTAACCAGGGGGACTCACAGGAAGCCAACAGCACGAGCTGTGAAGAAGAGCTGATACCACTGGCGAAATTAGGGGAAATCGCGATGAATTGAGGATAGTTTTTGAGTTTGGTAAAACCTTATGATCCTCAGCTTGATCACAACAGGTAGCCATGAATCCCCACTCTGATTATGGGTAACGGCGTATCGAAGGATCTTAGTGTAGTGCTCTGAAGATATAGCTTCTCAAGGTTGTTAGCGGATGGGGATATTTATGTAGGTGTCACAAGGTTACCTGCAGAGTTAAGAATATTAAAAAAGAATGAAATGGCAGATGTTGTACGGAGTAGAATAAAGTTTGTGTAGACCCAAGAATAAAAAGAATAGTTAAAAAGTAGCAAAAGCCAAATTATAGTAGAAGTATTAATAGTCTTGATAAAGTAAATAAACTAGGGATTAAGTTGTTTTTTGATAAGTTAACAAGGAAAACTATCTCTCTAACTATAACTATATCTAATATAATTAAAAAAAAATTGATTTTGAGCATTTGTTTTACACATTATGTGACACATTTTCAAAATTTTTATCTGGATTTTTTTTATTTTAGTTCTGTTGCAGCACACTTTTACTTCTATTCTTTTAATTTAATTCTGCAGTTTAGTTGCTCTGCTTCTCTAAATATACTTTATTTCTTATTTCAGTTCTTTAAATAATGCTGATTTGCAGTTGTTGCATGTTATCAATTTTATTATTTTTATTATAAATCTTAAAGTTTTATATTGATTTTTTATAACTATGATAAAAATTAATTTATAAAAATTAATTGCTGCTATACTGTATTGTATAAGAGGTTGAACCCCTAGATTCGCTCTGGCTGGCTGACTCAGCCTAGCTATCGTTTGCACGTGCGCACGTGATCATGCTACGCGAGCTTGCTTAAGCTCGAGTTCTCGTCTCATTCTATTCTTCCCTTTCTCAAGCAATTCGTCCTTGTTATATAGGAGGACTAGCCTCTAGTTCTTAGAGCTTAACCCTTTACAATTGTAACAGATATATTATTGAATACAGCTCTAGTAGTTTCTTAAAGAATAAAAAAAAGAAAAGAAATGAGAAAGAAGTTAGAACAAAATAGAGAAATAAGATGAAGATCAGAGTAGATCTAATTTAATGAATAATCTTTATGAGTGAGAGAGATCAGTTCCTCTGAATTGTGACTGTATGAGAAATAATCAATCTACTATTTGCAAAGTATGAATTCAGTAGTTCTACTATTATAAAAGAATGCTGAGTAGATTTATATAATAGTATTTAGAATTAAAAACAATACAAATATGATTATCAGTAAGCTCAGTGTGAGAATTTGAAGATTTTATATAAATGATTTATCTTAATAGATTGTACAATAAAGAATTATGAAATTGTGCAGAATATTTACAACTTTGATGGAATTGATGTTTTCAGAAGGGTTATCTCAACAGTCAGAGTGATCATCATCACTAGGGTTAGGGTTAGGGTTAGGGTTAGGGTTAGGGTTAGGGTTAGGGTTAGGGTTAGGGTTAGGGTTAGGGTTAGGGTTAGGGTTAGGGTTAGGGTTAGGGTTAGGGTTAGGGTTAGGGTTAGGGTTAGGGTTAGGGTTAGGGTTAGGGTTAGGGTTAGGGTTAGGGTTAGGGTTAGGGTTAGGGTTAGGGTTAGGGTTAGGCTTCGCTT